GAGGGAGAGAAAACTGGGAGCCCCCCATTACGCCTCCAACCCCAAACTAAGCTGGAGTCCCGTAGCGTAGTGGTTAGCGCACTCGCCTCGCGAGCGAGAGGACCCGGGTTCAATTCCCGGCCAGGCAGAGCGAAACCTCAGACAAGTTTCCTTACTCCACGCGTCTCTGTTTACCCAACAGTAAGTAGGAACACAGTCGTTAGTCAATTAGCGAATCGCTTTCTGAGGGTAATAATCTCTTATAATCATAAAAATAATTTGATGACTCAATCCACGGCTGTTTGCGGGGACGCTGCTGTGCAGAATTAGCTGCCGCGTTTCGCCCACACAACATACAGTCAGTTCACTTCACAGTATATTCCGCGAAGCGCTTTGAGACGTCTCAACCACCGGATAAGGGCGCTGCATGGAATGTAAGGATTATTACGTTTGCGGGACGTGGCTGGTGTGCGCAAATTGGCTGCAGCGGGTTTACCTAGGAACGCACAGTCACTACACTCGACAGTAAGAGTCCCGTGGAGCGCTCTGAGACTCCCTCCCGACGATGCGACGGGTGCTGTACCAAACGCGAGGATTATCACCGTTAATAATATTAATCGAACCCCACCAGGGGTTGGGAGCGAGCCTCGAGAGATGAAAGGGAGTCAGTGGGGGCTAAGCTTTCTCGCGATGCCAATCCCCTTCAACGTCAAAGAAAACACCAAGCGCAAACATCGATTAACCTTCGTGAACCAGATCCCTTCCGCCGGCGTCACAATGCTAACCCCCTTCACGCAGAAAACACTCTGTCAGTTTCAATCGTTCATCACATCGACCTTAAACATGTTTCGTGCCGATAATTTTTTTTTTGTAGTTTATTTGCGATCGTGGCTCGACAATACCTTGGGGGAGGGGAGGAGGGAGGGGGGGGGGGGTAGGGAGGGAGGGAGGGAGGGAGGAGAAAAGAAATTATCATTGGCGTCTGTCAGCAACCCAACAGCGAGCTTTGAAAGATATCCTGCTGAAATCGTGAAGCGAAAATGACAGGTCACAACAACCGGCAGGGTATTGTGTGAGAAGATTGAAAAGGTATTGAAAGGATGTTGGCTACATTCTGCAGGCGAGTGAAAAGAAAGCTCTCAAGGTAAAGGTTGGTAAAACGCGTTGCTGGTGTGTGTCAAACGATTTTCCTTTCTTTAGAGCTCGAAGAATTAATGAGAAATTCGCCGACAAAAAAAACACCCCCACCCACAGTCGATCCACTTTACCGCAAATCCGGTGAAGCTCTTTGAGACGTCTTTCTCTCTCTCTCTCTCTCTCTCTCTTTCTCTCCCCATGTGAAAGGAGCTGAGGATTATTATTTTTTGGTTGGTTTAACATCTCACCCAAAGGCGGACACCTCCAACAATGCACAGTCACTACAGTTTACAGTAAAAGTCACGTGGACTGCTTTGAGATGCCCTCTCGCCGTGCACTGGAGCATCAGCTTAAGACTATATGGGCTGCAAGTCCCCAGTGCGGTGGCTTGAACCCCCAGTCTTCTGACTCAGAGGCGAGAATGCTACCACTGAGCCACAGGCTCACGCACCAGTTAACTGCATAACGATCACGTCATTTCCAATCTATTTTATTTGGCAAAGGCGCTTTGAGACGTTTATTTCACACGAAAGGCGCTGATAAGATGCGGCTTATTATTCCGGCAATGGAAATGCAATGATCTGCTCTGACTCCTTATTATATTTTGATTAAAAAAAAAATCACCTTCAAAAAAATCAAACTCAAGAGCGAAGATTGAAATAGGTTTTGAAAGGAGAGTTCTTGAAAGCAGAGAGGAGAGCGTGGGTGTGGGTGAGACTGAGGCATAAGTAGAAGGAGTTTCAGGGAGTGGGGAAAAATTGAGTGTATCGCTCTTCCTCCCCATTCCCACCTTGACTGGGAAGTGGTGGGGGGGGGGGGGGCAAGAGGATAACATACTGCTAGCACACAGTAAAGTCCTGTGAGACATCACCGAGCTGTGCAAGGCACATATCAATTATATTGTTAAACAACGGTATCAGGACTCAAGTAAAGCCCTGTAGCTCAGTGGTTAGAGCAATCGCCTCGCAAGCGAGAGAACCCGGGTTCGATTTCCGGGCTGGATGCAACCTGAGGCGAGTTTCCTTTACTGCACAGACGCCTCTGTTTGCCGAGCAGCAAGTAGGAACCCGGTTGTTAGTTGATTGGGGGAATCGCTTTACCGGGGTCGTAAACCCTTCAAAAAGGAAAATACTGGTCACTCAATCCACGACAGCGCTGCGTGCAAGTAACTGCCGCGTTTCGACACAACAGTCAGTCGATTGACTTTACAGTATATCCTGTGAAGCGCTTTGAGACGTCTCAATGACGTGACAAGGCTACCAAATTATCAAATGCAAGGATTATTATTATGAAAGCCGGGAAGTGGGGGAGGGAGGGAGGGAGTTGGGTGTGTGGGGGGGTGGGTGGGGGGGCGTGCGGTGTCGAGGCCGGAATTTGGGATTGATTTTAAGACACCGCTCGGTGCTGTGATGGCAGGAGGTTCAGACTAGGATTCTGGAAGAATCGCTACCCGAGCAGAGTGAGTCCCCGCGTCGACACGGAGCGAGGCGTTACCCGAACGAGGTTCTCTCCTAAAGAGGCTGCCAGACAAACCTCAGGAGATTTAGCGTCATTAGCGGGAGCTCCTCCGCGTTTCATTCGTCGCAGCTCGTTACCCTGAGCCAGCCTTCGCTCTCTCGCTCTCTCTCGCCTTTCAAAATCCGAGCGACTAATTTGTTGAAGAAACGGCAGCAGGGGATCGCCGCTAACTATTTGACGTCGTAGCTCTGTGATGGAGCTTCAATTAACGGCGCGCGGAATTAACCGCTGCTTTGAACCTCACGCTTTTCTTCCACGTGTTGCACCAGGGCAGGATTCAGCACTGCCAGTTACTGGAGAACTCCAGACCCTCGCCGTTTGAAGCACAGGAACATTACGCCTGCGCTGCTGTCTCACTGCCCTCACCCTGGAGCTCTCTGCTCTTAATCCTGTCCCCTGCTCTTTCTCCCTCCACCCCCTCCAAACCCCCACCCCCACACCGTGACTTTGTGTTAAAGCACACGTTTCATAGGTTTTTTTGTGAAAGTATCCACACACACACATCATCATAATAATAAATAATAATCGTCCTGATTCTATTTGACACGACGCCTTATCATGTCGTCGAGACGTCTCGAAGCGTTTCACAGGATAGTATACCGTAAAGCAAATTGACTGTGTATTTTTGTGGGTGAAATTTGCGCCAGCCAATTGTGCACAGGGATGTCCCGCAAACAGTCGTGGATTAAGTGACCAAATCATTTTTGATATATATATATATACCAACATACTACATGCTAACACACACACACTGAAATACACCCACACAAAATCACACATGCAAACTACATACATGCAAACCCACATAAATACTAACACAGACATATTAAACAGACTTACACACACACGCACACACACACATGCTAATACCCACATACTAACACTTAGGGTTAGGATCCCCATTGCTGGTTGACCTGAACGTGACTAGCACTGGTTACACTGTGATGTCTAAACCCTGGGCTTCGGGCTCAGTGTTCTCAATGTGACTCACTGATTTGGCATTAATCCATCTGGCATTGCGGATCTCCCCATCAAACACAGAGCAACCCGGCTATTAAATCCACACACCACCTTTGTCATACTACCCTTTGACTTGACAAACATAACTCATTGTAAACTCATGGGGAAATGGGATTAGAGTAGGGAGCTCCAGTGGGGGAATGAGCACTAGCACGGACACCGTGGAAAGAGCAGGGAATGGGGTTAAGAGTAGAGAGCTCCAGTGTGGGGTTGTGGGGGTCGGGGGAGCCAGTACCATCACAGACACGACAGATTCCTTCTGGGCCGTGAAGAGTAAACTTTCTACAATTCAAGAAGTGAAACAGACATTGAGAAGCGTCAACGAAATGGTTAACAAGCAAGAAAAAAAATGCATTTTGGGGTGGGGGGGGGGGGGGGGGGGGGGTTGGGTGGGGGAAGAGAGTAGGGAGGAGGTAGATTAGGTCAAGTGAAGTGAATCTGCAAATTGTGTTGGAAGCAGAGATAAAAGGATCAGCAGTGAAGTGAGTAAGTAAGCACCCTAGGGAGTCTCTGATGTTTGCAAAGCCCATGGCCAAAGCAATAACCTGACTGCAAAGGACCTGCTTGAAGAGACGAGTTTAACACAGGCCACGGAGCCTCACAAGCGAGAGGACCCAGGTTCAATTCCCGGGCGGGTCAGGGCGAAAACCTCAGGCAAGTTTCCTTATTGCACACGCACGCCTCTGCTTACCGAGCAGTAAGTAGGGACTCTGTTGTTAGTCGAATGGCGGATCGCTTTCCAGGGGTAATAATCCCTCCAGAGAGGAAAAAAAATATGGTCACCCAATGCACGACTGTTTGTAGGACACTGCTGTGCAGAAATTGACTGCCGCGTTTCGCCCACCAAAATACGCAGTCAATTCGCTTTTCAGTATATCCTGTGAAGCGCTTTGAGACGTCTCAATGACGTGATAAGGCGCTGTATCAAATGGAAGGATTATTAGTAATAATATTATTATAATAGACAGGGGGTTGCTGGCTGGGTGGGGGGGGGGTTTACTTTCTCAGTTTTGTTTAGCACTTACAGACAAAAACAAGAGTTTCTCCCCCCCCCCACCCGACCCTGGGAGACACTCCTCTGTGTCCAAGGCTAAAGAATCAAAGGCTTCTCTACTCACTAACACAGCAAACAGGAGGAGGCTGTTCAACTCATCGGATGCTCTATGACCAAACCAAACTGTGGTGGATCTTTCTGACCGTGTCGAGAAAGAGAGGCAGAGACACACGAAGAGCTTTGGGCACAGTTGAACGATTTTATTCACATCATGTCGGAAAATCGACAGCTCCAAAGGAAGGAAGGAAGGAAAGAAAGGCAGAGGAGAGGAAAAAGTGTGTGTGTGGGTGGGGGGGGGGGAGTGGGGGGGAGAGAGCAAATCCGTGGTGGGACGAGAGGTTGGGAGGCCTCCGCATTCTGGCCCACCTCAATGATAACCTGCGGCAGACATAAAGAAATTCGATTTTAAAAAAACACTTAGCACAGCATGCACAGCTCCTGACACAGCCGTCCAACCCAACCACCCACCCCGGCCGTGCTGTGGGGGTGGGGGGACAAGCAGCAGGGAGAGAAGAGTTATGAGCTCGCTCTGTCCAAAGCAAATAGCACGAGGCGAAGAGCAGCGAGGGTATTGAAGCCAAAGAAGAACACAGTTGGAACACAGTGTTGGACACTTGTTCCTTCTCCTCGCCTCAAGGTTAGGCTCTGCTGGTGATTGTCACAAGCAACAAAACAAAGGGGAGGTAAACAGCGCACGGCCTTACACAAAGAGAGCTGTCACAATGCCAACCAACTGAACACAAGTGCCTGCTGAAACCACGTCCGTGACGGTAATTAGTTAAAGAGGGAATTGGATAAATATACAGGGAGATATTGGATCAAAGGGGGAATGGGATTAGAGTAGAGAGCTCCAGTGGGGATCGAGCACCAGCACACAGACATGATGGGGAGTGAGCAAAGGGAATGGGATTAGAGTAGAGAGCTTCAGTGTGGTTGGGGGTGGGAGTGAGCACTAGCACAGGTAATAATGGGCTGAATGGCCTCCTTCTGCAAACTGACCACAAGGCTGTTTCTCTGCCCATCATCGGCAGTTTTCTGTCAGCTCAGACTCTCGTCACTTAATATTTCCCGATGGCAATCATTGATCCACTCATTGAGATTCCGATTGATCAACTCATTGATATTCTCACTGATCCACTCAACAACCAACCACCATCATTAATACCTTTACCACCCGGAACAAGAGCTTAGATCAGCCCTCGACAAACTCCCAACAACACTGGTCCAACAATAACAATAACAACAACAAAATACATTTATGTGGCGCCTTTCGCGTCGGGAGGACACCCCAAGGCGCCTTTAAGCAATAACGGCTCGGCCCCTGAGCTGGGGTTGGAGAGGGGAAGGATGACCGAAAGCGCGATCAAAGAGGTAGGTCTTGAATGACCCCAACAACGGCTGTGACTTTATTCCGCGTCTTTCGTTCACGAAGAAACAAACGTCTCGAAACGCTCGACAAAACTGACTTGGTGCCAAAGAAAAATATATCAACAAGCGTGAGAAGGTGCACGACTCCACAGGCGGAGAAACCGTGGCTCACCACCGTCTCCAAATAAACTCCGCAAGACTGCGTGTGTGGGTGAGTGTGTGCGTGTGTGTATATCTGTGCTTGCGTGTAGAATAATCCCTCTGCTCCCCTCCCCGCACCCCACCACGAGATTTCCTCAGGGACGAAGTACAACGTAAGCCACAAACCTGCTGAGCTCCTGACCAGGTCTGTGTCTTCGAGCCGAGGCCCCCTGGCTGGCGTGGCGGGGGTCTCGCTCCCCGAAACTGCAAAAATGCAGAGAACAAGCGAGCGGTCACCGTCTGTCTCTTTATCCGAGCAGCGGTGCGGGGGGAGGGGGCCGGGGAAGGAGGAGGTGGCCGGGGGGGGGAAACGGGACGACGGGGAGGGGAGTAACTCTTAAACATCAACCTAACAGGGGGACTTCAGGCTTTAACGTCTCATCCGGCACAGGGCACCTCCAAAAACACAGAGCTTCCGTTAAAGAGTCGTTAAAGGGAACTTAACCTACCTTGCCCGCCCCCTCCCTCGCTCCCCGCTTTCTAATCCCGCCTAAAGACCTTCCTTTTGGATCGTGCTTACTATCACCTCCCACCTCCCTCCCTCCCGCCACCCCCCCAGGCTCGGGGCCAGTCTCCGCCACTGTCGAGCGCTCCGGACGCTACCTAGCGTGAAGGGTGTTGCGTGGTTGTCATTTGCCTACGTACCCGTCTCCCCTCCTTGTAGTCCGGTCTTGTTGCTCTTCACCCCGAGCCCGCCGGCTGAGGTCTGTTCGTCCTGACTGGAGTGGCTGCCCTCAGACTCGCTCTCGCTTTCGCTGGACACAACTGAAGCAGAGAGAAGACGGGGGGCCAGAAGGGGAGTGGGAGGGTTAGGGTGGGGGGGGGGGGGGCGGGAGGAGGGTAGGGGAGTGGGGGGAAGAGAGTGTCAATCTCTTCCACAGAAGCAAACAAACTGCAGAAGAATAAAGCAACGAGCCGGCGATTTGGGAAGAAACTGAATTATTATTAGCGATGACGTTATTATTAATAAACCAATTTGCACACAAACAGCCATGGAGTGAGTGACCCATTTTATTTGGGGGTTGGGGGGGGACGGGTGGTTTGTTGTTGGCCAGGACACCGAGAGAAACTCCCTTCTCTTTTCCCAGCAGCGCCACGAGGGTCCATCTCAACAAGGCACAGAAAGGTGGAGCTCGGTTTAATGTCTCGCCCGAAACCGGCGTCTTTGGCAATGCCGTGCTCTCTCCGCCAACCCCCAGCACTGCACTGGAGCACGTTAGCAGCCTGGACGTGGGGGTTCGAACCTACCACCTCCTGTCTCAAGAGATGAGAGAGAGAGAGAGAGAGAGAGAGAGAGAGAGAGAGACAGAGACACGCACAGAAATAGAACGCAACAAAAGTGGTTGGGCGGAAACGGATTTGGGTGCTGGCGTTCGCTGTAATTCGGGGCTTGGGTGGTTTCTGAATGATTTGCGGTAACCAGGCAACCGGATCTCATTAAGCCATCAATAGTGAAGCTGCCAATCACCAGCTGTTGAGCACAACGACTGAGCAGCTTCGAGATGTCTCGACTGTCCTTTTCCCCACAATAATAATGAGAAGGGCCATCCTCGCGTTTGATCCGACGGCGCTTTATCGCGTCTTCGAGACGTTCTCGAAGCGCTTCGCAGGATATGCTGGAAAGTGTAGAATCAGCTACTCATTAGTGGAGCAGTAACGTCCCTCTCTCTTTGTTTCGGGGGGTTGGGGGGGGGGGGGGGGCGGGGGGAGAGCCGGGAGTCTGACACACGCGGAAACCCATCACCGTGCTTAACGGTCTCCAAACCAAACTGAGGATGTCATGCACCCCACTCACATGGAAATCCCAGAGATAGATTGGAATGGAACGTGCTCTCTCTCTCTCTCTCCCTCCCTCCCCCCGGAGAGAAATATCCTGCTTACCTAATTCCTGAAAGCATTAGGCGCAGGTTGGCAATAGCCAAGGCAATAGCCAAGGGGTGGTTGGGGGGGGGGGGGTAGGGGCGGGGGGTAGAGAACCCAGAGTGTGTGTTTGGGATAACTACTGGAGTCCTATTGGCAAAGGGCTTGAACCAGTTTCTCCGCACAGCCAGTTTGCCAATAGCCATACGCACACACACTCAAACACAGACACACACACACAGAACCATACGCACACAAATACACATACATGCACGCAAACGCAAGACACACACGCACGCAGACTCGTGCGCACACAAACATACGTGTGGGGCGTGTTAGCGTTAATTAGTATGATAGTAGTTTCTCTCAGCCACTTGCAGGCTGTCACCTCCACCAGCAGTGACTTGACCCTCTTCACAGTGCCCTGTGGCGTACATTAATAGATCTGAATAGAATTGTTTATTTAAATGCGTGGAAATAACAAACACACACCCACACACATACAACACACACACTCGCAGCGCGAGCAGCAGAAGAGAACAGCCAGAAATACACAGCTCTACACAGCGCAAGTGTTGACGCAAATGAATAGCTTTAGAATTTAAAGCTGCGGAAAATAAATAATCCTTCACATCTGATAAGGAGCCTTTCACGTCGGGAGGACGGGTGTCTCAAAGCGTGTCATAGGATTTCAATCTTAAGAATAGCAATCGTGTGTTTCGCACTCCCACCCCCCATCTCACTCTTGCACGCGTGTGCGTGCACAAAGCGCACGCGCACGCACGCACACACACACACGTACGTGAGGAACAGGGCTCGCGAAGTGCCTTGGGGCGGAGGGATTTGGTGGCTGGAACGGTGCTTTCTGATCTCAATTTAATAAACAGTGGCTGACAAACAATCAATCAATCGCGTGCTGGGATCAATCAACGCGATTTTGCTATAAACCGAATAATATATTTCGCGGTCAAACCACTGGCTTCAGCGTTGATTACTCCATCAGAGATTAGGGCAAGATTTGGCCACAATAATTGAATCTGGTTTAAATTCTTCATACACAAACATATATATATATATATATATACATACATACACACACACAGGGTGATCAAGAAGTCTTGATACTATTACAATGTCGAATAAGTCTTAGAGAAACAATGATATATATTTATTTCAGATAATACGGCAGATATCACGACTTTTTGTCCACCCTGTGTATATAATGCATTTATATATATATATATATAGAAACGCACATCTTATTGCCTCGATTAGTCAGACATTCTGTTTGGATTTCAACCTAATCTGAACAGCGGTAGCATTTCAGATCATTATTTATTAGCCGGGATATTCTGGGCAAGAAATGACATACGAAATCCAATTCATTCTTCCCTGCACAAGGAAATTGCTTATCTCTGGCACAGGGCCTTTAAATCAAAGAGCAAGCACAGTATTACAGCCTCAAATTATTATTATTAAAGATATTACATTCACACAGCGCCTGACATCTCAAAGCACCTCACAAGATTTATTGCAAAGTGTAGTGACTGAGTGTTATTGTAAGTAAATGCCGCAGTCAATTGGAGTTCTGTAGTGCAGTGGTTAAAGCATTTGCCTTGCAAGCGAGAGTACCCGGGTGCGATTGCCACGCAGGGTGAAACCTTAAGCAGGTTTCCTTACTCAACACCTTTATTACTGGCAGTAAGTAGGAACCTAGTTATTAGTTAATTGGTGGATCGCTTTCCAGTGGTAACAATCCCTTTTAAAAAGAATATTGGTCACTCAATCCACGACTGTTTGTGGGGCACTGCTTTGAGCAATTGGCTGCCGCATTTCACCCACTGTATACAGTGAATCCACTTTACAATATATCACGTGAAGCGCTTTGAGACATCTCAACGACATGATAAGACTCTATATCAAATGCAAGCATATTATTACTAACAATATAATAATTTGCAGACAGCGACATCCCACCAGTATCTTATCTACTGTAGGGTTGCACTTGTTTGCTTTTAAGTCAGACTCAGAGAACGAGCGAGTGAGAGAGAGAGAGAAAAACAATTAAATTAATTTAATGGAATAGAAGCAGTGACTGGTTCAGGAATCGGCTGCTTTGATCGGCCTCCTGCAGTATTAAAAAGATAACCCCACGATCGCTTTGAAAATTCAGTGCCCACCGAGGGAATCATAACGCCTCCACATAGTCATAAACCACTGCATCGGATGCCAAACTCTCTGAGTGCACACAGTAGGGGTCTGTGTCGATTCCACTGCGTCTAACTCAAGCGGAAACCCATCACCGTGCTTGAGAGTCTCCGGACTTAAACTACCGAGAGTTCCTCCAATGCAGTGAAGATGTCGAGTTTGTGTGGGTTAGAGCGCGTGCTCTCTCTCTTACTCACTCACTCACTCACTCACACTACCAAATATTGCTGCTCCCACACTGTGAATACTAAGCCAGGTCACAGAACTCCTTGCTAATATCTATCTCTTGGTCTCTCTCCTTCCCTCTCTCTCTCTCTCTCTACCTTCGCCCTCTCTCTCTCTCTCCATCTTTCTCCCCATCCCATCTCTCTCCCTCCCTCTCCCACTTTCCCACCCTCTTTCCCTCCCTCCATCAAGCACTCCGGGTGAAGGGCACGGCATAAATACAAGTTGTTGTTGTTGCATCTCCCTCTCTCTTTCTAAACTGGCGTGTTATGTGTTAACGCTGACGGTTGCTCCTTTTCATGGCTCTGATTTTCAGTCTCAGCCACTTAATAAAACCCTGGGATTAGTCTTCACCTCAAAGCACTGGCCTGGCTCTCTAATCAGCCGGAGAAACAGTCCCGCCACAGCACACACAGGCAGCAGAAACTCCTGGTCACATCTAATCCAGTGTCTGAAGCCAAGACCTTCCTCCGAAACTATTAAAGTAATCAAGTCTCCGCCCGAGTGCACCCAAACTCGTGGGATTTCAGGCTCTCTGCCCCCTCCCCCCACCGCCCCTTAACACCAACAGCAATCAATTACATTTGTATCGCGCCGTTCACGTTTGAGAAGACGTTCCAAGGGGCTGAACACCCGCCCCAACACACTCCCGCTGACTCACACACTGCTCCTCGAATCGCCATCCCACAGTTCGTTCCCCCTCCGCCCTCCACCTTAAAAGCCTGTTTTAACGCCTTCCTTTTTGATTGCCCTTTCAGTCGCCTCTTTATATTGATATAAATACCATATATTTATGTGGGTTGCCAGACAGCGCTCTCAATGGAAAGCTAATGTGATCTTCAGCTGGTTAACCTCCAGCAGTTACCCTAACGCACACCCCCCCCACCCCCACCAAGCCTTGCCAACCTGTGTCCTAATACTTGCCGGGATTAGGTAAACAGGATGCGTCCCTCTGGGAGGAGGGAGGGAGAGAGAGAGAGCGAGAGAGAAAGAGAGCCCATTTCATTCCAACAACCTATCTCTGGGGTTTCCATCTGTAGGAGGTGGGAAGCAGGGAATTCTCAGCTTGGCTTGGACACTCTTAAGCACGGTGATGGGTTTCCGCGCTGTGTCGCGTTTCAGTCCCCAAAGGGTTTTGGGGCTCGAACCCACAACCTCCTGACTCGCAGGCAAGAGCGCTGGGGACTGAGCCACAGGTACCTGCCCCCACCCCTCCACACAGCCCCCCACCTCAATCCGCAACTATTTGATGGACACCTCTGTGCGCAATTGGCTGCCACGTTTCGCCCACAAAATATACAGTCAATTCACTTTACGGTATATTCTGTGAAGCGCTTTGAGACGTCTCTGTCTCGAAGACATGATGAGGCGCTGCATCAAATGCAAGGATTATTGTTATTAAGCACTAACCTCGGCCTTTGGCCCAGTTGTAGGAGCGGCTGACCACGATGCTCTTGCCGTGGTCGATGTCCGACAGGATGGGGCGAGGGAGGAGCTCGCTGACTCTCGTGCTGCTCTTCAGAGGCAGAATGTACTTGGGCAAAACCTTATAGAACCAGGCCCCAGAGCGTTTCCACACCTGGAACAGAAAGAGACAGAGAGAGAGAGAGACAATAACAGCTTGGATTTATATAGCACCCTTCACACAGGCCAGTTTAGCTCAGAGCGCTTAGAAACACACACAGACACAGACACAGAAACAGACACACACACACAGACACAGAGAAAGACAGACAGACACACACACACACACAGACACGGACACACAGTAAACTCCTGTGAAGCGCTTTCAGAGTCGTATTCCTGACGTAAAAGTTGCCTCATCAAACACGAGGATTATTATTATTATTATGTAAATGGACGGCATTAACATTGCCCTCAACAGCTGCTTCTTCCCAGCCGTCTCTATCCCAGTCGTCGCTGTGCCACGAGACCTCGATTCAGATGCAAATGGTGCGCTTTCAGCGAGCCTTTTCTTTTCCCCTCCTCTTTTAATTACAACGATTAGCATCGCTAATTAAATGTAAAATTCAGGCAATTCACAACATTCCTGCCTCTGCTTCCCCCAGGATTAAGTAACCCTCGACGCGCTAGATGGAACCCAGCGAGATTGGGAAGAACTGTCCTGCACTCGGCTTCGGATTCATAAACCTCCCTAATACGGACGGGTTTCACCAACGTCAATATATTACATGTCACTATATGTATATTGATTGATATTGACATGTATATCGACTGTATATGTATATCATTTTCGCCCACAAAACAGGCAAACAAAACATAATCACTCGATGTATCTTGTGAAGAGCTTTGAGGCATCTCGACAACGTGATAAGGGCGTTATATCAAATGTAAAGATTAATTATGATTATCATTATTACTACTATATAAATGTGATTTGTTGTTGTTGTTGTGTGGATATGTGGAACCCTCAGTCTGGTGCGGATAACCTTAAGCACGGCCGTGGGTTTCCTGGGGTGAAAGGCTGACTCGCAGCAAACGCTGGCAAAACAACAGGACTCGGTTAAAGGAGGAGTGGAGGTGATTTGCTCCCACCTACCTCTCGTCTCTCGCTGCATATCTTACAGAGCCATAGAGGTCTCCGCTGGTGCCCCATAGTTTCAATCCCACACTTTGTGCAGACTTTCTGTGGAGAAAGGAGCAGTCAGTCACACAGTTAGTCAGTCAGTCAGTCAGCCGCCCATTCAACACAGCACTTTTCACACCAGGAGGACGTCTCAAAGCGCTTCACATGTTTTACGATGAAGTGTAGCGACTGTGTATTTTGCGGGCGAAGACGGCAGATGATTTCCGTGCAGCTGTTGGGGCCCACAAACAGCCGTGAAGCAATCGACTGGTTTTATCCGGGGATTGTCAGGCAAGATACCGGGAGAGAGAGAGAGAGAGAGAAAGAGAAACTCCTGCCTCTTTTTAAGTAGAGTCGCGGGATCTTTAAGATCCACTCGAACAGGGTACAGACAGGGGAGCTGCTTTTATAAGAGGACGGCACCTCCGAGAATACGGTGCTTCCCCCAGCAACCCACTGGAGGGTAAGCCTAGACCGCGCGGGTTTATTTAAAGTCCCCGACGTTTGAACCCGCAAACCTTCCGGCTCGGGGGCGAGAGCACGACCGACTGAGGACTGCGTTACTGTGGGCAAATAATAATAATAATAATAATCCTTGCATTTGATATAGCGCTTTTCACGTCGGGAGGACGTCCCAAAGCGCTTCACAGAACACACTGTAAAGTGAATTGACTGTATATTTGTGGGCGAACGCGGCAGCCAATTGCGCACAGCGATGTCCGTCCCACAGACAGTCGGGGATTGAAAACGACCAATTTATTATTGTTTCTGTTTTTTTTGGAGGGATTATTATTAGGGCTCTGTGTGGAGTAAGGAAACTTGCCCAAGGTTTCGCCCTGACCTGCTCGGGTCTCTCGCTCGCAAAGCGAGTGCTCCAACCCCTGAGCTACGGGACTCCGAATGTCCAGAAGCCGGGGACCACGATGCCACCGAAGCTACACGCGGTCCCGACGATAACGTCGGCTGTTTAGTTTGGGGGGAGGGGTACCATTCGTGGGCTGCGGCGACGAGAAACGCTGAGAATTCAGTGGGCTTCACTGTTGCGGGACGGTGATAGATCACCACCTGCTGGCGGCAATGCCACACCGCACCCTCCTCCTGACAAAACAATCCGACACTTGGGAGGCGGCGCAAACCAGCAACAAGTATCCGCTCACTGTCAATACACACACACACAGTCACTACACTTAAAAGCACAGGCGTCAGCCCGGCTCAGTCGGTCGTGCTCTGGTCTCCGGGTCGGAAGGTTGCAGGCGAGCGCCCCCCCCCCCCCCCCCCGCGGCAGGGACCCGGAGCTCAGTTCACTCCACTGCACGGTAAAATCCTGTGAAGATTTTGAGACGTTCCTCCCCAGGCGAAGGCTTGTAAGGCTTGGAACGTAAAGGCTTATTTTTTAGTCCTGCTTGTCGCTATCGGTATTACGGCGTTGGTCCAGAAATGACCCACTGGGCAAACGATCTCGGTTTATCTGCAGAGCTTCGTGTCCGACTGTACCTTGCTGCAGTCCTGACAGAAAACAGCCGAGGAGCCGAGGAAGCCCAGCACCTCTCCGCACAGCAGGCACTGAGACAGCCCGTTCCCCATCACGTTCTTCCTCATGTTCTCCAAACGCTCCACCAGCCGACTATCCGAGAGAGAGAGGGAGACAGAGAGAGAGAGAAAGAGCTTCAGTTGAAGCAGAAAGCATCCAAGTAGGAGTTTTGCCCACAAGATATAATCATAATAATTCGGTCACTCAAACCACGACTGGTTTGTGGGACACTTTCAGTGCCCAATTGGCTGCCGGGTTTCGCCCGCAAAATATACAGTCAATTCACTTTACAGTATATCCTGTGAAGTGCATTGAGACGTCGCGACGAGGTGCTGAGGCGCTGTATCAAACGATAAGGATTGTTATTATTGCTGAAATATATATTTCAGGAAAGTGGAGAGGGAGAAGGGAATAGGAAGGGGTGGAGACTCGTGTGGGGTATAAGCAATAGTCGGGATGTTTCCGTGCCGTATCTAACTCGCTGTGTAACCAATACGCGCAGTCTCTGTTGTGCTATAGCAACGCCCCATCGTCACCACCAGGCAGCGCCACTAACCCAACGAGGGTTAGTGGCACTAACCCAACGAGAACCGGCAAATTATCCCTGACGCGTGTTTAAAGTTGAGAAGTTATTCCGATCCTTGATGCAGATGGGAGATCGCAGCGCGATCTCACACCGAGCTGGGGGAGGGGGAGATGACCGTAGCCACGGTCGAATAGGAAGGAGGGGGGCAAGGTGGAGGGATAGAGGGAGATGTGTTCCAGAGTTTCGGGCCGTAGTGGCTGAAAGCGCGGCCACAGATGGTGGAACGGAGGGCGCAAGGGGCCGTGCAGGAGGCCAGAGCCAGGCGAGCGGTGGCGGTGGGTAGTGGGTTGGAGGGCTAAAGTAAGCAGGTCAGAGAGGTAGGGAGGTATAATCGTGGAGTCCTGTAGCTCAGTGGTTAGAGCACTCGCTTTGCAAGCGAGAGACCTGAGTTCAATTCCAGGCAGAGGGCCAAACCTTGGGCAAGTTTCCTTACTCCACACAGAGCCTAATAATAATCCCTCCAAAAACCCAAAACAATAATAAAATTGGTCATTTTCAATCTACGACTGTTTGTGGGACATTGCTGTGCGCAATTGGCTGCCGCGTTCGCCCACAAATATACAGTCAATTCACTTTACAGTGTGTTCTGTGAAGCGCTTTGGGACGTCCTCCCGACGTGAAAAGCGCTATATCAAATGCAAGGATTATTATTATTATTATTATTATATAAAAGCAAGTTGTTGTTGTTGTCGCTGTTGTTGGGGTGCTCACGTACCCCACGCGTTTCTGCTCCACCAGGTCCAGCTGCTCGGCCCGTTTGATGACGTCTACAATGACCTCGACCTCGGTCTTGCTCAGCATCTGTTTCCGTCTCTGTCTGTCCGTCTCGTTACTGTGCACCGACCAGCCCGTCTGCAGCCTCGGGGGGGGGGTGGGGGTGGGGGAGAGAGGGATCAGGGGAGACACCAACGCGCACACTCAAGGCTTCTTTCTGACCTTCGTTCCACCCCCTCCCCCCCGCCCCCATACCAACACCCACCCCACCTGTGCCTGTACGTCAATATACCCACCGCCAACCACATTGGCACACCCAACCGCACACGGATGTTCGCGCACCCAGGCTCACGTTCGCGCTCTCGCTCGCTCGCTCTCACTCACTTGGCTCGGAGGGCGAGTTGCCTGTCGTTCGGGCACACCCACTGGTCTGCTCCGCTCCCAAATATGGTGTCGGCCATGGCTGACGGCAGGCGGGGAGATCGTCACCAGCAGCTGCGGGAAGAGAGAATGGCCCCACGGGTCAGTGGGATCGAGATTGAGACCGAATGGAAGAGCCCGTGGTCCGTAACCCTTCCCCCACTCCCCTGGGGGTTGGGGGGGGGGGGAAAGGGGGGAAATCCACGCCAGAGTGTAGCGTGGTGATCGGGGCACTCGCCTCGCGAGCAAGCGAGCGAGAGGACCCGGGTTCGATTCCAGGGCAGGTACTAATTCCTTCAAACACCGCCGTGCGCAATTGGCTGCCGCGTGTTTGCCCACAAAGTACACAGTCACTCGACGGCGCGTCCTGCGAAGCACTTCGAGACGTCCGATCAGGCGCTACATCAAATGCAAGGATTATTATTATGATTACCACCTTAGATTTAATTTGGGGGAACAAAAAGGAGCAGGTCTGGGTGGCGTTCGGGGCTGTGGTCCTGCTCTCTGGCTGCTTGTTCAATGGTCGGAGATGCTACAGTTATTGAATTAAATCCCAGGTTGGTCGCCATAGAAACTATCTCTCTACCGTTCGATGCTTAATGGGCATCTAATCTGTTTGTTGAGCCGTGAGGAGAGCGACCTGGTGGCAATCTGGGGAGGAAGTTTAGTCACGGCACAACGTGGGATCACGCCAGTTAATAATAACATCAATAATGATAATATTGATAATCCTCGCTTCGACACACGGCTTCACCGTAAAGCGTAGCGACCGCACGGGTTTCGCAGCTGCAGTGTGTGTGTGTGTGTGTGTGTGTGTTCACTGATAACAATTCACTTACAAATCGATCGGTTTCGTACAGCCCCGTGTGTTAAACTCAACTGTATTATCTGAGTTGCTGTGCTGTGATCTCTGGGTTAATTTAACACTGGTGCGTGTGTGTGTGTGTCTGTGTGTGCGTGTAGGGGTGTATGTGTACATGGGTGTGAGCGGGGATTGGGCTGTGTGCATGTATGTTGGAGGGGATTTGTGTGTGGGCGGGTGAAGGGTGTGTGTGGAGAGGGGAGAAAGGTGGTTGGAATAGAAGCAACAGGTGACAAGTTTGAGGCTACGAGACCTTAACAAACACAGGAAAGCAAAGTACAAGGGGACTATTTGCTTTGCGAAGACCTTGATGGCCACCGGTGTCAGAAGCGCATTGTAAAAAGGCGTTCTTATCTCACCCCAAGCGCCGTTTCGCTGGTAACGAACGTGAGGCTTTGAGGCATTTACTGCCGAATCCTGGAGCCACATCAACCCACAAACAGTTTTATCGGTCGAGGTTTACAATTGCGTGCATGGACTGCACAGCCACATCAGCTGGAGTGTGTGTATCATAAGGATTTGCTGGCGAAAGTAGACCAAGGTCCACCCAGTTCGCCTTCCATAAACCTGTCAGTCGCTTGACATGTGTCCCAAACTATATACTGTATCCCCAGATAATATTGCCTCGCGGAAATCTATCTAATTCGCTCTTGAAACAAACAACACGTTTCTTTCTGCTTCCACTGTCTCCCCAGGGAGCCTGTTCCATAATTTTACCATATCAAATGCAAGGACTATTATTGTTATTACTACTGGATCAAGTGAAGTAGTGTTTCCGCAGATTTGTTTTGAACGTATGCCTCTTCAATCGTGGGTTGTGTCCTCCGGTTCTACTGTTCTGGACAACTTGAAACAGCTCGTCGTGATCGACATAAAATCGTCCCTTTAGAAACATAAAAACCGCAATCGTACCCGTCAAAAGAAATAATAATAATAATTTAGTCACTTAATCCACGAATGTTTGTGGGACACCGCTGTGCGCAATTGGCTGCCGAATTTCGCCCACAAAACATACCGTCAATTCACTTTACGGTATATTCTGCAAAGCGCTTTGAAACGTCTTGATTATTATTATTATTTTATCACCTCTCAACCTTTTCCTTTCTAGTGAATCCAACAGAGCAAAAACACTGCATTTCGACATGTCACCCTAATCAATCAAACGTCAAACCATCTCGAAGAGCTTTGCAGGCAATCGCTGTCGAGCGAAGCGACTGTGTGGTTTAGAAGGCGGTGTGACTCACAGAACGTTTCAGGTCTCAAGGGTTTTGATATTTGTGGCTTGGAGATATTGTTCTTTTGGTGAGTCAGGACAGCATTCTGTGTGTTAGTCGTGCAGCCGTCCCTGGCTGACCTTTACTATTTGCACGGATGACAGAGGGTGTTTTTATTTCCTGGCGACTGAAGTCAATGAGAGAGAAAGAAGAGACAGAGAGAGAGAGAGAGGTTCAGTCTCCAAAGCTGTGTTTTGCATCTCCGCCACCACCCCCGGTCCTGTCGATAATCAGAGGCAGATTGCTTGTAGCAGCTCCCGAGACACTGTCCTGCCTTGAAGAGTGCGAGATAATAATCCTTGCATTTGGTACAGGGCCTTATCACAGCATTGAAACATCTCAAAGTGCTTCACGGAATATATTGTAAAAAGCGAATTGACTGCGTATTTCATGTGCGAAACACGGCAGCCAAGTGCGCACAGGCTGTGCCCCACGAACAGCTGTGGATTGAGTGACCCATTGTATTTTGAGGGGTTATTGCTCCCGCAAAGCAATCGGCTGATCGATTAACAACCGGATTCCAACTTCCTGCTAGGCAAACAGAGCAACAAAACTTGCCCAAGGTTTCGTCCTGCCCAGGAATCAAAGCCCGATTCTCTCACTTGCGAGGTGAGCGAACTAAACACTACTCTACAGGACTCCACAGGGTTATGGGTTTGTGTCCCCCTTCACGTCAAGGACTTTGAGCTCATGGTGGGGGGGGGGGGGGCACGCGTGCGATGGGAGGTGGGGGCAGAGATAGGGGCCACGCTGCATTGTCAGAGACGCCATCCTTCGCTGTCAAAGCGCTGAGCGAAGGCCACTATAACCTGCAACGTAAAGCCTCCGCATTCATTAACTGATCGTGTTAACTCATCCGCTCGGATGCATTTAACATCGACGTGGCCTGGCAGGGGATCGAAATCCAATTAGACCCGCGTTTTGCCTCCGCTCGCCAGTGGCCGTGGAGTTAGTTTCACTTGCCACGGCCCTTCCTTCCCTCCCATCCCCAGGCCCACTCACCCGCCCACTCACCCACTCACTCACTCACTCACACACTTAATGGCATTTCCCCGTGTGCTGGAGTCATCTTTCGATGGTGCAGACGTGATGCTGGGGGAGCGGCGGAGGCATGGACACAACACACACACACACACACACACATCAATCCGTGGGGTGTTTTATGATGGGCACTGATAACCATTCCCCTCTCCACCCCTACCCCAGGCTCTGTTTAATCCTAATCCAGGCTTTCTCTCTCTCTCTCTCCCCCCCACCTCCACCGGCAGTACCAAGGCTGGGATAACATCCTGTTGCTCACATCCTGACGCTACACAGTGCGTCGCTGGCTCAGTGCCCTTGTAATGGGAATTATCAGAAGGAACACTGTCTCCTTCCTCGCCGCTCACCCGGACCTGGACGGGAGGTCAGCCACACACGACCACCGCCCCCCCCCCACCCTACGCCGGGTCTCTGCCACAGCCCGCGCGAACCATCGCTCGTCGCGCACGCCTCACGTGCAAGAACGTCCCAACAAAAAACACAGAAAGAAAGAGTCTCGGCGGAGTCCTGTAACTCACTGGTGTGGAGCGCTCGCCTCGCAAGCGAGAGACCGGGTTCGATTCCCGGGCAGGGGAAACGTTGGGCAAGATTCCCGGGCAGGGTGAAAATTTGGATAGGTTTCCCCACGTGAAAAACCGGCGTATCGAACGCAACTACAACCGCAACAATTCCTCACATTTACGTTTGACACGACGCCTTTCAAATCGGGAAGAACGTCCGCAAAATGCTTCCGTGGATTTCGCTATACGGTGAAGCGAACGTGCATTGCTGGGAGGAACACCCCAATGCAAGGGATTATTATTTTTTTTAAAAAAAACTCAGTACAGAAGCTAAATAATAATAATAATCCTTGCAAAACGCAGAATACCGGAAATCCGAAACAAAAACAGAAGTCGCTGGGAACGCTCGGCAGGTCAGGCAGCATCCACGGAGAGAGGAGAGTGAGTCAATGTTTTGGGTCCACGACCGTTCGTCAGAACTCAATAGTAATCCTTGCATTTGACGTCACGCGTTAGGACAACAGCGAGTTACGTTTGTGTAGCGCTTTTCACATCAGAAGGTCTCATCTCACATCTCAAAGCGCTTCACGGAATACACTGTAAAGTGGGCGAACTATAAAGCGTTCAGTGTATCCTTGAAAGCAACAAAGGGGAACACAGCGGTAAAGCTTCCAGTCGATTTGCTCTTGAATTCAATCGCAACTTCGCTGGGAGAGAACTCCTGCAGACACTGCAAAGACCTTCTTCCACGTCAATGGGCTCAGAACCACACGGGTTTGTCAATAGCCATCAGCAGCCAAATCACAGAGCAATTAATCTGCGGTCACAAAAGTGGGTCTGCATCAGTGCAAATCCTGAACAGATCCACCGCCACCTCAGCAATCCATCACTGAGACCCTGGACAGGGTACAGACAGGGAGTGAGGTTTAACATCTATTCCAACAACTTCCAGCAACAATAATAATAATCCTTGCATTTGATACAGCACCTTATCACGTCTTCGAGACGTCTCAAAGCGCTTCACGGATGCGAATCGACTGAATATTTTGTGGGTGAAACGCGGCAGCCAATTGCGCGCAGCAGCGTCCCCACAGACAGGCGCGGGTTGAAGTGACCAAATTATTATTATTATTATTATTATTATTGAAGGGAGTAGTACCAGATGCATTTTTGTAATTGAATCAAACCAGAGGCCAGATGAGAGCAGACACTGCGCTGCTCAGTCCTGCACTTATACAGCTGCCCCGCGATTGAACCGAGCTCTGCTGCTCCGTAAAAAAAACACAGATCTGCTGCTCACCACAGCTCCTTGACAACGTGAGCAAACATCCACTCTGTTACTATGACAAAGAGTGGAAGCTGCTAACAAGGCAACGCCGTGCAGGTCCGCGCAGCGACGTGAGAGCCCAGGGCGGGGGCTACAGTGGAGGCCATCCATCACCAAATGAAAGGCAGGGAAAGTGCGTTCCGTTCCAATAACGACAGCAAGTCACGTTGGCCTTTCACGTCGGGAGGACGTCACAAGGTCCTGGCCGGTCAGGAACTTGGACCCGAACTAGGGAGGGTTGGGATCAGGAGGGGCGGAGGGCAGGGAGGGAAGGCGTAGGAGGGCGACATAAGGCGCGGGCGAAGAGGAGGGTCTTGAGATGGGCCTGGAAGGAGTCGGGATTGAAGGGTCGTCGTTTTTTTTTGATAATCGCTCTCTGGGATTTCCGCGGAATGCATGGAATTCTCAGTTTGGTTTAAGCAACGGTGACGGGGTTTCCACACGGGTCAAGGCTGACACGCCCGGCTGACAAAAAGAAGCACGCACGTACACGCAGAGCCGGTTGTGGCACCCCACGACAACAAGTCATTACGCCGGAGCAAAGTGACAATGAGCGACACGATTGCGAAATGAAAAGCCCGAAGCTCCTGTCACATCCGCTCGTGTAAAGCTTGACACGGAGCCCCGTCAGAAACAGCTGAGGAGCTGACATCTGATTAAAACGAACAGCTCGGTGCCAAATGTCGGCAACGCTACCTATCAGAGGCCGCTGTTCCACTTTCGTCAGGCTCTCTGCTCGTGCGGAGATCAGCGCAGTGGCCGGAACTCTAACACGCAGATGTCTTGAGTTTATTACTTGGGTCTGGACGTTCCAACCCGCCTGCTCCCAATCAGCCGCAGGTAATAAAAACGACGACCGCAACAACTCGAGTTCATTTCAGGTGCTTCGAGGTGGTTCGACTCCATGATTAAAACGCTATAGCAAGATGCAAGTGTTATTGTGGTTATTGAACAAAGCACCTCCCAGCTGCTGGAGGCTCCCTCACAAACACACGCGTGGCTCACACGGTCACTCGCGCCTTTGCCTCAGAATCTGAACCACCCCACACCCCCCCCCCCACACCCCGCGTCAGGGACTTTGAACTCGAACAGTCCGGGCTGACGCTCCAGTGCAGCACTGGGGTGTGATGCGCAGCTAAAATCCCGTAAACGTTTTTTTGAGACGTCTCGACGACGTGCCAACGACAGTAATAATAATACGCGTGTTTCACGTCAGCGAAATGTCTCAAAGCGCTTCACAGGAATACACCGTAAAGTGGCTTGACTATTTTTGTGGGTGAAAGGCGCCAGCCAGTTTGCGAGGAGCAGCGTCCCACGAAGAGCCACGAAAGTGAGTGAGCACATTTATTTGCGGGGACTGGGGCGGGGGGAATCTGTTGGCCAGGACACCGGGAGAGAGAAATTCCCTTCTCTTTTCGGATAGCTTCGCGGGAGATCCTTAACGTCTCACCTGAAGGGCGGCACCTCTGACAACGCAACACAGACCACGGCAGGAACGTCAGCTTCGACAAATTGATACCAAATCCCGACATGGGGGCTTGAACCCACAACCTTCTGACTCAAGAGGCGAGAGCGGCACCCACTGAGCCAGGCTGACGCACAAGATAAGATGCTCTATTAAATGTAAGGATGATTATACAACTATAGTTCGATTTTTCAGCAGTTCGGCCACTCATCCGCTCAACGGGCGAGAAATTACTCCCAGTTTAAGAAATCGGCCGATTGTTGAATTCATCTTGACTTTGTTTTTTTCTCCTGTTTCCCCCCCACCCAACCCACCCCCCCGTCACCCCGCCACCCTCCCCTCTCTCTTTCTCCCCCTCCTACCCCACATCCGCCTGGTCAACAAAAAAAAAATTCAGGGAAAAGAGGGTATACTTTGCCGACAAATACGCAGCCGTAAAAAAAAATAAAAAATCCCGTGAAGCGCCTCGAGACGTCCTTCCGAAACGATAAGGCACTCTACCCGAAGTGCAAGGAGTAGTGTTGCTCCTTATCCATTGTAAGAAATTGGCTAAAATTCTGAAACGAATAACACCAATCCTTGCGTTCGATAATAGAGCCTCGTCACGTCTTCGAGACGTCTCAAAGCGCTCGACTGGATATACTGTCGCGTGAGATGCCTGATTTCCTCAACGGAGGAAATTTGGAGCCAAGTCGTGACCCCTTTGCCCCCCCCCACCCCCCAGCCCATTTAACAAAGCGATACCCTCAAAAACCACCCCCACCCTTACCCCTACCCACCCCAGTCCCAAGCACGTTAACGTCGCAGTCGGGTAACTCACAGGTCAGTCAGGTGTGGATGGCACGTTTCGGTCACGGGCACCGCGTGCGGATGCTGTAAAGGGTACGTTCACAAAGGGGCGATAGAACCACCGTAACTCGCTCGCTCGCTCGCTCACCGCGGAGCAGAGGGCGCGAGAGCTTCCCTGCCACGAGCGTCCTGTCCTTCGGGAAACGCTCTGACGGAGGAGGAAGGGGCTCGTCCGGGTGGGGGTGGGGCGGTGGTGGGGGCGGGCGGGCGGGGGGGGGGGCGAGAAAAAGGGTCGCGGGCTTAGCGGGTCCGGGGGTAAGGCTCTCCCGAGCTCCGCCGCTCCGCTCTCCGCTCCGCTCCCCGCTTTACAGCCACAGGTTGTTGTGGCAGTGAACGGAGAGTCACCGCCAAACTCCGGCACGGATCCCGAGACTGGAGCTGGAGGGTGCTGGAGTTTCTCCCCAGGGGCCCGGAACGTTCAGCCCCTCAAGCCTGTCCTGCCGCTCTATCAGATCGCGGCTGATCTGACGCCTCGACTCCAAGTGCCCGCCTGCGTCCCCATATCCCTCGATACCCGGACGTCAGAAGAACCCATCGGCCTCGGTCTTGAAAATTTGAATGGATCCCAGCACTCACAAGCAGTTTGGGGGGAAGGGAGGGAGGAAGAGTTCCTGATTTCCACGATCCTTTGCGTGTGTGTAAAAAAAAATGCTCGTCAGCGTGTACGAGCAAGCACCCTTGCGGTTTAGTTTACTGAGAACATGGGTAACCAGCACAGCAGGCAAAGAAACAGAGACACGCACACACGGGGTCAATTTGACCGTCCACGCACGAGCGAACACACGCTGCTCCCTTGGGGTAGGGCATTTAACAAAGGGATTGAAGCAGCTATTTTATAATGCAACCTGGGGCACGGGGTGTGGCGGGAGGAGGGAGCGGCAGGAGGTGGAGGTGCCTTATTTTTTTTTAAAAAAAAAAGCAAGGTGTAACAGGTGCTCGCCTCCCGGCGATGAGAGGTCTTCCAGAGCAAACCCCAAGCAGCACGTTTCACACAATACTCAATGATTCAGTTTGTCTCGTAGCGTTGCCCTGGGACCATTCGCCAGCCAGGACAGCCAGCAAACAACACTGCGTGACGGCAACAGCAGGCTTCGTCAACTTTGCGAGATGATCCACAGCGTCAACAGCCTTTTGGGTGGGGGGGGAAGAGAGTTCCAGATTTCCACTACCCTTTCGGTGAAAAACTGCCTCCTGATTTCACTCTGAAATGGCCTAGCTCTAATTTGAAGATTACACCCCCCCCCCCCCCCCCCCCCGTTCCGGAACCCGTTGCATGGTCGGAGTTGCCGCTCTTCAGCAGGTACGTCAAACCGAAGTCCCATCTGGTTTATTTGCGCACAGCGACATCCCCACAAACAGCCATAACGTGAGTGAGTCATTTTGAATGGAATTTAGTTTGTTTAAAAGAGAGACGGACGGAGCCTCGGGCAGAAGAGGTAATGAATGAGGCGTATGGCGAAAGGGCATGGCATTGGGGTTACAATGCCTGCTGATAAACGGGGAGGGAACAGGCTGGATGGCCTGAAAGACCTCCTCCTAACCATATTTTTGTTTTTTTGTGGGGGTGGATGGGGAGTGAACACCCACTCACTCCAGACACAAAAGGGGAACAAAAGGCAAGTTACAAAGACGAAAGCCAGAGGTGTAAACACAGAACTTGGACAATATCCACCGAGACGCCCTCATGACATGAAAGGCGCGATATCAAATGCAAGGATTATTATTAATATAATAATAATAATAAAAGAGCCAGGGTTACAGAGGACAAACTACATAAATATTTACCTTCAGCCTGTTTCTGTTCGAGGCTACACAGCGACAGGTTCACAGCTCAGTGCTTATCGTCCTGTAGCGTAATGGTTTGCGCCTTCACCTCGCAAGCGATTTGATTCGCGGGCTGGATGAAACCTTCAGCAAGTTTCCTTGCTCCACACGCCTCTGTTTACCTAACAGTGAGTAGAAACCCGGGTGTTAGTCGATCGGCGGAGAGCTTTCTGGGGGTAATAATCCCTTCAAAAAAAAAATTGGGTCACTCAATCCACAACTGTTTGTGGGGACGCTGCTGTGCGCAATCGGCTACCGCGTTTCGGCCACAAAATACAATCAATTCACTTTACAGTATATTCTGTGAAGCGCTTTGAGACGTCTCAACAACAGGCGCATGGTCAAAGGGTTATTATTATGAATTACAACACTCTGAACTCCGTGAGCCGCTCTCTCTCTCTTTTTCCTATTTACTGGAGGGACCAGAGATATTTCAAACATTAACAGGACAAGGTTATCGGATAGCCATCAGTAAGGAAGCAAATAGCTCGGGTTCGCTTCCACTTTTACGTAGATTACTTTTTTTAAAAAAAATATATATTTAAGAATTATTTTTTTTAAAAAAAAGTTTTTTCCGTCCATCTAGAAATATAAGACTTTAACCTAAGACTAGAAACTCCTCACGAAAAGTCCTTCCCAGGCCTCACCTGGGACAATGAGACTGATAAGAGAGCAGGAAGCCACACGCAAAACACACACACACGTACCCTGGGACTAAAGTTACTCGATGGCAAATCTTGGAACAAAGGAAAAAAAGTTTCAAAACTTTCCCTCACCGTCTGTCTCTCTTCCTGCAACAACTTTCCAGGAAAAACCAGAGTGCCTTTGAGTCACTGACACAGGAAAATGACACGTATCCAGTTCTTACAGATGACTGTGTATTAAGAGAGAGAGAGAGAGAGAGAGCAGAGACCGCTTTTTAATCTATTTCTCATTGTCAAATAAAAAAAACTTTTCCTCAACGATTTCTTAAAGGGAAAAACAGTCTTGTCCAGGTAACCAGCAAGTGCTGGGTGTGTCATTTTAATTAAATGAGTTTTCTTTACTCCTCCCCCCCCCCACCCACCCCCGATAACAAAAGAAAGTCAAGCGTTTTAAGTTGTTTTTAATCATTTTTGTTGTTTTTTTTCAAAAAAGGTTTGCCCAGCGGATGGAAAGTTTACGCGCGTAAAAGTATGATATAAACTAGTGTTACAATTAATTCCCTTCGCACGTTGTGTTTTAAAACTCGTTGCTTGTTAATTTTCAGTGGCAAACCTGTTCAAATAAACTTATTTTAAAGAAAAAAGAAACACACACAGACTGACAGAAATACAGACAGATGCATCCAGCTCCAAGACAAGTCCCGAACGGCGCAAAATAAAGGTGCAAGGAAAAGAGAGAGAAAAAAAATATAAAGAACATTGCAAACCACAGAGCCAAAATGAGCCTTTTGCCCTCGAGTGCTTTTTCTATTTAAAACACACACAGACACACCAGAGAAAAAAAAATCGTCCTCAAACTCATTTGCCACCCCTTGTTGGGTACCTTGGGTTGTTTTTTTTTTGTACCTTTCTTTTGGAAAAGTTGTTCGAACTTTTTTTTTAAAAAAAGGTGATTGCACACTTAAAAGCTCAGCTGTTCCAGTTGCACATTGACTCGCCCTCTGCTGGCCTCCAGCTCAGCTCAGCCAGAGACGGTGACACCCAATCTTCGGTTTTTTTTTCAGCAAATGGGTGGGGTGGGCGCCTCTATGAAGAAAGTCAACCTGAGCTCATCGCTCAAGAACATCCACCCAAACTGTCCTCCCGCTCACACTAGTAAGAAGCTTGTGAGCCACCCCTTCCTTCCTGGTCACCCTGTTCCACTGGTTAATTCCCCTCTCGGAAAAGAAAAACTTCCCCAGATGTCTGACCTGAAATAATCGCCCCTCTTTAACTCTAAACCGGTTCTTGTTCTGCTGTCTTGATAAGGCGTTGTATCAAATGCAAGGATTATTATTGCTGTTGTTGCATGAAGCTCTTTGGAGATGTCTTTCCTGCCTCGAAAGTTGGTATGTGAATGTAGAGTCGTTTCTGCTATCATTTCAGCTCAGTGCTGGGCGAGGAGCTCTGGGTTGGCAGAGGTGCCGTCCTTCAGCTGAGGCTTCAAGATAAAGGTTTGCGTCTGTTCAGGTGGAATTTTAAATAACCCCCGTTTCAAACGCAAAAGGATTTTCTCTCGACGTTCTGTCCGACGAACCTCTGGATAAAAAAAACGGTCATTTACCTCAGGGCTGTGGGTAGGCTCTTGCTGTGCCCAGTGTGTTTGGTTCTTAATGCAGCCATTACACTTGACAAAAATTAGCCATCGAGCTCTTTGAATATTAAAGACAGAATCTTCTGGCCTTTAGCCAGGACGCCAGCAGAAACCCCACCTCTTCTCTTTTCAAATAGTGCCACGAGATCTTTAATATGATCTCCATAGTATTATTGCATCTAATATTCAATTGAGCAGTTTAATAAACCACCCCTGCGCATATTGGATTGTGCGTTTATTAAACTGAGACGTAACAAAGTGAAGTCAGCCCATACCAGAATGGAATAGTTCACATTGCATAGCCCAAAAGCCGAAAAATGCAGTTTCTCCGGTTGTGAGGTATTGTAACAGCGTGTTGCTTCAATCAAGAAATAAGCAAGTGAATGGAAAGCAAGTTACGATGGGTTTGAACAGGTTAAAGGCATTTGGAAAGCTCTCAGGCAGCAAATTACACTGTTTCTTCAAAGAATCGGCTGGCCTTCAGTCAGGCCACCAGAAGAAGCCCCACCCCATCTCTTTTCGAATAGTGCTATGAGATCTTTAATCTGATCTACCTAATGTTATATCTAACAGTCAATTGAGCAGGCTGATAAGACTTCGGTTTAAGCTCATCCTAAGGATGGCATCTCCGACAATGCAATGCTCTCTCACCAACCCCCCACCCCTTCTCCAGCACTGAATTGGAGCGTCAACATTGACTCTTCAGCTCAAAGTCCCCGACACACAAGGCTTGAACCCACAACCTTCTGACCCAGAGAGCTGAGACCGACTGAGCCAGGCAGATTGCAACTCAACCCCAAGGTAATGGGAGCGTAGGGAAAGCAAACAAGCATTGCTGGATTTATGTATTAAAAACACTCAATAACACGCAATTCAGCACGATTCATCAACAACAAAGTTCCCGTTAAGGAAAGCAATGACATGCCAACGGTTGGATCCTTTTATTCAGCAAAAGCATATGCAAATCTTATCCCAAAAAAAAGCACAGAAACTCCATCTGTGAGAGATTGTCATAAAATAATGTGCTATTAGAATTATCATCATGCAACAAGACAGCCAACACAAATTCACGTACATACAAGTCTTTCCTCCCTAAATAAACCACCGGGCATCCAAACTAGGGCCCAGGCACCTTGCCAACAGAGTTAAGTGGCAGAAAGGCAGCAGCACGACTCTTTGGAAGTCACGTGAACACGGGTATCCAAGCCTCAGTTCCACTCAATCTTCCATTTAAAGTAACACTTGAAAAGGATTTACACGGAAGGCGGCAACAAAATGGGGAGGGCGTGCAATTGCACACTAAAGCACGCGTGGAGCAACGTTGAATATTTAACATTACAAACCGCAGACCGCAACTTCAAGACCTCTGATAACGAGGAGCTCTCGGCTTTGAATTCCTGCGTCATTCTGCATGCAGTTTGTTTGCTTGCTCGGTTGGCTTCTGCAGTGAATTGGAACGGTGGGGGGTAAACAAATGGTTTGATCCAACCAGTGTCAGTCGGGCCCCAGTACACAAGACCTTAAAAGTTTTGTCTGAATTATTATTCTTTTTGGGGTGAGGAGGGGAGAAAAAAGGACTAAAATAAAACAATCATTTGTCAAACGAAGCCAAGCTCAGAAGAGACTGACAAGTTGGGTCATGCAGATATTAAAAAGTTTTTTTAGTACACCTATGCACATATATATATATATATATATATATTAAAAAAGTGCGCACACACCCAAACACATAAGGACCAAAGCATTGAGCTTGGTTTACATTCTTTGCCAATTTCACTGGATTGACACCGATGTCAATATGCGGGTTCAGTGCCACAAGCAGGATGAAGGCTCGATCGGAAACTGGGTGAACAAACAGAGAAAGGTGCAGGAAGAGTGTGGGAAAGAGGCAAAATTAAATTAAATTTAAAAAGCTGCAAATCAAAGGCACCCTTCATCTACATTTATTCACAGCTCCTCGAGCAAAATTTCTCCCCAATCATCACTGGCTGGTGCTAACAGCTCTATTAAAACTTTAGCATGCCACAGAGGTTAATATTAAAACAAAGACAAGAGACCACTTTCTGCAACTTATTAAGGTACCAATACTGAGGCCCAGTAAATTCCACCTAGTCTCAGCCTGAAAGACCCTTTTGCCTTACACGCTTAAGCTCGTGAACAATTCTTTTTTAAAAAATCAGTCTTAGCTTGCAAGCTGGTCACTCGAAGAGTTTGTAATGACAATCAAAAATTTTCCTTCCATAATTCTACAGCATTTTTAACTTTCAAAGGCAAAATAGTCTTGTAGCCTAAGACCGGTTAGCATTTTGGGTCTCATAGTGTGCTTAAAACCTACGTAGATCACGTTAAACTTTTGGGGGCTGGAATTTGGGTCAAAAAGAAAACACCCGTGCAATTCAGGACAACCATTTGCGAAGCTCTTCACAGAATCGTTTGGAGAATTAGCGGTACCCACCTTGATTGCCACCCCTTTCCAATTAATAAGCAAGGCAAATCAAACAGAATTAACTGTGCATCGGAGGAGGATTCGTACTGATGTCATTTACAAAGCTTTTCACATACAGCAAATTAATTAATTAATTTAAAAAAGGCCAAGAGAAGTACGTGGATAATTTAAGGCAATCTGTGGAACGTTTTGCAATAGTACACATGCAAATACAGATCTCGACCAGAAAGAAAAAGGCAATACAATATCCCAACATGCCATACATAGACTGCAGCTCACAATGGACGGTTCCTCTATGCAAAGCCATTATCCTCTGGACAGCAGCACTGTTACACACAGAATTTCAGTACCCATTTCCTGCAAGCTCAAGCTATATTGTAATGCAGTAAAGAGAGATTTGTCTACTTCCCAAATTTCCAGACAAGACAGTGTGAGACCCTTTGCGGTCAAACGCTGACAGACAATGGAATAAGCCTAGCCACATATATACATACACACACATTTAAAAACTCCAGATGCTTAATGGATCGTTTCAAGCGTCAGAAATGCAGTACACACACCACCGGAACACGTGTTTCTGACAAATTATGTACATATTTGACAAACTTAAAAACAATCTTTGCGAATGAAGTTCAACGGAGCACCCGAAAAGCTTCCACTTTGGGGAAGGGAATGGGGGAGGTGGGGGTGGGGGGGAGGAATTGCTTCCATCTTCTCACACTTGTACCTGGGATCGACAAAGTAATGTCCAGGCTGATACAGCAGCAAACTACTTTTTTTTTAGAAAAACAAGCTGTGGTTAATAGGTGGCACAAGTGCATCGTCGGATCAGGTTTGGATATATTCTTACAAATATGTACAATGTAAATACAGGCACTTAAAATGTCTTTGGTTGGAATACACCAACTTTGCAGGACACTGCATTCAGATAGTCAACAGCCAGTTTATGCTCCACGGGGCAAAATGCTACAGACAGCTCCGTTTCCAGGCTTGGAGCTAATTTATGCTTCTGACAATGCAACCTGGAAAACAAGAGGGGACGGGAGAGGGGAAAGAAAGATATCAGTGATGCTTAATCGCAAACCTCAATCACTTAGTAATCTTGATCAGTTCACTAGGAATAGGGCCAATTTCCTCAGACCCTGTTCATTCTATGAAAACTAGGCAGAGAGGATCCTTCATTCTTGAAGTGTTTTGTCAATTAACCTTCCACCCAGCGCTTTGAGGTTTTTCCCAACATGGAAAGGCACTGTACAAGTGCAAATTAGATAGATTTTAACTATAAAATAATATCTCGGGTTACAGTATTACCATGCCTATGGTCACCTCCCCCACCCCCAGGCTGGGTGTCGTGTTCCGCCCCTGGCAAGCGCTCTGGGACGCTACCCTATGTGAGGGGCGCTATATAAATGCATGTAGTTGTTGTGTATTGGTGGAATGCGAACTAGATGGACCTTGATCTTCTTTCGCCTAGCAAATGCTTATGGTCTTATAAATGATTGTGGTTACCATCTGTAACCGGTCAAGGCGGGAAAGACAGCAAAAATATATTGGCAGTTGCTGCTATCAGCGTTTTAGTAGAGCAATAAAATAGCTAAATACTCACAATTATGGGCTGCATTAACGTCTTGGTGTTTAACAGGCATCGCGGTCAGGGTATACTTTCCACTTAAATTGGGGCGAGCTGCAGGAAAAGAAAGGGTTACCTTTTCTGGGCAGAATTCATTATTGTTCTGCCGCACTTTCCCCGGCCGTCCTTTGATAACCGCGTAGCAGAACATGGTGATCACCATCACAAAGAGGAAGTAGCTGGTGTGCATCAAGTGCAGATTAATGAGCGAACGGTCATCCTGAAAACAAAATACGAGACAACGGATAGCTTCAAGCTCATGAATTCCTGCCACCTTTACGCACACATCATCGAAGCAGGAAGTAAAGTTGTAGAAAGGAAATTGGATGAGAGATTTAAGAGACAGGTGGGTAGATTTGTGTGTGTGTGTGTGTGTGGGGGGGGGGGGGGCGGCGGTGGGGAAGAGAGTTAAAATGAGGTTTGTGTGTTGAGAGAGAATTTACAACAACAAAGCATTTATAGAGCACCTTTCACGTCTTCAGGACGTTGCAAGGCGCTGGACAGTCAAGGGTTTGAACCCGAGCTGGGGTTTGGAGTCGAGAGGAGTGGAGGGTGGAGGTGGGAGGATGACCAAAGGCACGGTTAAAAAGGAAGGTCTTGAGACAGGCCTTGAAGGAGGCAAAGGCACACATGGCAACAAGAGGATAAAGTTACTTACATCTGGAACAATGACGGTTAGTTTGGGATTGAGTGCGTGGTAGACTTTACCAATCGCTCCTTTGTAACACCAGAATGGGTTGTACTCCTGCGAGTATTTTGTGTTCGAGTCTCTAGCAGTGGTGAAGATTTTGTACCAGATGGTGGCGTTGCTGTAGGTCTCAGGGATGCAATGCGGCGGCTGGCTGTAAGGAAACATTTTATTGTCAACCTCAAAAGTTTCTCAGTTGAAGGTCGCAGAAAAGGCTGGTTACAGAGCTCCCAAATGACCTCACATTCTCCGACACACACACAACACACATCAGTGAGCAAGCTTACAGCCACTTTACCCCCTGCTATCTGGAACTCCTTCACTGAGTTTTTCTGCCCTTCCTCCTCCATCCATTCCCTGCCTTTAAAATCTCTCGGCTACTCACACACACTCCAACCCGCTATCCCACACACACACACACACACACACACACACACAACTCGGGCTCTCAATCAGTTGTGCGAAGTGTTTCAAGTAAGGTGCAGACTAAATGTATATCGTTGTTAACCCTTTAAAAGATCTTCTGGTAGAGAAATATCACGGCTTTTAGAAAATAGGTGGGAAACAAAACCTTGGGAGGAAGCATTTAGAACTAAAAAGGAGATGAAGTGACAAAGCTCCCCCCACTCCATAAAAAAATAATCTTTGCATACAAGATGCTGGCCGACTATTTATGGGATCCCAATTTCTTCACACTTAAAACTTGACCTCTCAGTTGTTAGTCCGACATTTCGGCATGATATTCTGTGTGCATGATACGCGCCTGGCATCAGTCTCAATCACATCAAGCAAAGTCTTTTCATAAACCTTCCTCCTACCTCCTCGTGACTATTTTTATTGACTGGCTAAACCTAGAAATATTCTGGCGCAAATCAAACAAGTATCAGTGCCCAGCTCCTGCAAGCCAGAGCTCTAGAGCATGTAAAGAAATCTTCTGTGCCTAATTAATATAAAGTCTCTCAGAAAGACCATTAAAGGTAATCCTCTGTGTACCCATCTTTTTGAATGAGTTGCCACTGTTCTTGTACGGTTACCATTGCCAACCAAACGCTGATAAACAATCCTTTGCTAAGCTTTAGGAGACTTCCCTCAGCTGAATTTGTTCCATGGCAAACATAGCCAAGCATAAAGTAATTAACTCTCTCCCTTCCCTCTCAAAGTCTGCACTCAATGAATAGCAGAGCAGCGAAGAACCAGAAGAAAATTCAACAAGCAGATGAACTGGTCTGAGGATTATCTTTCAGTCTGGTATTTACTGTGGGTTTCAACGAATCTGTGTTGTCCAGAGTCTGCATTGGATTAAGTGAGCAAACAGTCAAAATATTTGCAAATGTCTAATTTTGCAAAAACAATACTCATGGTTCAAGCCAGGTTTTAGCGACTTATCACGTGCACCGCATCCATCTTTACAAATGCAAAAAAATTTACTCCCCCAAAAAGGCTGCAGCAATTTAACAATGTTAAAGGAGTGAAGACGGGCTAGGAGAGTAAATTCTCTTGGCCAAGTTGTTTCTAAGGCCAGTGTTAAATACTCACACGGTGACTGGAAAGACGTTAGTTGCAGCCGTGATGGTCATGCATGTTGTGTAAACCATCTGCTCGCAGTGGCCGTGGAGGATGCAGTCATCTGAGTTACAGGCGGTCGGCAGAGTAAATGTTATGTTAATTTCTTCGTGTGCTTCTCGACCTACAAACAAGAGCCCAGGGACATGTAATGTATGCTTTTAACTTTACCGTCAGGAACAAGAATAGCAGACGTTTTAAGATTCGCGAGGCTGTCACTTCCATTTGGCGCTAAACTGAGAAAGCGTTTTGATAATAATTGTCGCATTTGATACCGTGCCTTATCACGTCGTTGAGACGTCTCAAAGAGCTTCATGGGGTACACTGTAAAGTGAATTGACTGTATATTATGCGGGCGAAATGTTTGAGCCAGAGGAACGGAGATAAAGCGGGAGGGGAGGGATTTGAAATTTATAAATAAAAGGCTGACTCCTGGCAGAAAGGGTTGGGGGGGGGGCGGGGGTGGGAAAAGCATGGCAATATTTTAGATGCTGAACGGGCAACGGCCTCCAGTGTGTAACAACATGAACAAACCTAGGCAGATGTAATTGGAAAATATTCCTGTGTAATGCACACCTGGCCTGAGCCTATACATTCCCTATAATCTTAGATTAGTTTCATAACCAACTGTAATTGTCCTGCAGTAGTACTGTATCAAATAAGCTACAAGAAAGGACATTTAATCTCACAGCCACTGTAACCAGCACCTTGCCAATAAAGATCAGACACTCCTGCATTTCACATTATGCCTCGAATACACCAGCAGTTCAGGTCAATTCGATGCAGTTTCCGTATCAAATTGATGCTGGGAGCACAGTGGTGGGTTGCGACTGGAATCAAAATCAATTCCCACTGCAGCCCACACAAGTTGGAAATTTTAAACTTCTTTCAAGAAGTAATTTCAAGTGTCAAAGGTCCCGGGTGGTCTGAGCTTTTTCAATACTGTATTAGTAGAAAGTACAGAGAACGTGGAACTCTACAAGGAGCCTCGGTTGAAGCAGAAAGCATCAACGAACTTGAGAGGAAAAACTTAATAATCCTTCCATTTGATACAGCGCCCAACAGCGTAGTCGAAGGGGGCTGAAAGCGCTTCACAGGACACACTGTAAAGTGTAATGATTGTGTATTTTATGGGCGAAGTTAGCTCACGAGAGAGAAGGGAATATAGAAGAGGGAGGCTAGGGAGAGGAGTGAATGATGGGTGGAGGGGAATTAAACAGGTGGATGCTCGTATGAAAGATAAACACTGGAAGGGACAGGTTCGAACGGCCTGTTTCGATGCTGTAGGTTTCTCTGTAGTGCATGTAAAAAAACAGCTGTTTAGCCCCAATGTGTTGCTTATCAATAGAATTCTTGCTCCACGTTAGTTTGACTGAGCCTCAGGCGCATAAGAAGGTTAACTGTGCTTTCCAGCTCCAAATACAATCGTTGCTGGGAGCACAACTATCGCCACCTGCTTGGGAGTAAAAGCACTGGGTACAATTTTGTCAAATATTTACTTGCACAGGATAATGATGGAGAAACTCGGACTGCTCCTACTCCACCCAATCCCTAAACTCAATGCTTCAGATTGTACTTCGATGATGTGCCTTGACAGTGGGCCAATTTCCTACCCCTTCTTATGGCTTTATGGGCAACTGTAGAATATATTTAGTCAAGTTCTGAAAGAAAGGGTTTCCCTTATCAGTCAGTAACAAAGCCAACACATAATAGTACTGGAATAAAAATTAATTCCTATCTCATTCTGATAACGAGGAGGCACAAACAAAGTGCTGGTGAAAGTTATGTAAACACAGGGAACGGCTTGTAAAACAGACTAAAACAAAATACACGACTATACTTCACAGCAAATCCTGTTCGCCTACAAAATACATGACTATACTTCACTATACTATACTTCACAGCAAATTCTGTGAAACCCTGTGAAACCCTTTGAGGTGTCCTCCGGATACGAAAGGCGATAGATCAAATGCAACTTTAAAATTGATTGTTCTTGACACAACTGATGCTATAAAGCGGGATTGCAATCCAATGTTTAGACATTGCCTGAGGAATGTACAGAATGATCAATGGTGAGCTACTGTACAGCATGTATAATTCAGTACACAAACAGGAGCAGTCCTGGCTTAGCGAGTCCTGCTGACTCATGGAACAAACTCCAGGTCTGAAGGCTTTCAGCACTAATCATTGACAGCACACACAGGAAAACAACACAGTGGAAATTTTCCATGGGCCTGAGGTGCTCTGATTCTCTGGGCTCTTATTGCAAGAGAATCAAGAATCTCACTGTGCATACTCCAAAGCCACATCTTATTTCAATGAAAATGGATGCTGAGGTTTTTCTTTATAAAAGCCTTCCAATACTTTTTGTCACCTGGTGGCAACATAAAACATAACATTTCCGCTGCTCGTTCCCCAAAACGTGCTTTAAACTCTTAATTCTTCGCCCCAGTCCACGTTGTACCAGCGTGAATCTCACAGTGTCACACATAGCCCACTAATTACTGTCAATTGCTGTTAAAACCAGATCAGATTTACTCTCAACTTGTTAGGAACGGAATTGAGACTCGATCGAGTGGAGTCTGTCTAATATCAGGTCAGTTTCTTCCCCCAAAAAAAGACTTTCACCTTCCCCCATCTGCAATGAATTTGCCCCCTAGGTTCCAGAGTTGATAGGACAGTGTGCTAACTCAGTGTGCCATCTCTTCCCAAGCACCAATTGCTTTTGGGGCTTTTACCATCCAAAGGATTAAGAGGTCATAGAGCTTGACGTGCAAACTGGCTCAGTGCCGTTAAGAGTTGCTCGGGTGTCAGTAAGAAATGACTAATAAGTCATCTCTACCAACCGGGGAGGGGGAAACGTGAATACACGCGAGTGTTGTCAAGACAAGCTGTGGGCGAAAATATTTCAATATTTCGCACCAACAATCCAAGATCAACAGAATTATTGTTACATCAAACAGAGACACTGATCATACATATATCTGTCCGTTACCTGTCAATCCAACCTGATGTCCAAAGATGGTTGCACTGAGATGTGTGATATTGCGCGAGTATCCACCAAAGGGCTTGAGCGGGTCGAGTGTGAGCGTTATGGAGACGGAGATATTGATTGGTCCAGAATCTTCGAGAACTTGTGGGGATTGTGTAGAAGATCGCACTTGCCCACTGGTCACTGTGCTCTCTGGAGTGATTGTTTCATTAATAAGATGCTTTAATGTTTCATTCTCGGATATGCACAAGTCCAGGTCATTAAGCCTCAATAGGAAAGTATTCCAATCCTGTTCGGAGACAGAAATTAAAACTGCTCAGACTTGTGATCAGTGCCTCCAGCCTTGAAAACAGTCAGAGATTAGTCATTTATAATTTAGCATTAAGACCAAAGTCATGTGATCAAATTCTTGCACAACTACAGACAAGTGATTTTAGACACTAGGAGTATTATACTCAAGAGCAGAAAAAGAGTTTTGTATTTTATTTTATTCTATTCAGAAAATGTCTTCCAATTTTAGTCGTTGCTACCTAAAGTCCCCACCCTGCCCCCTCCTTCCACACATACACATGGGTATACATTTGATGCAGAGGCTAACCAAAACTATCATGGGTTGCAGGCAAAATAGTTCAGCCTATTGAAATACTGACCGTAATTTTAATATTTTAAACAGAACCGGTGAACAATGATTTCATTTGTAAATCCAGGAATATCCGGTACATTGTATAAATTTTAACACAGCCAATTTACTCCACAGAACAAAGGTCGTAGAACCATTGTAATAAGACATCTTGTACACATTGGAAGTTAGGACTCAATATTACATGTTTGCTTTTATATTGAAACACAAATCTCCTTTTGTTGGACTGCCAGGCTTCAGCAAATTACCTAAAACTCGTGATCCATCACCAATTGAAATTTACAGAAAGCAACATGAAAAAAACATACTACATTAATGGAAAAATATGGTACTTTTCCACAAAAAAAGGGAGGGGGAAAGCTGTACCTCGGTCATTTCTGGAGACTTGATTTCCTTTATTTTAAAGAAATATCCCAATGTCAGGAAAGCTATTGCCATAGCACTGACACTGATCATAAACACCACAAGGGGAGGCCGGTTGGTAATGTAAACCTTTAAGTTCTCCAGTGAATGAAAGCTGAACATAGTTCCAGTTACGTAAACCTGCAAGCAAAAATAAAAGCAACACATCAATTTCATTCTAACCATTGCAAGGTAGGTTTCCCCATCACCTGATGGCACTGTTGTTTACAAAACAAGATTTCTTAAAATATGTCATTGCTCTTTCACTCTGGAGCGCTAAGAGATGCCCTACGGCTACAATATCAAAGAGGAAATAAGGAAACATCAGAAACCTACGGTTTAACAGGAGGGGAGGGAGGAGGAAGAGACTTATCTTTTTTAGGATCAGTTTCCTCATATAAAATCACAAGTGTCACTGGAGCATTCAACATAATAATAATGTCTGTTCATAAACAAATGTCACTTGTCGTCTGCACCATTTCTGGCCATCCAACAGTCAGACTTACAAAGGAAATACATTCAACGCCGCTCACAAAAAAACCTCAGTCTGCTTTTTTTCTGGCTATGGCAGCAATAGTTTTTGAAAGTGAAGCTGAACCTGACATGAAGGTAGACAGCTTTCCCAAGGTTAGGCTCACATCGCAACGACGCCCTGGGCTTGGAAGTGCTGGCTGATGCTTGGCAATGGCAAACCCTGTGACAACAGTGGAGGCATTCACGCCACGATCTTGCAATCTCAACACAACAGATGCAAACAGCTACCCATGGAGGATACTTACGGCCACACATCGAATTCAAAAGGGAAACTAAAGTTCAGTTGAAGACAAAAGTAAAGTTTACGGGGCGAAACTGTGCTGACTAGTTGTTATTTAGCGTGATGATGCGCTGAGCTTACATTGGGATTTCAGGTTGCAGAGGCCATTACTGCTCTGAACAGCTGACTCAGCGCAGACAGAGATTGAATCTGGGGTATTCTGGGCCGACATGTGTTTTACACGAGACAATAGCTTCACCGAATAAGCACACGGAGGAGTGGAGGTGGGGGGTGAACACCTCAGTAAAGTTCAAGAACATTTCATGAAGTGAAGAGCAATTGCTTGTGTGTTCATGGTTGCACCCTGGGCTCACACGCCCATACTGGTGCCAATTACACACAACTATTCGAAATGCAAACCCTCTCTGCATCACACATTATTCATCTGTGTGCGCTAGCACTCGGGATGCAAATGAAGCAATCAATCAATCGCTCCCGTCAGACCTCAGATTCAGCCTTCTGCACTGGCTACAAAACCTGCCCGGAAGGACACAATTTTTAAAAGAAATGGGACTCTGGAAAGGAGTGGACATAGGGAGAGGTGAGGTGGAGAGCGGAAAGTTAGAATAAAACGTAAAATAAGTAGAAACGCTTTTAAAAACAAGAAATGGGATAAAGAATTTGAAAATGCTTTAAAATTAACATTTCTAGTAGTTGAGGCTTAACGATAGATACAGTGACGAACCGTGACCTAACCGCTTCCGAAACAAAATCAGAACTTAAGAGAACATGGTGGTGGCGTTTCCACTGTGCCATCACAGTGTACCATTGAGTATTGGGCGTGTGCTTCCCCGCAGGGAAAGATGTACAAACACAAGCATCAACATGACTTGTTCCAATAGGTCAGAACCTTGCCAAATTCACCCTTGCAGAGTAAGGTGCCACTAATCCAGGACTGATCGCTTTTCCCTCTCAAAAAATTGCATCTTAACAGCGCGCTTTCGTGTGGCAACTGAATAACATCTCACGGTAAGATATGCAGAAGGGCAGCTGGGCGGTGGTCCATCTGGTTGAGCAATTTTGCATGTCATCAACCGAAACAGTCCAATAATTTGTGTAGCCATCTAACACACGTTTGTACATCCAGCACTTGGGGAGTCCACCTCGATGGGTTTGCAAAGAGGTAAGCAACTGCTGCTCAAACTTTGCACCTCCAACTGATGGAACCATCGCTCAATGGGAAGGGATGCGTGTGCGAGCTACACACAGCGCAACGGTGGCAATGCTCTCACGCATTTCACACTGGGCTGTGTTGCCCTCCAGGAAGCTCGCAGGGAAATCCTGGTACCTGCCATTCACCCAGTGGGGGCTGAAACCCATGCTTTTCAGATGCCGGATTGCCCAACTATTTTCTTCTCATGGGGGTGGGTGGGGAGAGGAGGGTCGCTAAGCAGGGTCTCCTTGCAACTGAACAGGCTCCAAGGTGACGTTTGGCAACCAGAATGTCAGAACCAAACCAACCCTCTGTGCCGGTTTCTAGACCTGTTCCCGAGCCAGACGAGTCCGCAGTATTCCACAGCCCGGCCTGGCTCATTGGCAGCACCTGGAAGGGCAGACCAGTCACTGGGGGGCCGGGAATTCTCCCACTCATCTCCTTTTAGCCCTGCAAGCCAAAGCCCTAACTGGTGAGGTGGTCTTTTTACTGGACAAGGAGTGGGAAAGCTCGCCAGACAGCGATATCGATGGCAAGCTATGCAGTTTTAGCTGCTTAAGACTCCAGCGGTTACCCTCGCGCACACTCTCGGGTCGCCCAAGCCTTGGCTCTTGCCAAGCTGCGCTTTGGGACGATGTGAAACAACAACAACAACAAGATTGCATTTATAGAGCGCCTTTCACGTCGGGAGGACGTCCCAAGGCGCTGGACAGTTGGGTCGGGACCCGAGCATTGGGGGGAAATGGTCAGGGTGAAGGGAGGGAAGGGAGGGAGCGAGGAGGGGGAGAGAGTCGAGAGTCGATGTGAAAGGTGCTATACTAACGTGATTCGTAGTTGTTGTTAATACTTTCTGGGATTAGATAAGCAGCATTGTCCCTCGGGTGGTGGGTGGTCGTGGGGGGGAAAGAGAGAAAGGGGAGAATGAAAGGGGGGGGAAGAGGGAGAGTGAAGGGGGGGAAGAGGGAGAGTGAAGGGGGGAGGGAGAGTGAAGGGGGGGAGGGAGAGTGAAGGGGGGAAGAGGGAAATAAAGGGGGGGGAGAGGGAGAGTGAGGGGGGGAAGAGGGAGAGTGAAGGGGGGGAAGAGGGAGAGTGAGGGGGGGAAGAGGGAGAGTGAAGGGGGGGGGAAGAGGGAGAGTGAAAGGGGGGGAAGAGGGAGAGTGAAGAGGGGGAAGAGGGAGAGTGAAGTGGGGGGAAGAGGGAGAGTGAAAGGAGGGGAAGAGGGAGAGTGAAAGGAGGGAAGAGGGAGAGTGAAAGGAGGGGAGGGAGAGTGAAGGGGGGAAGAGGGAGAGTGAAGGGGGGGAAGAGGGAGAGTGAAAGGGGGGGGAGAGGGAGAGTGAAGAGGGGGAAGAGGGAGAGTGAAAGAGGGGGGAAGAGGGAGAGTGAAGAGGGGGAGAGGGAGAGTGAAGGGGGGGAAGAGGGAGAGTGAAGGGGGGCGAAGAGGAGAGTGAAGGGAGGGGTGGGAGTGAAAGAGGGGAGAGTGGAAAAGGAGGGGAGTGGGGGGGAGAGAGGAGGGAGAGAGGGGGGGAGAGAGAGGGAGAGAGGGGGGGAGAGGGGGAGAGAGGGGAGTGGGGGGGAGAGAGAGGGAGAGAGAGGAGGGGAGAGGGGGGAGAGAGGGGGGGAGGCGCTGACGGTTTAAACAGAAACAAGTCGCGGCCTCGCACAAACTTCACAACACCGAAGCCTGCGCCTTTCCCAGGGCTCTGCCCCGTGGGGGGGGGGGGGGAGGGCCGCGGTTGCTGCTGCACTCACCATCCTCGAGTCAAGTCGGCGGGGGCCTGGGCTCCTCCGGTCACTGTGGGGGGGTGGGGTGTGTGTGTGGGTGGGGGTGTGTGTGTGGGGGCGGTGTGTGTGTGGGTGGGGGTGTGTGTGGGGGGAGTTGTGAGTGGGGATGTGTGTGTGTGGGGGGTGTGGGGTGTGTGTGTGGGTGTGTGTGTGTGTGTGTGGGGGGTGTGTGTGGTGTGTGTGTGTGTGTGGGTGTGTGTGTGTGTGGGTGTGTGTGTGTGTCTATGTGTGTGTGTGTGTGTCTATGTGTGTGTGTGTGTGTGTGTGTGTGTGTGTGTGTGTGTGGGTGTGTGTGTGTGTCTATGTGTGTGTGTGTGTGTGTGTCTATGTGTGGGGGTGTGTGTGTGTGTGGGTGTGTGTGGGGGGGTGTGTGGGTGTGGGTGTGTGGGTGTGTGTGTGTGGGGGTGTGTGTGGGTGTGTGTGTGTGTCTATGTGTGGGTGTGTGGGTGTGTGTGTGGGGGTGTGTGTGTGTGTCTATGTGTGTGTGTGTGTGTGTCTATGTGTGGGTGTGTGTGTGGGGGGGGTGTGGGTGTGTGTGTGTGTGTGTGTCTATGTGTGGGTGTGTGTGTGTGGGGGTCTGTGTGTGTGTGTGTGTGTGTCTATGTGTGTGTGTGTGTGTGTGTCTATGTGTGGGTGTGTGTGTGTGGGGGTGTGGGTGTGTGTGTGTGTGTCTATGTGTGTGTGTGTGGGTGTGTGTGTGTGTGGGTGTGTGTGTGTCTATGTGTGTGTGTGTGTGTGTGTGTGTCTATGTGTGGGTGTGTGTGTGGGTGTGTGTGTGGGTGTGTGTGTGGGGGTGTGGCGCGGGCCCCGGGTGTCGGGGTGACCGTCAGGCCCGAGCCGGGCGGCGGGAGGCGGCGGAGGCGGCGGCGGCGGAGCGGCTGAGCTCGGGGCCGGCGCTGGTCATGTCTCTCACGGCGGCTCGGCTCGGCCCGGGCCCCGCCCCGCCTCCTGCTCTGCCGCGGCGGCGGTCGGTTAGTCGGTCGGTCGGTCGGTCCGCGCGCTCGGGCTCTGCGTCTCTGTCGCCGGCGGCCGCTGACTGAACGCTGACTCGCCCGCCCTGACCTCTGACCCCCCGCTCCCCCCCCACACACACACACACACCACCACCGCTGCACTGCACTGCAATCAGCGCCCACTCCCCCATCAGCTTTTTTTTTAAAAAAAAATTAAAAAAAAATTAAAAAAAATAATATTCCTCACCTGCGCTCCCGTTTACACGCCCTTTCGATCGGGTTTACTCACACGCAAACGTACCTGGTCATGTATTTATATATGTGTGCGTGCGTGTGTGTGTGTGTGTATATAAATATAATATAATTAAATGCAAGCTCATGCATATATATATATATACATATATATTATATTTATATATGCATAAGCTGGCATTTAATTGCATTTAATTGCATTGCCGTAACTTGCATTTAATTGCATTTAATTGCATTGCCGTAACTTGCATTTACTGTACCCCCCCCCTCCCCCCCACCACCCCAACCCCCCCCACAGCTTGCATTTAGATTTAATTTGCATTTAATTGCAATGCCATACTTGCATTTACTGTACCCCCCCCCCCACCCCCCCTCCCCCCCCCACCCCCCCCCCACAGCTTGCATTTAGATTTAATTTGCATTTAATTGCAATGCCATAACTTGCATTTACTGTACCCCCCCCCCCCTCCCCCCCACCACCCCCCCCCCACTTGCATTTAGATTTAATTTGTATTTAATTGCATTGCATTGCATTACTGTACCCCCCCCCCCACCCACAGCTTGCATTTAGATTTAATTTGCATTTAATTGCAATGCCGTAACTTGCATTTACTGTACTCCCCCCCCCCCCCCCCCCCCCCGCAGCTTGCATTCGGATTTAATTTGCATTTGATGGCAACGCCGTCAACTTGCGTCTCACGCTGCGTACGACTCGCATCGATTCGTGCGCCCGCAGCGGCTTGCACTTGCACCTCACTTGCATTTATTCACTCGTCCACTTTTTACTGCACCTTGCGCGTTCCGCCCATCAAAATGCGCGGTCGATCCACGTTGCGGCGCATTCTGTGAAGCGCTTTTGAGACGTGATGAGGCGTTATATCAAACGACGTGATACGGCGTTATATCGAATGCAAGGATTATTATTTATCATAACTTGAATGACTTGCATTTGTTTATGATCAACTTAAATGTATTGATAACTTGCATTTGTTTATTACAATTGTTTGTGTCTAAGTATTATAACTTGCATTTATATATCATCCTTTTAATAACAACATGCGTTTACGCAGATTTTTAAAAAGAATAATGAATTACGTCACTTTCAATACCACTTCTTGAGTTTGATAAATGTCAAAACGTCTCAGGTAATCGTTGTCACGTCCAGTTACTGTGCATTTGTGGGTGATTGACCGGTTAATCTGGAACGTTGTTAGTCAGGACACTTAGCATCAACTGATAACAGTCCAATGGACCTTGTTTTAAGATGCTCAGAGTGTGATTTATGATCACCAAAGCTGTCTGTGGATTGTCTGTGATTTTTTCCCTACATGAGCTTCGTTTTTAAGAAATGAGTAACTGTGATTCTCAATTAATAGCTATAAAACAGGTTTTCTCAAAGGGAAGAAGGAACGGGAGGAAATATATACCTGGGAGTAAATTTGTGTTAGGAAACAGTTTACTCTTAAGTCTATTGCCACAGATGGTTCCTCAGTTAACCTGCCATACTTTATGGAATTAACTCCCTGGTCAGTTTTCCTTCTCTCTTCAGTAGTTGAAACAGACTAAGAAATTCATTCCCTGGACACAGCCTAAGTGCGAATGTAATTTGAAGCCGAAATGCAACTATAGTCTCCGCTGTGTAGCAGCTGAATCTCCCAATAATGTTTTAATAAAAGAAGGAACAGAATCAATCTCTTGCGATGTGTTTGTTTTCTCACCTTTCCTTTGGCCTTTGTCTTTCAATCCACGTGATCAACTTGGCACACACTTGTAAAGATTCGCCCTATGAATGGCAAACAAAACTTACTTTCGCTGCAAGAGTTGTCCAATTCAGAAACATTTATTATTTTTATACAGAATATATGTGTCTATGGGGTGGGGGGAGGGAGGAGAGGTGGGGCACAGAATTTAAATCACTAGGAAGGATGACATTTATTCGAAATAAAGATTGCTCAGTTCAATGCCATCTGCTCACTTGCAAAAACAGACATATTTAGTTTGATGAATGAGCTCCTATGATTTCTATGGCACTTGCACAATTGCTATCCTGTAATTACAAGCAATGATTTATTACATTTGTGCAATCCCAAACACCCAAAAGCACAATAAAGCATCATGTCTAATACTGGCTTATCAAAATATGGTATACAGTATTGAAATTAATTTCTGATAAATGTCTTATCTGCAGCATAAAAGATACGTCACACAATGCCCACGTGAGACAAATTCTTACACGAGAGTATTTTGTCTGCTAATAGTAACATTTATATGCAAAATGTAATAGAGCAATTGTGCCTTTCCTAGATTTCAAAACCTAAATCAAAAACTTTCAGCCACTATGTCCCTGCTTCTTTAAAACGCCTTAAGTCCTCGCCCTTCCTCTCTGCTTTCAAACCCTTCTAAAAAAAACATTGTGCAAAATTGCAGCATTTGAGTCATTGTAGAACTAGAGTGAACCTCAATTTCAACAACTGGTCCACGGTGATTTAACTGATGTCAAATGGAAGGGCAACAGAGCAATACAGTGCCTCAAGATGGAATACAAATAACCGGCCAAGTTTTGTTATGCCTTTTAATTATAACATTGATAGTTTTGTGCTTAATTTTTGTTCCACTTTGTTCAATTCCATTGTGCTAAGCTACAACTATGCCATTGTAGTTCTGAACATTGAGATTTATGGTCATTATTGGTAAGTATAATCATATTTGTCAGAGATATGCAGTACACTGTGTTGTGTCAGATTCTTAGCACCTGAAAGGTGAAAGGAGGGCAAGTTTCAACCTTTATCTGAGCATTGTTAAGAGCTATCAGCTAATAGTGTTTTTTTTCCCCACAAAGACATATCTGAGGCAGCAAGAATCTACTTTATCCAAAGATAATGGAGCCTACTATCAAAATCAAATCTAGTATTCATTTTTTTCAGCTGGTCAGTGCAAGATATTTTCCTTTCTAGTGGTTCAGCAGTCTGTCTATGATAGCTTCTTTATGGAGTTGACTCTGCTGATGATACGCAAATATTATTTTGTTAGGTTAGGTTACTTGTTATGAGTGCTGCTAAATGGAAAAGAATGTTCTCTCCATTAAGATAATGAAGGAGATTGAAGTTTTGCTCTCAAAAGCACTCAGTTCCTTAATTTTGGTGTTGTGTCGTCCACCAAAACCATCACCAAATTCGAGATTAGAATTGTGGTTCACTGTCAATATCAGATCCAATTTCATCAATTTGTAACGATGAAATTGCAATGACTCAAGAAACGAGTAATAAATGATCACGACGACATCAAGTGAAGGAAAGCACACTCCCAAACCATTTTACCCAGAGGGTAATTAAAACTGACATGGGTTACCAGGAAAGCTGTTGCGATGACAACGCCAGCTTCATTTCAGAAACAACTCGACGATGCAAGGATGGGGAGGATGGTAGCATGGATATTCTGGAATATAAGTCACAATGCCAGTGAGAATGCTCATTTTTTTGGAACGTTCAAAAAATAATAAGTTTCACCTGGACACTAAAATAGGGTGGTCGTAGCAGTAATTCACCTGTATAAAGCGGTATAAAGTTCTATAAAGCGGTTACATTTTCATCAGAATGTACACTAACTAGTAAAATCAGAAATACTATGATTGCCGTCGGTGGAGGTGAACTAAAAGCATAGGGGTTGGAAGTCGGGGCAACAGGTGAATCAGTAGGTTACACATTCCAAACTTTTAGTTGATGATATTTCTCATAATCATTTAATTTCTCTCTGGTATGGGTACAGTACCATAATGAAACAAAGTCAGTTTAATCAGATATATAACTGCAAAGGTTTCAAGACATTCCCATGTCCTGCTACTAAAACTACAAAATGACCAGACTTTACATGTTTTGGTAGGAGAAGCCAAAAGGAAAGGAAGTATGTTTCAACCTTTAAGAACTTGCTACTGGTCAATAACTTTCGAATCATTCACACATATTATAGACTGATTGTTGATTAGCATTTTGTTTCAATAACATGGTTAACCCGGTAAAAGCTCAACCTATTGAACTATCAGAAGTTAAATGAAGGTAAACGACGGTCCTAAGATCTCAAACAATTCAACATCCACTGATTTTTAAACTCTGTCCTTGCTGCTCAAATGACGTCCAACAGGAGATCGTCAACCAGATGCCATTTTCCCACCAAACCTATAAACACTGAGGTTAAAACAATGTAAAAGACACGTTTTCATCTCATCATAGACTTTAATAACCTATATATTTAAAAAACACAGCAAAAAGTACACACAAACAAATTGCACTGATTTACCAGAATCGTAGGATTCTTGGTGGAGATGCTTAAAGAGGATGTGCTTTTGAATTCCCACCCTGACAGGCAGGGCTACAACAGTGGAGTGAGTGATCACAAAAAGCTAACATTTTCATTCAATGTCTGTTCAAGGGAAGTCTGACCAACACAAACAATGTCAACTTTATAGGATATCTGTGTCGAAGGAAGGCGTTCACATAGAAACCACGCCAAGTCTTGCACTTCGGATGGCTCAGTTCTCTAAGTTATGAACAATCAGGCAAAGAGTTAGTAACTTTGTTATAAAGTTGTTTACCAAATCAAATTGGAATGCATAATACAATTAAGATCCTGATATTAGGAGGCTAGTTAGATCAGTAAAAAAAAGCTAAGTTACTGAACTTCCACATAATCCGCTATCACAAATTATTTCATAGCTGTTGAGGTGCTTTGCAGAGTAAGTATGGAAGAAAGTTTAAAACGCCTCTGTGGGAAATTCTGAAATCTGAGTCTATTCTGTATATTAACTGGCATCATGCACTTGTCAGTGCAAATCCATACCACACTGCTTACTGCTCTTTACAGATGTACTTGCAACTTTAGAAAGCCCAGTTGGAAATTGAAACCTTTGCGAAATGGAATTTGTGAAAGACGACCGCTGTATTTATAAGAAAAAAACGAAAGCTGGCAGAATTAACAAAACTGATACAAAGCAACCGATACAGTTCTTCATCACAGATGACACAAAGCTCAGTGTAGCATACATCACAAATGTTGGGGTTGTGGAGCCTTACTTAATGCAGAATATAATGAAGCAGCACAATTGTCTACCGGGTTTTATTATTTTTTTTTACAAGTTTATAAACAAGTTTATAAACAAATACTTGGATAACTCTCCCAGTTCAAATGAACAAGTGTCATTTGATCAATGTTGGTTTACGCCATGTTTTCACTTATCTAAATGAGGGTAGGTTTATAAACAGCTCTTCTAATGACTGATCCCAAGCTTGCAGTTAAAGTAGAAAACCGAGTTATACAATTATTATTTGCACAATTTGGAAAATTCCATAGCTAATGGAAGCAGGAGTGTACTTGGTACTATTGCTAAATAATTTCATATTGTAACAAGAATCTGTCTCTGCAGTTGTCATTTAAAATCAAGCATCTTCTCTGAACTATTCCAAACAAACAGTTGTGCATTACTTGGTGTGAAATTCACTTTGTAAAGTTCTTAAAGGTATTTGCGTCCCCCCACTCCTAATCAAAATCTCATCTCACGTCATACCATTTAGTGTTACTGAACTGACTTGGAAAATTAATTTTATAAGATGTTTATTGCACAACATGACAAGAGTACCTAATGGGGAAATGCATTCTGTAATTCTGCTCCACTTTCTATGTTGGAGACAAAATGGTGAGTATGGGTTTCACCACCTGTTCTGAGAAGAAAATGCATAGTAATGAAACTAGACAGAGGATGATTTTAGTTTGTTCCTTGGAAATCTCAGGTCAACCCTCACTTTGCCAAACGGGTATATATTAATATGCTATGAATCCCAGCTCGAACCTTACAGTTGAATTATACTTATTACCTTCAACCATTTCCCTTCATCTTTAGCTGAAGTACAGTAACTCTACCATTCTCTCTGTGACCAAACCACAGCTATCAAACAGCTTCTGGGGACAATAAACAACCCTCAGAACTTTACATTGTCCCGGGCTTGCCATTCAATTCCATTTTGTTTTCTTCAGCTAGCAAAGACTTGTGGCTCAATAGGCGGTGGAAGCTTATCATTTTCTACATTGTCAGAATCGATGGCAGCCACTGGCTGGCTTCGTGGTTTGATATCGAGTGGATACTTCTCGATAATATCTTGGACATCTTTGCTTACACCTTCGCTCCAATCGATGAGGTCTTTTTCCAGCTTCTTGGTACCTGACATAATTTGTTCCTGTTTTTCGTTCAGCTGTGAAATAAGGCTTAAGTTTTTGTACATTTGCGAGAATCCCGGGGACGTGTCAGAGTCCTGCTTCTTGGGGGATGACTGGCCAGACATGTAGCGATCAAAATCTTCCTCAGTCAGGTTCAGAGACTGAGCATCCAGTTTTTCAATAAAGGCAACTGCACAGCACTGCAATCGAGATATGCGACACATTAAAGTTAATTAGACAAAAAAATGAACATTTTTTAAAAAGGCAAACTAAACTAACTCTGGCAGTTATTCGCTCATTTAACAGCTTCCACTTACTAAATTAGTGAAGTAATATCCATCTTCCCCAGTCATGAGCCTGCTCGGATTGCAGAACCGAGTTATGTACTGAATGTTTGACTGTAAACGAGGCGGGTTTGCCTTTAAAACAATGTAGATAAGTGTGGGCAAGAAGTCATCAGCGGAAGCAGGTTCGTTCTTGGTGATCTTGATGGCATTGAAGATATGCTTGCTACACTGGGTAACGCAACCCAGCTTTTCACGTGGAACCCGTTTGGAGTCCACTTCTATGACATCTGTATGAAAATGCAGAATATGGATTATTTACACTCTATCAAGCCAGTGTTAGTGCAAGTTTTTTCTTGGTTTCCATTTGCTAGCTACTGCCCTAAAGAACACTCCTTACAAATACATTTTTCAGACACATGGTGGCACCAAATCTCAATTCATTGCACCACATGAGTTCACTAAAGCTAATTGCTGAAGAGGTAAACATTAGATATCAATCCGTTCCATATATTAATATTCCTTACATTAGGTTCAGGATAAATAATTTACTTTGTTCACAGCTTGTTTGTTGTTTGGGAGATATTCAACGTTTATTTTACCCCCTAAAAAAAAGTGCAAGCATGACCAAAGCATGTTCTATTTACACTATAAAATATTAGTTAATAGCAGTGTTATTTTTACAGTTAATAGAAATCTATATTTTTCTGATTTTCAACAGTAAATGATACCAGCAAATAATGTTCAGTTCATACACAGATACAACTACCGTTTTTACAAATGTTGAGTAAAGTGATTTGAAATGAAAGTTGTGCAAAATTTTCAAAAAATTACACAATACACTTTGCTGAACTCCTTATTTTTAGAAAATAGTAAAAAACACAAAACTTTTGCCATCTAAAGGATTTAATTTGTAGTAGGTTTTCAAAGGATTTCACAACATCCTCTCCCCCTGCTCCCACAAAATAATAATCCTTGCATTTGACAGAGCCTCACACATCAGGAGGATGCCTCAAAGCACTTCACGGGATTTACTATAAAGTGTAGTGACTGTGTATGTTGTAGGTGAACTGGGCAGCTGATCAGCACATAATAATAGTCATATCCCACCGCCTCGAAGCGAACAGCAAATTTTATTTGTGGGATTGTTGGCTAGGAGACTTTTCAGATAGTGCCATAGGATTTTTAGCGTCCACTTGAACAGGCAGATGGGGCTTCTTTAATGTCTCATCCGAAGGACAGCACCTCCCCCAGCACTGCACTGGAGTGTTACCCTAAACAATGAGTTTCAAAGTCCCAATGTAGGGGTTGAACACACAAACTTCGGACTTTGAGCCAAGCCAGCTGCAAAGTGAGTCAGGCAGACACATACTGAGCCAAATAATAGATAATACAAACCTGTAATTGCCTTTACAACCAAGTCATTAACTTCAGGGATGTCTTCATTCACTGGGACACAAAGCATTTCCGGAGTCACCCAGTGTAATGCCCTGGAGAACAGGGGGGGGGGAAAAAAGAATTTTATGTAAAAAAAAGTACATTTAGTACCTGCATCAATTTCACATTCAACTAAACATTTACCTAAACCATTACTTCTTTGTCCAGTTGATATTACTGCTCTGTGGTTCAAAGCAATTAACTCCAACCAAATCCATAAACATGTAGGAATTGATTTCATTTCCTGTAATAAAATCAGAGAGATGTCTACCACATCATTCCTAAGCTTATTTGAAAATCCAAAAGGAAAAGATAACTCACCTAATTCTTTTCTGGATTGCAAGATCTTTCTTCTCATCATCAGTAGTTTCGGGACAAAACACATGTTTGTACAGCCGGGTCATGATGTATTTTTCAATCTGATCCATTACATTCTCTATACGTTCAGAGGAACCTGAAATAATTAGGTACATGAAAATTGATTCACAGGGCAAAAAAAACATCAAAAGCAGATTACAATGAGGACCACAAAATTCGATTAAGGCTGGGTTAAGTAAAACATTTGAGGAATATTAAAAACTCAAAGAACTACAACTCCAAAATATTACATGAGCCAGTTTTGTGGCTGGGTATTACTTTAAGCTCTAAACAGACCCCTTCCAATAATAATAATTATCTTTGCATTTGATTTAGCGTTTTTCACGTCTTCTAGAAGCCTCAAAGCGCTTCACAGAATATGCTGTGAAGTTAATTGACTATATATTTGTGGGCAAAATAATAATAATCCAGGCAAGTTAGTAAGCACATATGCCACAGTGATTTAGAAGCTTTAGGAGTCAATGTGGCATATTCAATAAAGTCTGGCTTTATAAATAACAGCTAAATATAACTGCAGTGTCACAAGAATTCTGTTCCTATCTGATCCTGCATCTAATGCAAAAATAAAATGCCCAAAGATAATGCATCTTCCCTTGGTATGTAAAATGTTACTATTAAATATTTATACTGATTTATTGTAATTAAAGCAAACTATTGTTATGGTTTAATTATTATTGATAAAATAGATAAAATTGATGAAAAACGTGCATGCCCAAGGGTATAAAGGTGACGATTTATACTTTTATTTAGTGTTAATTTAACACACATGCTCAGGACTTTCACAAAAGTGCTTTCATAATACCAGCCTGGAAAAAAAACATGCGCTTCGAATTAGTCCCAAAACTTTTGAGTCGTCTGCACTAACAGGTTCTAATACAAAAAACATTCCTATATAAAAATAATTGTACTCCACATTGTGCCACATATTATACAAGTTACTGACTCATACCGTACTAAGCAATGTCAGATTTTTCTGCAATGTGCTATTCCAGATGTTAGTGGGGGGGGAACAGTAATTTAATGTCTCACCCATTTTCATTTTTTAAAGTCCTTAAACGCACCCAAAAAGTTAACCTGCTCAAAACCAGAGCCATGTACTTCAATATTTTTCTGATCTACTCTCAAGACTGAAAATACTGAATTCTAAACGAACCTGCGGGGAGCACAATACTCAATGAACTCTAAAAAAAGAACAATACATCATGCAAAGATATGTAAAGCTTGGATGCAGATTGATCTCAGTGATTTCTTAACATAGCTCCTAATCAGAGACGAGTTAACATGGAGATGCCATGGAATGAAACTCAAGGGAGGCAATTTTTTTTTTAAAAAGTCTAAATATACCACTCCAATCCCACAGGCCTCCTAGCACCACGTTCAAGAATAGAGTTGGCAGGTGATGGGAACATACCACCTGCAAACAGGGTAATATTGTTCTGCTTAACTGGACTAAAAGAAAAATCAAGGCAGTCAAATCATTAACTGAGTGGAGGCTGTTTTTCAGAGTAAACTTGGCAGCAATTTGTGTTAAGTTGTTCTGCAGTTTCTATCCAACCCTGTGGACTTTTGCAGACAAGCAAAAGAGCTTAAACTTATTTTTTAAGGGAATAAAGGTTAGATGGGGGAGGGGGATTTGGAAGAGAGATAAATTAAGAGAAAAAAAGGAAAAGAAAGGTCAAGCAGAATTAAAGCACAAAAATAAATACCTTTAAACGTGGATTGAGTCTGCAGACGATCCACTATATTCTGATAGAAGTCCTGCACATACTCAGACTGCTCCTCAATATTCATTTCCTGACATTAAGCAAATGGGAAAATACAAATCTTAGTGAGTTAGGAATGTCTTTTGATTTACTTCTTATGAGTATATGAGAATAGATAACCTATACAGCGCAAGTCAAAATCATCAATACATATCACATCAGAAGCCACTGCTTATCAAATATGTATTTCCAAATCATAACATTTATTGATTTTACTGGTTAAACATCTTTAAAAAACGTACTTTAGTTCAGGCAGATATTAAGTCTATTGGTCCACACTGCAGATAAGTAAATGCTGGATGTATATGATTAATGTTCAAATTCAGATATTCCTATAAAAAGACACTTATCAAAACTGACCTTTTTATTATTCATGGACTCAATGAATGCTCTGCACTGTTTCAGGATTTCATGGCCAGCCCTGCGGAAGGGTTTGAGGAAATCAATAAAGTCCTTAGAAACGCGGTCTGTTTCTAGGCTGGCTTGCCTGCTTATGGACGGACTTGGAGCTTTGACCTCCTGGCCTTCTCCTGTTTTTGATAAAAATATGAATATGACAAGTGCAATGTTCGAAGACCATTATTAGAATAGTTTTGCTCAACTCATTCACTGCTTTGTCTGAAGGATAGAGGGATTAAGGGATATGGGGATAAGGCAGGCAGATGGAGTTAGGTTAGAAGATCAGGCATGATCTTATTGAATGGCGGGGCAGGCTCAAGGGGCCAAATGGCCTACTCCTGCTCCTAATTCCTATGTTCCTATGAATGCATCATCTAATCCGGTTACAATCCACAGTATGCTCGGTATAAGACAACTACTATACCATCATCAAGAAGTTCTGGAGACAATTTTAGTACTTGAAACAAGTCGAAGAATTCTTCTATTTTGAACAATGAAAAGGGAAAGAATACATACGTATAAAACAAAGGCAATATCTTTAGTTAACAAATATACTAACTTGAAATGTATTTAAAAATTGCAAAGTATAGCATACATTTTGGAACAATCCCACTTTTAAGAATCCTATACAGAACTAAAGAAAGTATCTACATTTATGATTATTTTAAATTTATTGCCCTTACAAACTAAAAGGAAGATTTCTGCAGTAAATAAAACCAAGAACGGAGGAAAAAATACACTTCCTTGTATGCAAGCGGCCATTATAACCACACCTAAAGTATTACAATAATGAAATTGCTTTACTACTAAAAGTTGATAGTGGGAAAGAGCTCAAAATTGCTGCTATTTCACATTTTAGGTCTGACAGGAAAGATAATTTGTATGGATAATTTGTTTCTTCAAAGGAAGACACTTAATGGGCAATTTTTAATTTATTTTATATTAAAAAAGCTATTGAAGTACTGGATTAAGGCAAGCAATAAAAACTATAATATGAACAGTTTTGACTCAAGACTATTAATTTTACATTAGATATTTGAAACTGATCATGCATTACAATTCTGATAATTATTAACGATTACATTTTAATGAACTCGTCAAAAATACCAGAATTATGTATAAGAAAGTGGCTACGTTCATTTTTATGTGAGTTTTGTACCAATTTTGAGCTCCCCTAAATCAATCATTACGCACCTCGCAATTTGCCAGCCCACACTGTAGCGAAATGAGGAGCAAAAGATTTCCAAATGAACAGATGACATGAAACACAATGAAAACAGTCACACAAATACCACCCCGCCCTTCAACACACACACACAGAATTACATTGAATGTTAATGGAAACAGGCCCTTAGGACCCAACCGTCTCAGTGTTTATACCCCACACAAGTTAAAATGAAAGAAAAATCAAAGTGATCTGGTGAGTTAAAAAAATCACTTTTGTTTTGTAACAAGATGAAAATTCTTTGTACAGAAATAGGGCAGCTGTTAAATTAGCTTTGGTTATATAGTAATTTTTAGCTATTAATACAAAACTGTAATTTAAATGGTGATTGTAAGCCTCAAAATGAGCAGTTCCAATATTTTACAACACAAAACATTTAAACAGAAATTTGTTTGGGGTCGCGTCAAAGCTTTTCTGTAAAATTCATTTTCCACAGTGCACACATCTCGTTACAGGTTTATGATCTGATGTTTTCAATAAAATGTACTTTTTCTACTAAATACTGATGCATTATTTCTATCTTAAAATACACTCGTCCAACACAAGCATTAAAAACTTAACCAAGTATTTGAAGAAAAAGTTCCATTGGACATTTAAGTTTAAATGCCTAAATTACTATACTTTATTGCAGTTTTCCAGCCAGTAGACTGAACTATAGTCCTTATAGTTATCTGTTTAACTCAATACATTTGCTGTTTGTTTTATCCCAATGTGTTCATGTAATGAAATAGGTTAGCCAAACATTTTTCATTGCTGAAGCATTAAAATAAAAATTATTATTCATAAAAGCAACTTAAATTATATTGTTGCAAATTCATCTCACTATGCCAAAAGTTCACATAAAATTAGCAGTTACTGTGCTATTAAGCTTTAAAATGATAAACTAAAAGACCAAAAGATTATCATACATATTGTAAAGCAACTACATAAACAAATTTATATAACTCTCCAAGTTGTAACAGCCACTGTGCAAGTCATGTTTGCTGTAGGGCTTACTGCTAAGTGATTTACCCAATTTGTAGTTGTACATAAAATTCAAACTTAAATCATCTTAAATGAAGAACGTGGAGAAGATGATTACACTGTATCCACATTATTATCAACAATTTTAGTCATCTTGGTATCAGTGTCTAGAAAGATTCAACAAACAAATATAGGGTGGAGGAAACAAGGAATTAAATGCAAATAATAATCAGGGGTTAGATGTTTAGTAGCCATAGTTATTAATGGTAAAAAACCTAAAATGTCCTCAACTACAGTAACAGGCATTGGACAGCAAAAAGGCAAAAGTTTTTCTTAGTTCACTGACCACTATTCCACAAGAACTAGAGGGTCGGTAGGAATGTATACAAAAAGCTAGAAAATCTGTTGAAAATATTGAGAATTCAAAAGCTTACGTTGACATTTGACCCAAAGCAAATGTGTCAATTAGTTTCCATAAGGTTTTGCTTCAGTTGCGAATTGTGTCTCCCACCAACTTTACTGATGGAACCAGTATCTTGGTTTAGAGGATGTTGCCCACTGTTACAGTGTGAGTTTGTGTTCATGATCACCACATGACGAGACTCGGATCACAGCCAACAGTGGAAGAGGGAGGAGGCTGAGGGAAGGGACATTTTACTGCAGATCAGAGATGAGGATAGGGATGGAGATAAAATAGACGGGTCTTCAAACTCATCTTACTCTCACAAATCTCCCAGCAAATGATTAGTGCTGGAGACCTCGGAATAGGTCTCTCACCTGTGCTCTAGGTGGGGAAGTGGTGTAAACTGCAGCACTATAAAAAATAATTGAATGTTGTGGGGATCAAAAGAAAAAAAATGTGAACGTTTTAGACACCATAACTCGTGTAAAAATTTGCAGTAACTATCTTAATTGAGCAGTATCAAATTAAGTCAAACCGAATCAAATTATAGCTAAACTGGACTCAATGCAGAAATTGAACAAATTAATTGAGATCACAATAAAAAAATGAATTGGAGTAAACTGTAACTGGAAAATTAATTGTGAAATGTTTGTCCACAACTATGGTCACTAAAAGTAACCCAAGTTACCCAAGTGTAGGTAACTCAAGGTGCCAGACAGTACAAACAAACAGCTTGTAACTGTACTGCATTACCTTCAGTAGTAGTAGTCAGCTCCCAGGGCGGAGTAAAAATCTCCTTCAAGTCCCTGAGAATGTTATCCGCATTGCGCTCCCTCCCACCTATTCCATGCTTAAGAGCTTTCTCTTGAGCCACTAAATGTAGGAGCAAATAAGGGGGAAAATAGCAAGGGGCAAGCAGCAGAACAGGGCAAATGGGGAATGAAAGAAATCACAAGAACAGAAACCATGTCATTATTCAGACAACAGCCATACAATACAAAAACACTTGATGGAAATTGAGCGATTTGTCTACCACCTTCGCGGAGTCAAATAGCACAACAAAACACTGACAATCATGAAACAAGTAGAAGCTCATTTCACTTTGTTTCAATCCTATTTTTGAAATGTTACCGCAGTTCAATATCGTAACAGCTGCGCACTGCATTACTTTGCAGTGTAAAACAGTACATGGAAGGAGAGATACGTGTACTCAAAATCTACGTGAACAGATGCTGCCATTGATTTGATACCTTTCCTTATTCTTTATCTTTTTTGCTTCAACAACTGCATTTTCTATCTATTATATTTCTTTTCTTATATTCAATTGTACTGAAATGAAGATCCCCTGCATCACATCAGTAGAATTCTCATTGTTTTATTTTGTTCTGTAAAGCCTGTGATAGGGTAACTTTTTTTTTTGCAGCAATTGAAATCATGAATTCAATAATAAGCAAAGTAGCCACGTCTGCTCTCTGAAATATACAGAAGCAAAGATCATGATCAGCAATATTATCAGCAAGGTAATTACCTTTTTTCTGTGCACCTCGAGATGATGGACTAAAGAATTTCTTGACGGTTTGGACTTTCCTTTTCGTCTCATTCGTCTTCTTCTCCTCAAACTTAGAAAAAGTCAGGGATGGTGCTCCTTGGCTACTTGCATAAGCAGCTTCCTCCTCCCGTTGTAGTCTGCAAATCATTCAGAAGCCAGCAAGTAGGCAAATGTTATTGCGTATTCTCGCAAATGGTATGGTACATATGATTTACCTGACGTGTGTTACAGATTTCTCCTACACTGTCGCTTCCAAATGTTTGCATTGTAAATTTGCACTGGCAAAGGAATTACCGCAAAGAGAACTCCTCTTTATTTCAGTAAAAAGAAATGTAACTTTGACAGTTTTATAATACGCAAAGGACGTTCCCAGGGGATTGTAAATATTGAAATCGTGTCACGTTACCGTTCAGCGAACTCCCGGTCTCCCTGAATCTGCTGCTGTCTGGCTTTGCTGTACTCCTCTCTCCAGCACTTGGAACAAAAGCCTTGCCAAGCAGGATTTCCATAGTAACCACATCCCTTCTTACACAGCAGCTCCGACTGGTCTACATGGATTCCTCTGCGTTCCGATTTCAAGCTCATCCTTTTGCTGTGAAACAGCACAAGGCTGCTGTAAAATCTAGATCTACGTGACCTAAAGTCTGGAAGGAATGAATAACATTAATAACTGGGTGAATCCAGGTGTCGTTGAGGGAAAAAAAAGGAAATCCTAAATAGAATATTTACAGTTAATTTAGATCACTTAAACAGTTTTTTTCAAAAGTCTTCAACAAGTTTATATCTTGGAGGTTTTCACACTTTAATTTATACCAGTGCTGACATTTACATTTCAAAATCATCATGTGTTTTTTTTTGAATGTCAAATTGAGGTCTATCTGCTTTTTTGACTCAGATAAACTTCAGCTGCTCAATCCTATTACTTCAAAGAAAGGTGGGGAGGTTTTTCCTGGTTGTCCTATTTTATATTCCCTCCTCATCCAAATTCACCTCCCCATAACTCAAAGAAAGCAGCTATTGATTCCATCGTCACTTGTAGGGCATTGATGGTGCATATTAACTGCTTTGTTTCATACATAACATCCTCTTTATTTCTAACTAATCTTATTCTGTGACTTCTTCAAGATAGTCTTTTACATGAAAGTTTATCTTAAATGTGGAGAAAAAGCAGAGAAATCTGATTAAAAGATTTACTATGATGTAACAAAATGTCAAAACTGGTTCAACGAGCTGAATAATCTACTACATGGCTTTATATTTCTTGTGCTACCAGTATAATACTGTAGAAAGAAGAACCTCAAACATTGTGCTACGATGACATCAGCTGTATTCAGGCGCCAGTAAATCTGGCACTAAACTAGCTTTTAATATGTGGTTAACTCAGTGCGTGTATATATATATATATATATATAGAGAGAGAGAGTGTATTATATTTGTAAACTTATGGGAATATTTGAAAAATGTAATAAAAATTGGAACAATGGTTAATTGGAATAAATTGGAATAAAATTGAACTAAAATAATAGGTTCTGTGAACATAAAAATATACAGTTTAAAGATCACAAACTTTGTTTAAGGTATCACAAACACTCAGTCGATTGTTATTTATATTATAAAATATAAACCTGGGTTGCCATACCAGTTTTGAATGTTTGCCTCTTAGGGTGCAGCAGAATAAGTGAAAGAAGTGCTGTATTTCACCTTCACCGAGCTGTGGAAATTCAAGATAGCGAGAGAAACATTTATATGGAAAGAATTAGTGTAAATTTTTTTTTACAATTTCAGCCCTTTCCCGGCCACATTTTATTGGAATTCCATTTTTCATTATTAAAGCCACATTTTTTTTAACTACTGCTATTTTTTTTTACCGCTTTGGCTTTGTTCTTCAACAGTGTCATGTGATTGGAAAATTTGCAAGACAAGAATGATGAATTAGGGTTTAAAACCGGAAAGTTTACATGGAAGGGAGTTAATGTCACTTATTTCAATGTACAGAGAACCAGCCAATCAAGAGGCAACATTGCAGTTATATTAAATGATGAACCCATGCTAGAATTCAGTTCAATCTGATGATGTTGTCACTGTTTTCCTATTCTGTAATAAAAAAAATCTTTCATCTTCAACAACTCAGGAACACGGGAAATGTTTGTACCTGCCCCAACCCAATATGTTTGGGTTACAATAACCTTTTCAGTGTATTCCTCGCTATTCCTTTTTCTGAAACATTCTAGTAGCAATATTATATCAATATTATGAAAAATATTTTGTCTAACTCATTTATCAGTGTCCTTTGTAACTATAAGGTCATCTTGAAATCCTTTGCCCAATGACAACAAGCAAAATTTCCTCATCATTCGGATTCCTGAAATCAAGTGTCATCTTGGTTGGCCTACCACTCAAGAGCTTACAATATACTTCAATGCTAAGATGATCAATAATGTATAGTATTGCAAATAAACCTCAAACAGTGATCTATACAGCAGTACTGTCAGCTCTTACACATTTCAATTCTAATTATATACATGGTACTGCAGCCAGATACTTGACTGGTGGCTCAATGATTTGTTTTTCAGAATAACCTTCAAATCTTCCGTATCAATATCCTAACACACTTGCTTCACTCAACACAAACTCCATAATTATTTTATGTGTCTGCATTGACCTGGATTTGCACAGCATTATAATCTTACGTACATTGTTCCTACATACGGCAAAAAATGAGGATATTGTAACCAGCCAGAAAAATACCACCACTTTCTCTGGGACACTTTCTCACTCATCACTTTCACTGCCCTCTATGGGCAACTCATACTCGAATTCAACAGATACAGAGTTTCTCGTGCTCCAATGCCCCAAATAGAACTGGTCATTCACTTGATGGCTGTTTATGGACATCACTACATACAATTTGGCTGCCACATTCACTTACAAATAGTCTATACTTTACAGTAAATCCAATAAGACTATGTGATAAGGGGCTGTATTTAATGTGAGGATTATTAGTCTAATATACCATTGTTCTTCTGTAGATTTTATCATTCAATCCCTGTTTTATAGATTTTAAAAACAATTTCCACTGATTCAACAATTTTCACCTTTCATGTAGGGAAATGACTCAAAGAATTGCTATACTGAAAAGGAATGGGCGTTCGAGCAGGGTGAGAGACAGAGAAGCCGATAGGTAGGCTGAAGACACCGTTAGAGATTTGTTTTAAAAGACGCATTTTGAAAACAGAGAAAGAGAGATGAATGGCGGACAGATAAGAGTGTCAGAGAGCTCAGCTGACAGTTCGTCCACTAATGGTGGGGTGGAGGGGTACATGTAGGAGGCAAAGTGCAGGGAATGGGTTGGGGAGTGGGCCCACAGGCCCTATCAACAAATCTCATTAATAAATAAATAAATTGCTTCAAATACACAGTAATCGCTCTCTGTCTCTGTGAGCAATTACGGAAATAGCTGACATCATCACATACATGAGCAGAAACCAAGAAGCGATACAGTAGTTTGCTGATTGAAAAATAAGTACTTCCTCTAAACAGTTCATCCCAGCGAGAATGTCTAACAACACCCAAAAAAAATTCCAGAACAGTTGGAATAAATGACAATAGAGAGAGAGAGAGAAAGTGAACAGAAAAGCTTGCGGCCCCAATAACAATCAGCAGGCAATAAATAAATACAAACAGAACACAACAGGGGAGCTCATTAACAAAAGAAGATAAAACAACACAAAAGCACTGTAAGGATTCAGTGGCATTTAAAGCCGCTCTGTGTATCCAATAACAAGCCTCTCTATCTGTTGAGGAGGACGGTGAAGAGTGACTCGAAAAAAAGATAAAGAAGTTTCTCTTTCATATCCCGCCCACCCCCACCCCGCTCCGGTGTCCTGCCCGGCAATCCCCACCAGAAAAAAAATGCCAGCCCACCCCACGGCTGTTTGTGAGGGACGTCACCGTGCGCGAAACGGCTTCCGAGTTCGTTCGCCCGCAAAACACTGAGCCGCTACGCTCGATAAGAATAATCCGTGCGCATGACACAGAACCTGCGTATTTTGTTTCGCCCACAACATATACAGTCAACACTCGTGTAACAGTATAATCTGTGAGGCGCTTTGAGACGTCGCGAAGGCGTGATAAGGCGCTGCATCAAACGCAAGGATTATCATCATCATCACTATTATTATTGTCGTATCCTTATCCCGTCGCGGAGACGTCCCAAAAGCGCTTTCACAGCACAAAGTGCCCCTGACGGTACAATCCTGCTAAGGCGCTTTGAAAAGGTGATGACAGCGGGTGGCGGGGGCGGGTGGCAGCGGTGGGAGACTGGGTGGGGGGGGGGAGGCATATCAAACCCAAGGACTGTGATACGCCTGTAATTACAATTCGGTTGCTGCGTTTCGCCCACAAACACACACACACACAAACACACACACACACACACAAACACACACACACACACACACAAACAAACAGACAAACACACACAAACACACACACACAAACACACACACAGACACACACAGACACAAACACACACAGACACAAACACACACACACACACACACACAAACACACACACAAACACACACACAAACACACGCAGACACACACACACAGACACACAAACAAAATATGCAGCCAATCCACTTTACAGTACAATCCTGTGGAGCGCTTGGGAGGGAGGGAGGGAGGGAGGGAGAGAAGCGTCTCGAAGACGTGATGAGGCGCCGTCTCAAACGCAAGGATTATTATTATCACCACTTATTATTAATATTATTATTATTATTATGATGACGAGGATCCGTTTCCGCACCGTTTCAATGCATTTGCTACGCGGCGTCTCTGCTCCCCGCACGGATAGTAATAACGATAATAATAATAATAATAATAATGATAATGATAATGACGGGGGCCAGTGCCTGTGTCTAGGCCCGGAGCCTCGGCCTCTCCGCCCTCAAACCGTCCCGCGGGGCAGCAAAAAAAAAAGGCCGCGCGTCGTCCGACTCAACTCGCTCCCCGACCGGGGGGAGGGGTGGGGGGGGGCGGGAACCCTCCCTCGGTCGGTCGGTTTCTCCTCCCTTTCCCCTCCCCGCCGGTCCGCACTCACCCACCTCACAAGCCGCCGCCGCCGCCTCCCGCTTTCCTCCCCTCCCTTTCCCTTCCGCTCAGTAACGGCTCCGCCGCGCGCGCTGACCAACCGCCGCTGACGCCACCGCCGCCGCCGCCGCCCGCCACACCGGTGCGTCATCGCGCACACGCTCACGCACAGAGAGGCGCGTCATTACGTCACCGCACCGCACAGGCTCAGCCTGAACTGCCCCTCCCCCTCTCCCCCATTGCCCCGCCTCCTCTCCCTATTGCCCCGCCTCCTCTCCCCCATTGACCCGCCCCCTCACCCCATCGCTCCGCCCCCTCTCCCCCATTGCCCCGCCCCCACTACCCCTCTCCGTCTCCCCCATTGCCCCACCCTCTCTCCCCCATTGCCCCGCCCCCACTACCCCTCTCCGTCTCCCCCACTGCCCCACCCCCTCTCCCCCATTGCCCCTCTCCCCCATCGCCCCGCCCCCTCTCCCCCCCCCATTGCCCCTTTCCTTTGCACCCTTTAATAATAATAATTCTTGGATTGATTTGGTAGTCGTGACTGATCACGTCTTCCACGTTCGCAATAACACACCGCAAAGTGAATTGCACTGTGTATTTTGTGGGCGAAACACGGCAGACAATTGCGCACAGCGGTTTTCGACTCCCAACAAGGCAGCCCCCACCACCCCTTCCCCCGGCACTGGAGCGCCGGGCTGGGTTGTATGATGTAAATCTGTGGACAGATGTTTCTTTGCAGTAGTCTAAGCAAAGCCCGGTTTAGCGTTAATCTCGGAGAGACCCCCAACCTTCCCAACGTATAATAATAATAATAATAATAATCCTTGCATTTGATATAGCGCTTTTCACGTCGGGAGGACGTCCCAAAGCGCTTCACAGAACACACTGTAAAGTGAATTGACTGTATATTTGTGGGCGAACGCGGCAGCCAATTGCGCACAGCAATGTCCCACAAACAGTCGTAGATTGAAAATGACCAATTTAATTATTGTTTTTGGTTTTTTGGAGGGATTATTATTAGGCTCTGTGTGGAGTAAGGAAACTTGCCCGAGGTTTCGCCCTCTGCCTGGAAACGTAAACATCCATTCATTCAGTCGACGGATCACTGTGTGCACTTTCAAAGCCAACCTTTCTGGTGTAAATCCCGAAGCGGCAAAACCGTCACTCCGAAAGAACAGTCACAAAATCAGGAACACGCAACCAATGTTTATAGAAATAATCCAGGGATTTATTTGTTAAAGGACAGTTTTATGCTAACCGTGTTAACAACTTTTGCAACATGTTTACGAAAGACTGGTCAGATCTTCTGAACACGAAAAGGACAGCTCGGATCAGCCGGCAATCAAAGGGTAGGCGATACTTGATAACAATGCACTGGAGACAGTTCGTTTCAAACTGGCAAGAACAATAATTTTGAACAGTTTAGCCCTTATCGCTGGTTTTCCAGCATCTTTTAATTGCACAGCACAGAAAACGACAGCTCATTTGACCCAGTTGCAAAGCAAACCAAAGAATGCACGACGCCTCTATAACAGTCTTTGCCTTTGATACAGCTCCTATAACACTGAAACGACTCAAAGTGCTTCACAGGGGAACTGGTGTAGTGAATGTTCTTATGGGCGAACGCAGTGAAGTCCCATAAAAAGCCAGGAAAGGAGTGGCCAAGTTTTGGGGGATTGTTGGCCAGGAAACCGGGAGAGAGTGACACTCCCTTCTCTTTTCGAATAGCGAAGCGGGATCTTTACCATCCACTGATTTGAGACAGAGATGGGACCACTGTTTAACGTCTGATCGAATGTTGCAGTGGTCCCGCCCTATCTGCTCATGACTGTATCTGCTCAACACTTACTTGCGAAGCGCTGAGCAAAATCACAAATTCCCTGAAAGACATCCCACTGCCTACTCTCGTATTTCCGGAGAATCTCAAGATTGGTCAGGAAAAGAACAATGGAATTGGGAAGTAAGATAACGGACTCTCCCTCTCTGGCCAGAACCCAACAAATTTGTCGGGGGCTTTGGGACGTCCTCCCGCCCGTGAAATGCTGTGTACGTGTAAATTGTGTGTTGTGTTGTAAATCTCCTCAGCTCCTCGCGCTGCAAATCTGAGAGAAGCTGCCAAAGCTGCTTTTGAAATCTGCGTAGATTTTTTTTTCCACCCCAAGCAGATTAGGATAAATCGTACTGACCTGAATGCACCTGTAAACCCTCGGCACCTGTCTAGGGATGGGAGGGAGTTGCCGTGTGTTTTTTTTTGAAAGAACAAAATGCTCTGGGATGTTAACCCGCATGAGGGGTGCTATATAAATAATAATAATAATCCTTGCATTTGATACAGAGGGCCTTCCGACCGCCTCGCCATGAGGTACCTGCTGGAGCACACTTCCAGCAGCACAGGGGGGGGAGAGGGGGAAACTAGGACTGAAGGGCAACCAACGCTCCTGGAACCTCACCCCAGCAAGAGGAGGTCAAGAAGAGAGGCATGGGCCAGTGGGGGTGGGGTGGGGTAGAGGGAAAAATAATTGAAAGCACTAAATGTTTTTAAAGAAAAAAAACACGCTGCTCCATCTCTCGCTCGTTCCCCTCGAAGGATCAATTCCCCGCTTGGCTAACCAGTGTGGTCATGGTGGAAGGGGGTGACATGGGTTGGGGGTGGGGGGGGGGTGCAAGGAGTGGGATGGGTGTGCAAGCGGTCATGCAGTCATTCCCCCACATCTAACCGGCGAGCAAAACCTCTGCCCGCTGCGTTGGAACCGATCTGCATTGAGACATTCCCAATTCAACATCTCATTAAATAAATGAGGAAGCACGGAGCTTGCTGTGATGTTGAACTGGTACAGTAATTTCTTTACCGCCCCACCCCCCCACCCACCCAAAAAAAAAGGCCAGTTACCACCAGGTAATTTTGAATTCGTAGATGGGGCGCTTGCAGTAATAATGGTTGACGAGATGCTTGTCACAGACACCGATGCACTGGTGATCCACGGTGATGCCCCGGTTGCCCAGGTCCGTCACGATGCAGTGCAGCAGGTCGTAAACGTCTGCGATGGCTTCCCACGGGCCGAACGACACGTCCACCTCGCAGTGGTGCTCAAATAGTTTGGTCTCGCTCTCGCTCCGGTCGAAACGCAGCGAGTTATACAGCGGCCTCTCGTAAGGCGTGACAGGCATCTCCTCCTTGTACACGCAGATCTTCAGCTTGGCGAACCGGGCTTTCCTCTGCACTGCTCTCTGTTTGGCGATTTCAATGATTCTCTCCAGATTCTCTGGCGGGGAAGAGGGAACGAGAGGACGAGATGGTTATAATAGTCAACGAGTGGACCCAGGTTCGATTCCCGGGTGGGGCAAAACCTCCGGCAAGTTTCATTACTCCGCACGCCTCGGTTTACCTAGCATTAAGCAGGAACCCGGTTGCTGGACGAGTGGCAGATCGCTTTTCCGGGGGCAGTATAGATCCCTCAAAAAAATATTTGGTCGCTCCATCGTGACTGTTTGTGCAATTGGCTGACGCTTTTCGCCCACAAAATACAGTCCATTCACAATTCACAATATATTCTGTGAAGCGATTTGAGATATCTTAACGTCTTGATAAGGCGCTATATCAAATGCGAGGATTATTATTATTACCTGCATTTACAGAGGGAAGGGACGTTAAGAAATAATTTCTTCATCTGTTCGTACCTTTGTAATACGGCAGCAAATCCAAAAAAGCTTTTCTGACTTTTTCACTGGCCAAAGGCTGCATCTCGTCCAGACACTCGATGAGCGGGCCGATGGCGTAGTATTGAGCCTCCTTGTACACGGCTCTGACTCGCTCGCGCTGCGGAAGGTCACCGCTTCGCAGGAAGTTAAGAATGTCTCTGAGAAAGAAGACAAAAGCACGAAACGGCTGAACGCTTTGTACGTTCCGTGCATCTCATTAGATCTCAATAGCTCATCGCCAGTCTCCCTAAAACCCCACCGCGCTCCAAAAGGATTTGATTTCAAGACCCTCACATACAAACCCTGCCTTTCTGACCTGCTCATTCAGGACTCCCCTGCCTGCCCCCCACCCCATCATTCAGTTGACACAATAACAAAAACAAATTGCATTTATATAGCAGATGGATGGCCCTGGGCACTGGATAGTGGAGGATTTGCACCCAAGTTGAGGGGTTTGAAGTCAAGAGGAATGTAGCGCAAGGAGGTGGTGGTGGTGGGGGGGGGGTTGGGAGGATGACCGAAAGCACTGTCAAAGAAGAAGGTCTTGAGGTGGACCTTGAAAGAGGTGAGGGGAGGGGGCAGGCGGAGGGGCTCCGGGAGGGAGTTCTAGAGAGTGGGGGTAGAAACGCTGATGGTCATGGAGCAGGCCAGTGCCCGGAGGGAGGGGGCAGGTTGGTTTGATTTTAGTCTGTCGCAGATGTAGGGAGGAACAAGACCGTGGAGGGCTTTAAAAGAGAGGACAAGAATCTTGAACTGGATTCTCTGGGAGATGGGGAGCCAGTGAAGTCTTGACAGCTCAGAGCTTTACAGCGCTTTACCCACCCAAAGGAGGCCCCGTCTCGGTCGATGAAGAAACGTCCGTCTGCGTCTTTAGGAATTCGGTGTCGGCCGCTGAACATGGCCGCGAGCATCGTGTCCTCATAGCGCCTCAGGGTAGACAGTCGCGTCGTGAAATACATACCGCCCACATTCAACGGAACAACCTCCGGGAACTGCATAGACACAGAGTAACGCTGTGCGCGTAAAAATAAAAACCTGCGTAAAACACTTAGGACCAACCACAGAAATCTCCTCACCGTGGCAGGAAGAGGCTCTTGTGGAGGCAGCAGCAACAACAACAACAACAACAACAACTTGCACTTGCACAGCGGCCTTCACGTGGTGTTATTCGAAAAGAGAAGGGAGTTTCTCTCCCAGGGTTCCGGACGGTAATTCTCCAGATTAAAAAAAAAAGTCACTCACCTCACGCACGGCTGTTTGCCGGACTTTGTGCATGCAAACTGGCAACCGGGTTCGCCTACAAATATCCTACAGTCCCTACACACAAAAGTAATGTCGAGTATTTTGACGCGATGGAATGCTATATCAACTGCAAGCGTGATTATATAAACACAACCCTAATAATACTTTTAACGTGGTTAATAGATTTGTGTCAGTAAATTCAAGAGGGAATTAGACAGCCATTTGGTGAAGAATTGAATTGAGGAGTGCGAGAGGCAGAACCGTGCAGGATTATTTAGTCTCTTTTTAAAACTGTATTTATTTAATTTTCGACCACGCTTCTGGTCGACCTCTCTCCTCCACAACCCCCCCCCCCCTCCCCCACGCCAGGCGTCAACGTGAGGGGTTTTCAGACATCCTCTCACTAGGAAAGGCCCTGGGGGCGAAAAGTAAAGTTGTTGCTGTTGTTGAATTATCAGCATCTGTGAGTCCACAGCTCGGCTTCTCTCTGGAAGATCTGTTCAATTCTAATCTGATTATTTTTCAAAGACGGTATAAATAAATAATAATCCTTGCAGTTGATATTGCGCCTTATCAGGTCGTCAAGACGCCTCAAAGAGCTTCACACAAACTATGCTGCAAAGTGGAATTATTGTGTATTTTCTGGGCGAAACGCGGCAGCCGGTTTGCGCACAAAAAGCCATGGAGTGAGTGACCAATTTTATTTGGTGGGGGGGGGGGGGGGGGGGGGGTATTGTTGACCAGGACACCTGGAGAGAGAAACTCCCTTCTCTTTTCGAATAGCGCCGCGGGATCTTTAACGTCCACCTGAACAGGCAGACGTGATCTCAGTTCAATGTCTCACATGAAGGAGGAGAGCCTCCGACAATGCAGTGCCCCCCCCCACCAACCCCAGTACTGTATTGGAGCATCAGCCTAGAACGACGCCGGTTCAAAATAATTCAGCTGCGTTTGGCACAGGTTGGAAGGGAAGCTCTTTAAACAGCTGATAAGTGCCACAGCCACCTGACCACTGGGGATTAACGTGCGGATTGTCAGTGATATTGTGGATGGAGAACGATGCCTTTAAGGTCAATCTGAATCGATACGAGAGTTGGCAATGAGGACTGACTGTGGGTGCATCCAATGGACAGAGTCATGGCTTCATGTGCTCCGGGCTTCGTATTTTTTTAAACGGGGCTGCAAAGAGGGACTTTATAGCCCAGAAGGGCCGATGTTTACATGAAATGCCTGTCGCAGATCCAGCTGCGGAGCAATATTGCTCACCCTAAACTTGCTGTGCGACCGGTTTCCAGGGACGGTCGCCCGGATGAGACATTGTGTGCGAGCGTCCCTGTGGGTCACATTTTGCCCTGTCTCGTGTCCAGCAACAAACTAAGAGCAAGAACAATTACAATTCCAAATAAAACAGACACACTCATCAGAGAAACACAGCCATTAATCCAACCCCTCCAACCCCCTCCCCGCCTCCTTCCCCTCCAATCCCAACAAGCTTCTCCAGTAACTGCCAGCACCAGGAATTGTGTTGAGTTAAATTTTATATACATATATACACATATATATTATATATATATATATATGTGTGTGTCCCTGGATAGGCATTATTTTGCATTTCCTTTCCAGAAACATAACATTTACAGTTGAAGGGGGTGGGGGGGGGGGGGGGGGCAGGTGGTGGGTCAGATGAAATGGAGGGCAGTGGTGGGGGGGGGAGGGGGGGGGACGACGGCGGGTGGGGTTTTGCGCGAGCCGGTGCGGCCCGCGGGCCGCCAGTTGAACCCACCCTGCTTTCTCGAGAAAGAGATGTGCAAATCCACGTCAGCGTTGCTCCAGGAAAAGCAGATCGACTGCAACCCCCTCCCCAAGGCGACTGGCCAGCCATCCCCTCCACCATCACCCCCCCCCCCCCCCACCCCATTGCTGTCGTTTGCAAAACGATGCCCTTACCTCCTGCACCCCCAGAGCGTTCGCTGGGCTGTTGTTGGAGGCGGGTTTTCTGAATGTATCCTGCAGATCCGAGGCCGACATCATCATCTCACCGGACCGTTCGCTCTGCTGAGGTCCTGAAATCACCACCATCACTCTCGCCTGGTGCAGACTTCTTCCAGCTGCTGTTTGCATTGGTTTTGGGTGGGTGGGTGGGTGGGTGGGGGGTGTGGGTGGAGAGGGAGAGAGGGATGGGAGAGGGTGGAGAGAGGAGGGAGGAAAGGATGGAGGGGGTGGGTGGGTGGAGAGGGATGGGAGAGGGTGGAGAGAGGAGGGAGGAAAGGATGGAGGGGGTGGGTGGGTGGAGAGGGATGGGAGAGGGTGGAGAGAGGAGGGAGGAAAGGATGGAGGGGGTGGGTGGGTGGAGAGGGATGGGAGAGGGTGGAGAGAGGAGGGAGGAAAGGATGGAGGGGTTTGGGGGGGGTGGGGGGGGGGGGAAAGAGAGAGAGAGAGAGAGAGAAAAAAGGGACAGACGCAAAAAACACACACAACACACACACAAATGTTGGGGGTGAAAAACATGCGACTTTGCTAAGGAACGCAACGGGTTTGGTGCTGACCCACCTCCTCCTCTGCATCCATACCTCTCTCTCTCTCTCTCTCTGGATGCTGGTGGGGGGGGGGGAAGGGGGAGGGGGGGACTCGCACATCAACCCCCCCATAGGGGTCTCACGTAGTCGCAGATTTCCGTAACGCTTCATTGCGCTCTGTTATAAAAGCCACAGCGCAAACCCAACTCCACCCCCACCTCACACTCACTCACACACACTCACTCACTCACTCACTCACACACACACACTCACACACACTCACTCACTCACTCACTCACACACACACACACTCATACACACTCACACACACACTCATACTCACTCACACACACTAACACACACACACACACACACTCACTCACTCACACACACATTCACTCTCACACACACACTCACACACACTAACACACACACTCATACTCACTCACACACTCATACACACTAACACACACACTCACTCTCATACACACTCACACACACACTAACACACACACTCATACACGAACACACACTCTAAAACACTCACACACTCTAACACACACTCTAACACACACACCAGCAATAATAGTAATAATTTGCATTTGACAGGACCCCTTATCACACCTTTCAGATGATAATAACAACAGTAATGATGATGATGATAATCGTTGCTCGCGCCCGATCGCATCTTCCGAGACGCCTCGAAAGCGCTTCGCGGACTATACCGAAAGGTGAATTGGTCGACTGTTCACGGCGCGGGCGACGGGCGGCAGCCAATTGCGCGCGGCAGTGCCCCCCACGGTCCTGAATCCAGTGACCAAATTGTTCATATTAAAAATTTTATTTTGACGGGGATTATTAACCCCGGAAAAGCGATCCGCCGATCGACGTAACGACCGGGGATCCTCCCTGCTGCGAGGTAAGCAGAGGCGTGCGGTGCGGACAGGAAACTTGCCTAACTTTCCTTCCCACCTGGGAATCGAACCGGGGTCCTCCCATTTGCCTAATCACTACGATACGGGATTCCAAAGCAGATCGGAGCCGATGAGGTTTCAGGGGAAACTGTATTTCGCACCATTAAAATGCGTATTTTTTTCGCGGATTGATTCGAATTGCATCTCCCACAAGGGTGGGTAAACTGCGTTGTCAGAGGTTTAAATCGACGTCCCGGCTGCCCGTTCAGGTGGGCGCTAAAAGATTTTGTGGCACAGTTTGAGAAGAGGTGTCCTGACCAACAACCTCCCAAGTAAAATCAAGTCATTCACTTTATGGTTGTTTGTGGAACATCGGTTGACGCATTGGCCTACAACATAGTTTACAAAGACGCATTTGCCTACAAAATAGTTTACAAAGACGCATTTGCCTACAAAATGCACAACTGCACTTCACAGATCTGCGAAACCCTTTGAAACATCCTCCCAAAGTGAAAGTCTCTGTTTACATATAGATTGTTGTCGTCATTTCTCAATATTCTGGCACCTTTGGTGATTTGAGAAATGCTAATTCTAATCATAATAATAATAATAATAATCCTTGCATTTGATATAGCGCTTTTCACGTCAGGAGGACGTCCCAAAGCGCTTCACAGAACACACTGCAAAGTGAATTGACTGTATATTTGTGGGCGAACGCAGCAGCCAATTGCGCACAGCAATGTCCCACAAACAGTCGTAGATTGAAAATGACCAATTTATTATTGTTTTTGGTTTTTGAAGGGATTATTATTAGGCTCTGTGTGGAGTAAGGAAACTTGCCCAAGGTTTCATGTGAACTGAGCGCAATTTTGTTTAACAATACTACATATTCAACATTAAAAGTCAACACAAATTTCATGTTTGTTATTAGGGAGACATTGGCAGACGTACCTTTTAAGCCTATTTGTTTTTTTCATTTAGTTTTTAGGTAACTGAAATGTTTTTGACAAATAATGACCCCCACCCCTTTTCACCAATAAAAACTCACATTTTACATAGCACATGGTCAAGATGTCCCAAAGTCCTTCACAGGATTTACAGTGATGTGCACTAACTGTGCGTTTTGTGGACCGATGCGGCAGCTAAATTGCATGCGGCAAAACAGTAAACGATGGATCCATTTTTTCAGCTTCGTACAAAACTTCACTTTGTTCGGGAGGAACAAAGTGCGCACTGTCTCCGTGTGTCTGTGTGACACAAAGCATTGATTCAACAACAACCCAGCTGTGATCTTTGCTCCATTTATTAGGACGCATTTTCAAGCTTTCACCAAAGGCTGGGGGGGGGGGGGGGGGGGGTGGGGGGAAAGGGGGTTTGGGAAGAAAAGTCGAGAGCCTGAGAAACAAATACTTCAGCCTTTCACGCAGCACGGCAATTTTTTTTTAAGGTAAAACAAAATGCACAGAAAAAGATACATATTAGGAAGCGAGAAGTTAAGAGAAATGTTTGATTTCCTACGGCTAGAGATTGGGTTCCGCTCGTTCCTCTTTGACTGTGCTTTCATTCATCTCTCCCCTCTCCACCTCGCCTCCCCCCCACCCAAACCGCAATAGCAAACACTTCTGAGATGTGCACCCGAAGTGAAAGGCGTTACGTAAATTGGATTTCATACACTTTTCCCATCTCTCTAGTCCACCGTCCAGGCTTTAAGGTTGTGTGTAGTGTTCAAGATCCTCGCCCTCACTTTTAAAGCCCTTCACGGTCTTGCTCCTCCCTATCTCCACGACCAACTAAAACATTACTAACCTCTCAGCGCCCTGGCCTGCTTGCTCCATGTCCCTCGCTCTCCCTGCTCCATCATTGGCGGTCAGTCAGGCCTTCAGCATAACCAAGGGGAACTCTACATCGCTTTCAAAATATATCTTACTGTAAATTTTATTCCAAACAAACAAAAAAAAGTGTTGTGCGCGGGTACACAGAGGAAATGAATATGAATAATGTACATGAGACCCATTTGGATTTTTTGTTAAAAAATAGCTATTGTGCATTTTCTGATGTTTTTAATAGTAATGATACATTTTTCCATATAAATGTATAGCCAAAAATACTATTACGTTTTAACATCACATTCCTGGACACAAAGACTTCCAGCCAAAAAGCTTTTTTTTCAAAAAAAGCACATAAAGAGTTTCTTTCATGTTTTCTTTCAAAGCTGATTAGAAATCCTCAATGCCACAAAAATGCAGACACAATTTATTTATCCAGAATGTTCCACTGTCTTTTTACCCTCTGAGAAATCCCAGGGTGAATCGAAAGAGCTCATTCTCTTCATTTACAGCTCTAACCATACAAAGGAGGGGTTGCAATTATTAAGGCAATAGTCTTAACAATATTGCCACCAACAATACTTGCGTACAGGATTTGTACATTCGAAGAGCACTTTCACTCATGGAGAAAGTTTGGGGGGGGGGTTGGGGGGAAAGAGAAATGACATATGAAAAAAAAAAGTGCTTTGTTCCACATCGATGCAACTATGACCGTAGCTACACATAGGGGCTGTAGTTAAAATCTGAGCTCGACACAGCTTCCAAGGTGCACGCTTGCAATTGTGGCAATGAAATGTGAAGACAACTTATCCGTTCAGAGGCTGCAATCCCCACCTGCAGTGAAACACAGCACAGCAACACTGAGCAATGGGAAATCACGGCGCTCGGCTTCACGATCATCTGTAATAATAATCGTCTGTGCGCGTGTAACATCACAAACGTCTCAAAGTGCTTGCAGGCGAATCCTGCATTTATAAAGGGTAAGTGGAGTGACTGTGTACCTTACGGCCCATTACGTGTGTGCGCTGGAGTTTCTCCTCACTCCGATCCGCTACCCCGGGGAAAGGGCACTATATAAATGCAAGTTGTGGTTCTTCACGAGTACTTCATGGTTCTTCTGTTCCCACATTCCCGCTTGCTCCCCCACTCCTCCCCATGCCCTTCAATACTCCCTCCTCTTCAAGCAACTAATTCCCTTAAAAAAGGATTGACAGACTCTGCCACAACAATGGTTTCCAGCAGAAAATTCCACAACGTTTGTGTAAAAAATATTTCCCCCCTCAGCTCCCCTTTAATTCCTTTTGGCTCAATAAAACCCTGGTACTAACTGGCTGACAGACAGAAATGATCCATTGCTATTTACTCTATCGTAACCCTTCATAGTCCTGAAGAGCTTTTGGGTTTGTGCTGGCTCTATCCCTCCACACCGTCGACAGAACCCACCTCTGGTCATTCACAGCAGCTACAGCTTTATTTGATTTATTTGATTTGATTCTTTTATCTGGAAGAAGACAGATAACAAAACATTTGTCAAAGCATTGACCATTCAGCACGATACAAACAACTCTTTGCATTATACTGTACAGCGGCTTTCGCGTCAGGAGGACGTCTCAAGGTGCTTCTCACAGCTGCCTGAGAGGCTCCGCTTGGGGGGAGGGAGAGAAAGGGGAGGGGGTTGGAAGAGGAACCAAAAGGAGGGCAAAGGTGGACAACAGCACTGCAGAAGAAATTTATCTTAAGGTGGGGTTTGAATGTGGGACGGGATGGCAAGGGGCAACACATGTGACCCGAAATTGAGTTTAGCCTCAACAACAAGATTACATTTGTATCATGCCTTTCCCGTCGGGAGGACCACGGTCTTCAAATTTAACTTAAATTTCATTTAAGTTTAAGAATTTGGAAATTTCCAATGTTCTTAAGAAAAAGTGGAAAAACACCCCCTACAAAATTCAGACTTGAAATTGAAGAACGTTCCAAAATTTTACAGAATCATAAATCTCACCAGTCTTAATGCTAAGTCCGTGAACCATTTGAAGCTTCAAAGTTCCAAGAAGATAATCACCAGCTTGTCCACTGCTACCTAGGAATGATAATCATCCTAAACTGGAAGACGTCAAGTGACCCACTAAAAGGGAGTCTTCCCCACACAGGAACAGTGGGCAGAGGAATTGAAATAATCTTCAGCATTCAGCCACCCAAGAGAATCACTGCTCCAGCGATGGGTTTATCACTGTCTATCGATCTTCGTTAAAACTGACATTTAATGCTACTTGGATCGTGCAGCAACATTGGAGTAAACTGGCCAACATCAAGACTGAAACATATTTTCTGCAAGTTACATAATTCATAAAGACTTTGGCTAGACCACTCAAAGTAAAAGTCAAATCTTCAGGCTAGAAAAACCTTTGTCTCACCTTTGTAAGAAAAGTCAGGGCAGCAGATGGTATGAGACTCACTGTGAAAGATGTAGGAACATACATCAACTGGTTTATGTGGCAATGTGGTTATAAAGGGGGGTAGAAATACAGAAAATGGGGGAGTGTTGGTTATTATCAACACACCAGACTGAACCTTGGGGTCATTCCCCATGGTGATTAATGAGAACGTATGTACAGTAGTTTGACTTTGTTAAGAGACAGAACAAAAAATGTAATGCTTACACAGATGCACAATGACCACAGGCACCACAACCTTAACAACAAATCGACCAAGACGCGAGATTTCTTTGAATACATTCAATCCATTAATAAACAGAGACCCAACAAAGAATCAGATGTTGCTTTCTCCACTTGGATTTCTAACAGATGAATGCATTCATCTTGTCCTTTGCAAACGATAGATCTAGTTCCAAGTATTTGCTACAGCCCAACATTTTTCAGTCTATATTATCCAAAAGCACAACCTTGGGCAAAAGACAACCCTAACGGCCCTTTCTCCACCAAAAGCAGAATATGATATTGAACACAACATGCCGCAAATGCACAGATTGGTTCAAGTGTTGCTCTCTATAGTTTCTCAGAACTTTTATTGTATGGAATGAATGACTGACCTGGAACCAAGGTTCAGGCAGAATCTCTATTTGCTTTTAAGAAGGAATTAAATATGTGAAAAGTATAAAAAGGTGTGTGTGTGTGTGTGGTGGGGGGGCTGTGGGGGGGGGGAGGCATTGAAAAGGCAACTGAACGGAGAGCTTTTTCAAAGAGCCAGGACAGGCACATTTAGCCAATTGGCCTTGCTGTGTGCTCTATATTTCTACTGTTTTAAAGCAAAAGCTTTACCAGTTGACCCGTGTCAATATTATGGATTTTTTTTTTTGGGGGGGGGGAGGGGGAATAACAATGTCTTGAAACATTAAGCTAATTTGGGAGTCCTCCAACGACCAATTTAAACCGTTGATCGTTAATGCCAGGACACCAGCCAGCAGTATTCTTTAAACATCAACAAGAGTACAGCAATTTTGATTTAATCTCACCCCATTAACGGAGCAAAGTAGTGTTTCTGCTCCAGTCCAGAAACCGCCTTATCCGCATCTGTAACAAAATCCAGCTGCTCTGCGAAAAGCTGCTCCCATTGGCAAGCTTCTTCTCCAACAACCCCCCCTCCCCCATTGCTAACTGCTCTTAAAATAGGTTGAGCATCAATAAATAAAGTCCAGGTATCTTCGTTGGACCTGCACTGCTCAGCTTGGCCCTGTGGGGTCCACAACACAGACCCAGCAATAGCGCCGCCTGGTGGCGCACTGCAGGAACGGCCTTCAGGGCACCATCGTCGTTGCCGTTAAGACTCTGAGATGGCAACACAATCATTCGCCAAACTGGAGAGCGAGGGAGAGAAAACCACCCAATCTAACACATTCTGCGTGCAGGCTGGTGTCGTAAGGGTGTCATAGGGCTACAGACGCGATGGTCCGAATGGATCATAATTACTTCCCCCCCACCCCCCCCCCCCCCCCCCAACAGTGTCCTCCGGTAACCCTTGGCTCTTTAATCCAACGTTTGGAGTTTATTTCGAATGCTTGAAAACTGTTTCGCGTTTTCAGGTCATAAATTGTGTAATACGTTTTTTAAAAAAATACTGAAAAGCAATAAATCATCTTGCCCCCTACCGGTGCAAGCTCAAATTGTTAATTTCAAGCCCAGCCCTCTCAATTAGAACCAGCCACTACTTTGTGTGAAACACTGATTACCCTCCATAAAAACACAGAAGCACAGCAAACACTGCACCAATGTCGTGCTTCAATAAACATCTGTAATGTTTAAAAGCACTCATGTGAGCGCAGTTCTACTCAACAGCAAACAGATGCGCAATAATGTGGGAGACACAGGGGGTAGACAAACACGAAGCTGTGAATATGCCTCGAAGCAATTGGGTATGTTTCTCGAAACCTGAATTCTAATTCTCGCTTGCCCACGAGTCACGCACTTTTCAGAGCGGTTAAAATATCGTGGGAAGATGAGGCAGAAGGTCTCTCATCAAATCATTCAAAATCACTTACGGACAGCTCAGGCCAAGTTACAAACTCTGCAGCAGAGAAATTTACACAGTAGCACAGGAGGAAGCCATTTTTGTCCATCAATTCGTGGAGTTCCTCCTGCAGTGCAGTTACATACATACTCTAATCCCAATGTAATCATGCTCCTTTTCTGCAGCCATGCATCAGGCACAATCTGTTTCTAACCCTCTCTCGCTCCCCTCTCGGCTTTGTTGCAAACATGACTCCATCCGAGTCTTCTCTCGTAAGGCGATAAGCAGAATGCCCAAGAGCGAATTACGGTACAAAGTAGTGGGCGTCAGGAGGTTCTGAGCACATGTATGAAGTGCCCAGACTTGGCTCTTTTTCGTGGCGTCCTCAAAAATATTTGCCGTCATGCAGAATGCTGGGTTTGTATCTATCTATTCCCTTATTTCGGTGAAATCACAAGCTTTGCATTTGTCAAAATGCTTTACTACCTCCTAATAAAATTCGCTAACAATTTTTAGTGCTTCACAGCTTTTTTTTAAAATATAAAAAAAATTCTGAACTCAGATCACCTTACTTGGCGCTGTAGGTTCTTGTTTGGCCAATTGTAGTACATGAACCCACGCAGCCAACAAGATATTACCACTGAAATCTCAATTGATGTCACTGTAGCCTCCTACTGTACCTGTGGCTGATCTTTAAGAAATTCAGGTAGCTCATATTCACCTTTGATTACCTGGGAAAAGAAATGATTTTTAGACGACTTTCATTCAAAAGGTCAGGAAATCCTTCTGTAATGAGATAGAAAAGCTTTGAATAGTGGGTAAAGGTTCCCATTCTGTGCTCATTGCCTTATTCATCCCTAATCAAATCCATCTGCGGCTCTACACTGATCACTTAATTGGCCCAGTTCCTTTTTGAATGATATCAATCACTCACACTCGCTATCAGTCACACAGCTTCGCGCCGTTGGCGAATTTTTATAAGCTTCTTCGAAATATGTTCCTCCAAATTGTTTATAAACAGCACAGACAGTAAAAGGCCCAGATAAAGTCATGAGTTTGGGCCACCACAGAGCTTTTACCAGGAACTTTAGCTTTCGGCTGCCAAGTATTGAATCCAGTTAGCTCATTTGCCATAAATTCCGTTAGCCTTGATCTCCTTTATAAACTCGATTTAGGGAATGTTTTCAAATGCCTTTTCAATCCTCCAGATAAATTCTAACCACAGGATAGTCCTTTTGAAATACAGGAGATTCTTCTGCATTCTCTTCTGTATACAGTCACCTTTCACCTTTAGTAAACTAAACACAGAGCTGCGATGTGCCCAATGCTCCCACCCATTTGGTTTGTGGACAATTTCTAATTTGAGCATTATAGTTAAACAAGTTTTATAGATATTGAAAGTGGCAGCAATTTCTCAATTTCTATACTACATCAGGAAAACAGTGTGAATGAACAACTCTCCAGCGTATTAAATGTTTTTTTTTTAAAATGCTCCCCGAAATATAATAATCCTTGCATTTGATATAGCGCTTTATCACGTCTTCGAGACATCTCAAAGCGCTTCACAGGATATGCATTGCCAGACTCCGCCAGTGCCTCACCCCTCAGGCTGCCGCAATCCTCACCTACGCATTCGTCACATCAAGGCTCGATTATGGAAACTCCCTCCTCATCGGCCTTCTTTCCTTCACAAGCTGCAGATCATCCAAAACTCTGCAGCTCGTGCACTCTCGTGCACCAGGCTCCGTGACCCCATCACTCCCACTCTCTTTCAGCCTCTCTGCCCTCACACTCTGGAACTCCATCCCAGTCCTTTCGCCTCGCTTCCTCTCTTGCCTCCTTCAACGGTCTCAAGACCCTCCTCTTCGATCGTGTCTTCAGTCGCACTCTCATCTTGCTGCCTTCCCTCACCCCTGAACCCCACCCCTCCTCCATGCTCGGGTCCTAACCCGATTGTCCAGCGCCTTGGGATGTCCTCCCGACGTGAAAGGCGCTCTATAAAGAGTCCTGTAGCTCAGTGGTTAGAGCACTCGCTTTGCAAGCGAGAGACCTGAGTTCAATTCCAGGCAGAGGGCGAAACCTTGGGCAAGTTTCCTTACTCCACACAGAGCCTAATAATAATCCCTCCAAAAAAAAACAATAATAAATTGGTCATTTTCAATCCATGACTGTTTGTGGGACATTGCTGTGCGCAATTGGCTGCCGCGTTCGCCCACAAATATACAGTCAATTCACTTTACAGTATATTCTGTGAAGTGCTTTGGGACGTCTAGAAGACATGAAAAGCACTATATCAAATGCAAGGATTATTATTATTATTATAAATGTAATTGTGTTGTTGTTGTATGCTGTAATGTGAATTGACTATATTTTGTGGGTGCAACATGGCAGCTAATGGCATGGCACAGCAGTGTCCCACAAACAGTCATGGATGGAGTGACCACATTATTATTGTTTGAAGGACGTCCTCCTGACGTGAAAGGCGCTATACAAATGTAATCTTGTTGTTGAAGGGATTATTATGCCAGAAAAATGATCCACCAATCGACTAACAACCGGGTTCCTACTTACGCAAGGTAAACAGAGGCACATGGAGTAAAGAAACTTGCCCAACATTTCACCCTGTCCGGAATCGAACCCAGGTCCTCCCACTTGTGAGCTGAGTGCTCTAACCACTACGCTATAGGACCACCCAATCAAACATCCACTATTCACATTTTTCACAATCTGTTTCCTCCCATCAAACCCACGGTGACCAAAATCACACTAATGAGGGCACCTCATTAATTAATAGGCCAGGCCGACTGTGCTGAATCACGAGCCTCCACAGTATTTTGTTAAGAGAGTGACATTCATCAAATAAATCCTTGAATGAAATTTTTCAAATTAAAAAAGGCTGACAATTAAGAGCATTTGCAGGAAAAATTATATAATTATATAATAAATTAATATTATATCGGGCATCTTTATTTGTGGGTTATAGAGTGATTTGGATGGAGAGGTTTCTCTTTTTAAATAAAACAATGGATTGTTGCACCTGATGTTTATTTAAGCATATTTGCGCAATACAAGACACAAACGGTTTACAATGAGTACCCATACAAGTCAGCAAAACCGATCACGTGTTCTATCTTTCTGAAATGTTACTAGCAATCTTTTCTCTCGCCTTTCTACTGATACCGTTGCTTTGGACTGTTTTACAGATTAAACAAATAGGTAAATAAAAGCACATTTAAAAGACACTAAACAAAAAAAATCCATATTTTTGTTTTCGGTGTCTCAAAGGCAAATAAGTCAAAACTAGTTATCACCATTTGTAGGTGCCTGTGCCAACGCTAGATATCAATTAGTCCTCTAGGACACCACACGTACCTTCCACTGGGATCTCTACCTTTCGGTCTAGGAATGTCATTGTTAGTAATTCCTTATATTATGATTCTCCTTTTCCAGAAAAAAAATATTGTTATCCAATGGAACAATACAAAGTGATCAGATTAATATTGCACATTGCCATCATTAACTCTCTTCTGATAAATGCAACTATTCCATTCCTGTTGTCATAGAAAGCCTAATAAAAATTTGATCACTGGATTCAACATAAGTGGAAGTATTTATAGGGGAAGTAAGAAGAAATAAACTTTTTACAGTTTTATTTTACAGTACCTCACCGTGTCTAAAGAAAGATCTCAAAGAGCTTTAGGGTAATGACTGTCAAGTATAATAGCAAAGCTATGAAAATAACCAGTGTTCAGGTAAACACTTTTGTGATAAACTGAAATGAAAGCCCAAGTTCAAAGAGGCATTTAGAGCTCTGGTACAAGTCATCTCAAGTATCATAATATCCATTGTGCAAGTTTCTTCTTTTTTTAATACTTTTTTTTTACAAACTCCACTTCAATGAAAATTAAAATTGTACCAGTCCTTAAATTTATATTAAAGCACGAAGATTATAAGGTGCAACTTATACATCTGATTGTTTTGAGACAGTGAAAATTCTGATTTACTTACCCACCAAATAACTGAGAAATCCACCCAAAATAACTGACGGATATATTCAATAGCAGCTAGGTACACACACACACATAAAATATTCACTGAATTATCAGAGTTTAACTTAACTTCAATGTTCCATTAATCAATTGAAAAAATGATTTTTTTAAAAAACACTAATGCTGTTTGTACAAACTATTCGGAATATAGGACGTCTCCTGAATTACTTTTGATTTGACTCTGAAATCAACTTTTTAAAATCAAGCTGATCATTAAAATGTTGCTGTAAAAAGGCAGGGAAATTTCCACTTTACACAAGGTTTTTTGGCTGCAGAAACGCCTATTAAAAATGAACTAACAGTTCTTTGGCTTTATTCTAAATTAAGTGGAAAAAAAAATACCCTCGCGGCTAACCCCGTAAGTCAACTTTCTCCTATTAACTGAAATATTTATGCAAACACAACATGTTACTGTAAAAGTTGGTTGCTATTGAATTAAAAGAACCATTGCCTGAATGAACCTGCCCGTCTGTAGCAGGCCAGGCAATGGCCGAACACTTCTCTGGGAAAGATTCTCAAGCCCAGGTATTTGAGACGGACATACCAGATAGTTAAACGCTTGCACCTACCCTTTTAGTGTTCTCAATAACTGCTGGATCTGGCTTTCCATAATTTGGAGGGTTGGCATATGGATCATATCCAAGCTTTGATAACATAGGTGCAATCACCGGCATTTCACGAACCACATCTTGTGGCATTTTCCCCACCCATTTTGATAACGCTTCAACATTGACTGGCTTGATGACTTGGTCGGTGGACCTTTCAACCCTGCGGAGATTGAAAACAAACAAAAAAATACAAAGTGGAGCTTAGAGACTTGCCAGAGAAGTTGATAAGATCAGGTCAAAGGAACAGGTTACCAGGAAGGGTGGTTGAGCCAAGACACTGCAGGTGTTAAATTAATCCTTGATCACATTGTTGAGACATCTCAAAGCACTTCACAGGATACAATGTGTTATCTCTTGTAAACTAGATTTTACAATATATGTCAAAGACTATACAAGTGGCTTCAAATTGCAGGGCGCATCAAAATAAAACAGATACTGATAAGATAATGCTGAGAATGTTTTGCTACAGAAATCCGCAAGCTGCTTGCTATTAACTAAAAACATATTGAAACAAACAGAAAGCACGTTACTGTGGGGGAGCTGGAATTGTCAACGAAAATCTCACAAGGACATGCAACTCCTTGATTCAACGCTCAATATGGTTTTGAAATATTGCCAGATAAGCGAACAGCAAGGAAGGAGTTGGGAGAGGCGGTTGAGAAGAACAACGACTCAAAGAGTGAGAATAAAGTTGTGTTAGTGCAATAATAGAGGATCTTATACGATCTCCAACTTTCAGAGGGGGCGTTGAGAGTTGACAGAACCATATGCTCCGAGTTCTGTCTAGTAAGCTTCTAACATTTGATATCAATTACAACAGCACGGCCACATTTGAAGAGTAGCGTGATTTATACTTCACCAGGATAGATGTAGGAAGAAATCTTTTTATCTGAGTGAGCCGGGTAGTTTGCAGTCTTAATTTTGCATACGCAGTTTGAGAAAACCATTCTTGACACTGGGTAGTGCCAAGCAGTAAGTGTGACAGGCTTTGTGATTTGTTACTGCCAGTGCTGTTTATCACAGTAAAATAAATTCAGATTACACACTTGATTATGGGGTTTATCCATGAATGGATTTTGTCCAAATCAGGAACAAATTTCTAGACAAGCGTGGTTTTCTTCGCCTCAATGAATGTAAGCATTGTGCTGGAAAGAAAAATATTCCTTTCAGATCTCTTCCAAAAATACTTTCATTTTCTGTTCACCAGCCAAAAGGGATACGGTTGTCTTTGGACTCTGCAAATGTTACTTGTGAGTTACTCTGATGGGAAACATGTAACCATGGACAGGGCAAGCGAACTCTCTACCAATGGTCTCTGTCCAAAATCAAAACTCCTCAATGTGGGAAACTGTAGTCAATTTATTGACAATACTTGATTAATTATTTAAACAGTTAGCAGGTTGCCCAGAAAATTAAACTATAAATCACTGGCATCTTAGAGAGACCAGTCATTTGACAGTTGCCAATAGCTATCTAGAAATTGTCAGATAATTTCAACTACAAACACTGTAAGGAAAGATCAAATGTTATACATCTCATTTGGATCGCTGACCATGTTTTTTTCAGCTGGAGTACTTATTTCTGCATGAATTCTATTTATATTTGCTATAACCGCAAGCAATGATTACATAGTTCCATTTCTAAGGCCCACTGTGTGAATGTTAATAGAAACGCCCATCACGTTGAACAGATGTACAGGGGCTGGTCCCAATTAATGCAATAACCTTTTTATTAAATAAAAATCAGCTTTACAAAGCTGGAAGTGTTTTAGTTGTTACTTCAATTGCAAAGAATCCTTAATTCCTCCACTCAAAGGAGAGACATTTCTATTTACTTTGGTAGGTTTCCTTAAAACATTGGCATTTACAAGACTGTTTAGGTGTAGAACAGTCAATTGTTCTAGCGCAGTCTTGCTATGAACTAAGATTGCTGCTCGAGCCAAATTAGTTGGCTGCTGAAGACCATTAAATTAGTTGGCTGCAGAAGACCATTAAATTAGTTGGCTGCAGAAGACATCAAAAGCTAAGAGAATTCGGAAGCACAATCTGACAGATTGCTAAAATGCATTAAAAAAANTTTACAGGGTAATTTGCGCTCTGCAATGGTTTAAGCCAAATATATGAACGCAGCAGGGTGTGCTGTGCACTGAATACTTTTCTGGTACAAAATATTTTTCTTTTGGCTCCAGGTATAGTTTTAAAAAAAAGTTTTTGTCGTTCATTATTGGCAGTCGAAGGGCAGTGCAACATCTCAGCCTGCGAGGCTGAGGAAGAAGCAATTCAGGGTTTGGGAGAGAAGTGGGGTAAGGGACACATAATAAGGGCAATAATTATCTACCGACCTGATTAACAAAAAAATGGCAGTCGGGTCAACATTTCAAGCAGGAAGGCCAAATCATCTTCATCAATTGCAGCATTGCCTTGTGCTTCCGTAAACAAGAACGTTTCTGTGCTTGGCTCTTTTACAAAAAATACAAAGCCACTTTGAGAAGACTACGTTAAAGGTTTCTATCGCTGCGCTCCAAAAGGTTTATGAGAACTTGAGCGGAGAACACTGACTCATTTCCTGACCTAAGTGAACTGCAAAATATTCCTGCAGAATTCTTTGGTTCCAAATATGTCGATACTCAGACATACCACCAGGTTTTTACATTCCCATTGAAGGACAGGATTCCCCCTTGAGATGCATTGAAAGCTACATTTGTTTAAACGCAGAACAATCCTGCTCTTAATTCAAGGTCACTATTATCCCCTCTCTCTAGTGTCATCTTCACCTACAAAAATACAGTCACTACACTTTCAGTGAATCCTGTGAAGAGCTTTGAGACATCCCACTGATGTGAAAAACGCAATATAAAATACAAAGAATATTATCAATGTCTTCCCATAATTAAAATGCTGCGAATATCTAAAAGTGGATTGGGTTGAATACTTTCTTTGGCTACTGAATCAAAAATTGGACATCTACAAGCCCTGAGTTCCTTAAGACCAAATTTTCAAGTGTCATGAAATAGTAAATCTCAAAGAGCCTTTTTTTAAATAAAACAATGGAGCGCAAAGGAATCTTGCTTACTTTACCCTTCAACCAAAAGCACAATTTTAAAAAACTATATTTCTGAACATACTTTTGGAAGGGAGCCATGAAAAACAGTACTTTGCGGTACTGTAGGAAAGGTAACTATGGTTAGCCTCTTAACAAGAAAGCCATTTAATATATGCAAACTTTTGCAGTTTTAACAGAAAACACAATGTGCGTCCAGCAATTAAGGTTTTGAAACAGCTATTTTGGTGGGAGAACCGGAGCAATTGACCGTGATTACATGAAACAAAAAGCACATCACTGAGGTGAGCACAGCATTGCTGTCCAGAGATAACTGCACTGTTCATGACCACGACTTCTGAATGCAGTGTTCATGCAGACTGAGAATAAGCATTTTGGGAAGATGGAAACACTTGCTGAAATGACTGCACTGATGTCACCTTGCAATCCAGTCTTCTGTTTTTCACCAATTGTAAAACCTGCCACAATCCACCTTTGCAAACTGCTCGTTTTTTCCAATATAGAAACAAACGCAAATTAAGCTTGCACTTACTTGGAAAGGGATACACCTCCCGCTTTCCCAATCATCTCTTCGTGATGCAACACTGCCCGATTCCAGGGTACACTCAGGAATTTTAAAACATTCCTCAACCAGGTTTCGGGGTGAAGGACCAGCTGTTCATAATGCACCGGTAAGCACTTACTGAGCCCAGCTTCCAGACACTGGTTATACATGGTCTCAATAGCACGGTTCCATTTCGTCAGGCAGTCTCTATAACTGTTCAGATCAAATCCTGCTATGGTGACTTTGCGGGTGATCATGGAGTGCACAGAAGCACGCCCGTCCCGAATCATGAGGATGAATTTGGCATTCGGAAAGATTTTGCTCAAGTAAGTCAATGACTTGAGTGCAAACGGGTCTTTATTGCACAGGTACGTGGCAGGTTCCCCGTGCTTCACTATGATTTCTAACAAAAAGGCTTGCATCGCCGAGTCCAGCACCTCGTCTGTGACACCAGCTTCGTCCAGTCGTTGCTTCTCTCTGCCTGATCGGCTCCACATTTGCTTCATCGCAAGGATTCGCGGAATCACCCTGGTCTCTTCCCCACAGCGCACATCGGGATGAGCGTCCAGCATGGCTCTCATGAGCGTGGTGCCGCTGCGGGGCACCCCTCCAATAAATATTAAAGGCGTGTCCTTGTTGTAAACAATTCTATTTGAACTATTGCTGAATCCAGTTCTTGACGTGTGACTTAATGACCTGCCCTTTGCTTGTGCGTTCAGTTGCTGGTGTTCTATTCTATGGTGGCATTCCATGGCGTGGCGGCCGAGATAAAACACCGTAATTGAGCTGATCACCAAACATGCTACCAGTAAGTTCTGCTTTACTTTCCCAAACATCTTGAAAGAACGATCGCCGCCGAAATGATGGATATTTATCCAGATTTTCAAGGTAGCCGCTTACAGTGTCAGTTTCGAATCAATTCCAAGGCACTCAGAAACAGAGAACAAACATCTGTAATTAAAGAAAAGAAATTGAGATGAAAACACTGCATTATTTATCTTGCCCAAAATAGTAATAAGTGATCAAAACAATTTGTAACAGGAAATATTTCATTATTAAGTAAAAGGACAAACATTAAACCACAAATCTAATTTCTTTCTTCAAAGCAATGCATATGGACTGGGAATATATTTTAGAAAGTTCAATAAAACTATGGGAAAAGTGGTTTTCAAAATCTGCACGTTTTCTTCCACCTGTATCTTATTATATACAATTATTTTGTGAAAGAAAGGTCAAGACTCCGGGCTAAAGAGACTATGTTCAATGTCTGCAATATTGAATGCATCTTGGAAATGTGAGGAGATTGTTATGACTAACAAAAACAACATGAAAACAAACATTGCTAAAAGATTCATAGGACAAGTCACAATGCGCAAAGTCACAAATGAATGACGGCTGTTTTACAAGTGGTTGGTTGCATGTGCGTGGATGCAACATCCTGTAGCTCAGTGGTTAGAGTACTCGTCACTCACAAGTGAGACCCGGGTTCGATTCCGGGCAGGGCGAAATGTTGGGCAAGTTTCCTTAGTCCGCCGCCTCTGTTTACCTAGCAGCAAGTAGAACCCAATTATTAGTTGATTGGCGGATCGCTTTTCCGGGGGTGATAATTCCTTCCAAAATCCTAATAAATCAGTCCCTTCAATCCATGACTGATTGTGGGACGCTGCTGTGCGCAATTGGCTGTCACGTTTTGCACACAAAATATACAGTCAAATCACTTCACAGTACATTCTGTGAAGCGCTTTGAGACGTCGCGAAGACGTGATAAGGCTCTATATCAAATGCAATGATTATTATTATTATCTTGAGGTGAATGAAATGTTCACACCTTTATGGAATAATAAGCTGCTTCCCATGGTGAGTTCCCAGTGATTGCACAATCATGTGTAAATAAATCGCCCTCTGTGGCAACAAGCACTAACCGGAGCAACTTGTGCAAAAGTAGACCACCGAAATTTCTCCAGCATCGATGACACATACAAAAGCTAAATAACCCACAGTGAAACCAGCAAACAACATTGTGCCGGCTCTCAGCATCCCGTCAGTTGCCATGGCAACCTGGCACAATTCCATCCTCTTTCTCTCATTGTTCACGAGTGAAATGAAAAAAAAAAACCCCATACCTGGACTGAAGAGGTACGTGCTCTGTATGGTGGCATAAATAAATCCCTCTCTCTATTTCCAATGCCTACAATTTGGAAGTGGCAGAATATTTGATTCGGTCCGGGCTACAGCGTCTCAGAGCGCTTAACAGTGGCGGAGCCTGGAACCGTAGCACAGCACAAGTGACCACCACCTTCAAGAGAGGACAAGAAGTACTGTTGGCAAATGAAGAGATTAAAGTGCTGAATTATGCCATTACCCGAAGTTCCGACTCCGTTGCACTATATCTAGAGTTTTACAGTTCATTAAACATATGCAGGACGTAATGGTTTTTAACAATGGTTATAATTTAATAGTTCCCTTCAAAAGCTAATACGGCTGAATGTATTTCAAAGCACTTGGCCTTGAGTTGGCAGTCAAGCTATGCATTTATGGAAGTAATTGACAAATAAAAATGAGACACCAGTGGGAATATGGCATGTACTTTTCTTTTAAAAGAAACATTGCCCAAAACGGTTTGAAATACTTCCAAAGCTGTTCTTTTCAGTGTAATATCTAGATGAGTGTCCACAAGACCATTTCCCTTTAAGACTGTAGTTCCTAGCTTAGAGTTCCACTTTCGACAATGTCGTACCGTGGTTTGGTAAAACAGGCTTAAAAGTAGCAAGTACCCCAAAATACACTTGGGCAATACTGTCGGCTGGCCTTTGAGTGACAGGACACAGATCCAAATCTCACATCGCTGGGTGTTGGGGTGGGGGGGGGTGGGGTGGGGAGAAGAATCACAGGAATTCATAATTAGAAATTCCTTCCCCGTCTCCCAGTATCAGTTCAGAATTCCAACAGTGAAGGCTGGGGAGCAGATGCCAATGCAAGCAGACGTCACAAGCAAGACCAAAGAAAAATAAGTGGAACTGCAGAAAATAGTTCATACAGCATGCAATTTAGCACAGCCACTAAGAAAGTATGCTCTGGGTCAATCTTTTTATTAATATTGTGCAATGCGATTTCTTGATTAACTGAGATAATTAATCATCACAACCAACATCTATGATCGGCGTGTTATAACTTAAAATGTTCTTATTGGACACAACCCATGTTTAACAGTACAGAAAAACAACCCATAATTGCACTGGGACTTAATTGCAGCTCAAACTGGCCTAGTACCAAAAACATCAGCGCTCAATACACTTTATTGAAATCCTAGTGACAATACGGAAGAAAATGGTTTATCTCGAAGATAAGGAAATCAGGGTAAGCGAGAAGAGGTATATGGACATTTGAAATGCTGTCAGGATTTACTGGGCTAGATTAAAACAGCATATTTTCATGATTTTAATAGGGCCGTAAACAATACTTCAGCTAATGACCAAAGAAACACATTCTATATCAATTGGCACATACCATTTAGCCCTTTAATAGTTTCTTTCCTTTTGGCCCCAAGGTTCAGAGGCCAGACTTGTGAAATAAGTATTTGCTTTCTTTTCCACAATTCTCCGTCTCCAAATGGCGTGGATTAGAGTTACAGTGGAACTAAATGCTGAGGTACAATGAGAACAGAAATAATAATAACTCCTGCATTTGATATCTCACCTTATCACAACTAGAAGACGTTTCAAATCACTTCACAGAACATATTGTAAAGTCACTGTACATTTTGTGGGTAAAGAAAATAAGCGGAAGTAATTTTAAAACCACATCAATACTCATTTTTCTATGTGGCTGTTGTAAACCGTGACTCAGGGCTATGTTCACCTTTGTCCCAGTTCACATACATTTAAGTCATGCAATTTTCTGGTTAAACGTATTGTCCTATAGAATAAACACTTACAATATCTTTTGTTTTTAAACATTACAGGTTTATTTACCAACAAACAAATGCCAAAAAGGTATTTGTTTAGAATTAGAGCTCCTTATTACAAAAAAATGGTCAAATCAGGTAATGTACACTGTATTCACTAGGTGCTACGTCTAGAACAAGCCAATTTAATTAAATGTAGGTCAAACTATTAAAATAAATAGTCTTAACACTAAATAAAATCCTCTACACACAAAAATAAATACTGGGCACCTGTACGTAAACCAGTATACCAATCAAACATTCATCAAAGATATGAGTCCTGTAGCTCAGTGGTTAGAGCACTCACTTTACAAGCGAGAGACCTGGGTTCGATTCCCGGCAGGGTGAAACCTTGGGCAAGTTTCCTTACTCCACACGCCTGATAATAATCCCTCAAAAATAAAATAATAAATTGATCATTTCAATCCACGACTGTTTGTGGGTCACTGCTGTGCGCAATTGGCTGCCGCATTTCGTCCACAAATATAGTCAATTCACTTTACAGTCTATTCTGTGAAGCACTTTGAGATATCTAGAAGACATGAAAAGCGCTATATCAAATGCAAGGATTATTATTATTATATATGAATAACTGTTTTTCTGAGAAGTGTTCTGCATTGATCAGGATTTCAAGATCCTAGAGATAAAACTAGCAGGTCAACAGATCAGTTTAATTATTAAACACTCGCTCAAGTCCAGTCTACACACCAATACTTTTAACACGTTGCCACCAAGTGAAATGGGGCAAACAGAATGATCATATTCAGAGATCTGAGCATAAAAAAATAACCACAGAATATTGTCTGCTTAGACAAAGAATTCACACAATGGAAGTAAATGAACAAAGTTTGATTCATACATTTACAAGACTGGAACCTAACCAAAGGCTTCATCACATGACTCAATATTCAAGAGTAAAGTTCAAGAAGCTCACATTTTACATGAACCCTGAGGTTAGATTACAGGCTAGAACTAGCAATTTTTACTTTTTCCAAAACTTTACATTTAATGTCATTCTGTTGACATTGTCCCCTTATTGAGAATGAGCAAGTACCACGATCACCTGCCCTTGAACCAGTGACAAGACGGGGTTGCCAACTGGGTTTGTGTCCCTGCAGGCAACATCTGCCATGTAAAGAACAAAGAAATCAAGCACAGATACACGTGTGTGTCGTAAATAAAACAATCTCAATGGGATATCTACTAAAGGTATTGAATATATGGGAGTGCCTCTTAGCTGGTAACTTTAAGGGGTTCAGATAACATTAGTTGAGACTCTTGAAGAAAAACTCCTGTGTATCTATAAATAGATCACATTACTGTGTTTCCTGATTAAGTTTCACTCGCTCTCCATCAACGTGAAATGTTACCCCACAATGAGAGATCCTCCAGGTGAATTTCATCATATATAGAGGAAAGGCAAGTCGCTGAACACAACTGTGGCCATCAACAAAACAAGGAAAACCTGAGTAAGAAACTTACTCACATACCTTTGTTTAAACAAAGGGCCATTGTGTGGTGATTTTAAAGCACCAATTCAATCTCAAAGTTAAGATAAAACTGCTTTAGCTCACTTGAGCTAACGGGACTTCTCAGTGAGATTATTTTCTTGTAATCACTACCTCAAATCTATTATTTGGATTTAATTCACTATTGATAGCCAGGATTGTCTTTCACTTCAGGACAACAACTCAAAAGTACTTCACACAAATGACCAGGAGCCTGAGCTTTTGGCGAGGGTAAAGCCAATTTACTCGATAAGTCGTCACTATTTATCAGCACGTCAGGACATTTTTTTTAAGCACACACCACTAAATGGAACAATGTAATGAAAAAAAATGTTGAACCTATTGTGACAATTGTGTTAAAAGATGACTTGTATAGGACGTTAATGAAACAATCTTCCCACAGACTTACAGCTGTTCCCGCCAGCCAGCAGATTTTTTCTAAACAATCTAGACACTTTCGTCTTTCTACTCTCTGTAGTTAAATGTTCAAAGGTTTACAATTACCCCCACTTTGAATAATCTTCTTACTGGATTCTGCATTGCCGGCACGATCCTGCCAAAATTCTCTTTGAAATGGCAGATATTGCCACAAAACAAGATATTTTCCAAATAAGCAGCAAAACAAACCGTAATATAAACATGACATAGTCAGCAGAACACAAAATAAAATCCACCAAATACATTACGCAAGTATAAACAAAATAATATTTTTATTGGGGCAATTACCCTTGTACCAACAGCTCCAGATCTGACTTCAATGACAAAGTTCTTTTTTTACTCAGACTTTTTTTAAACTCATTCGAACAACAGCCTCTCAGCAAGCTCCTGGCTGTGGAAAGTTCCTCCTTTTAACCTTTCGTGTCTCAGAACAGTTGCCTTTGGAAATGTGGCATTCAGTTGTTCCCACACAAAAATCAAACACCGTCTCCTGGATGTTACTGATACACACAAGAAATAGTGTGTAATCATTCCCCAAAAGAAACCCACAATACATCTACTTCCTCTCCATTTGATACTTAAAGAGAGAAGATTGTTCTCAAAGGAAGCACAGATACAGGAAAAATACCTTCCCACAGAGATGTGAACCATTCACACTTGTCTTCCAATTACACAATTACAGAGGTTAACACATCTAATTACGGTTAAACAAAGCAGTATTTTCGAACACCTAAATCCACTGGTAAGTAAATCAATAAGTCTACCTGCTATTCAGAAGCAAGACAGGATTTCAACTTCACATTTGCACTCAGCTCTGTGAACTACTTCAGAAAGGATCCGAGAGTATCCTGACATTGCTGGCTTCTGGATTCTCTTTCTTTCTTCCTTCTTTAGTTTTTGCGTCTGCAAAAGGGAAACAGCTCCACCCACAAAATTGTTCACAAATAGCCCTTTCGACTTACTGCTTCATTCTTTCTCTGCGGTCGCCGGGGTCAGGCAAGCAACGTCGAAAGATCGCATTTAACAAAGCCATTTAGCCTATGATGTGGTAAGCTCCGGAGATAGGATAACAACGCACCTTGTGAGATGAACAGCGCCCGGCTCTGAAATCAAAGGTGTAAGACCCATAAAATTCACAGCACGTAAGGCGGCCGGTTCAGACAATTTCTCCTGAGCCAACTCTCTGTAAGAACTATCCATCAACTGACTTTCCCCTCTCCTGCCCTTTCCCCACACACTTAAGCGCGCCTGGTGAATTAGAAAGTGGGGGGGGGGGGGCAGATGTCGTCGGGAGATAAACTGGCCTTTTGATCAAAAGATCCCAGAATTTCTGCCTCGCGACAAAAACCGAGACACATTGCACAGCGTTGCCTTTTCAGATTCTGCCGACGCATAAAAGGACCCCAACCAAAGCGATAGGGCTTGGTAGGTGGGCAAGACCTTCCCCCCACAAAGAGACGGATGAAGTGCACTTTGTGTAACTGGATACGAGCGTCTGAAGTCAGACAGAAGGAAAAGTCGGACAGTCACGGACAAGAAAGAGATAGAGCAGCACTGTAGAGCCGATATAATGACCAGAGCAGGCGGGTTGGGGAGGGGGGGTTGAGGCAGATCATCACCCCCAAGTTGAGCTGGTGGCACAGAATGGGGGGGGGGGGGATATAGGGAGAAGGGGGAGAGAGAAGTGGGAAGGAAGATGAGAGAGATGAGAGAAAAAGGGGGAGAAGAGAGGGGGGGATAGAGAGAGGAGGGGGGGAGAGAGAGAAGAGAAAAGGGGGGGGGAACTAGAGACAAGAGGGAGAGAAAGAGAGGAGAAAAGGGGAATAGAGAGGAGAGAGAGAGAGATGAGTTGAGGTGGGGGGGGGGGGAATAGAGAGAAGAGAAAATTGAGAGAAGGGGGAGAGAGAGAGAGAGAGATGAGGGGGTAATGGAGAGAAAAGGTGAATAGAGAGAAAAAGAGAGAGGAGAGAATGGGGGGGGGAATGAGAAGGGGAGAGAGAGATGAGGGGGGAATAGAGAAGGGGAGAGAGAGATGAGGGGGAATAGAGAAGGGGAAGAGAGAGATGAGGGGGGAATGAGAAGGGGGAGAGAGAGATGAGGGGGAATAGAGAAGGGGGAGAGAGAGATGAGGGGGGAATAGAGAAGGGGGGAGAGAGAGATGAGGGGGGAATAGAGAAGGGGGAGAGAGAGATGAGGGGGGAATAGAGAAGGGGGGAGAGAGAGAGATGAGGGGGGAATAGAGAAGGGGGGAGAGAGAGATGAGGGGGGAATAGAGAAGGGGGGAGAGAGAGAGAGATGAGGGGGGAATAGAGAAGGGGGAGAGAGAGATGAGGGGGAATAGAGAAGGGGGAGAGAGAGATGATGAGGGGGGAGAGAGGAGAGAGGGGGAGAGAGAGAGATGAGAGAGGGGGAGAGAGAGAGATGAGGGGGAATAGAGAGAGAGGCGAGAGAGAGAGATGAGGGGGAATAGAGAAGGGGGGAGAGAGAGATGAGGGGGAATAGAGAAGGGGAGAGAGAGATGAGGGGGGAATAGAGAAGGGGGAGAGAGAGATGAGGGGGAATAGAGAGAGAGGGAAGAGAGAGATGAGGGGGGAAGAGAGAGGGGAGAGAGAGAGATGAGGGGGGGAATGAGAAGGGGGAGAGAGAGATGAGGGGGGAATAGAGAGAGAGGGGGAGAGAGAGAGATGAGGGGGGGAATGAGAAGGGGAGAGAGAGATGAGGGGGAATAGAGAAGGGGGAGAGAGAGAGATGAGGGGGAGAATAGAGAGGGGGAGAGAGAGATGAGGGGGAATGAGAAGGGGGGAGAGAGAGGGGGATAGAGAAGGGGGAGAGAGAGAGATGAGAGAGGGGGAGAGAGAGAGATGAGGGGGAATAGAGAGAGGGGGAGAAGAGAGAGAGATGAGGGGAGAAGGGAGGACTTGGAGAGAAGAGGGAGAGAAAAGAAAGGGGGGATAGGGGGGGAGATGAGTTGAGAATGGAGGGGGGGAGGGGGGGTATAGAGAGATGGGGGGGTGGGGAGAAGCCAGAGAGTGAAGAGAGAGGGGTGGGTGGGGGGTTGTGAGGGGGGGACAGTGTTATCACGGGGGGGGGGGGGGGGGGGATGGGCTCGCGCACCAACCGGTACCGTTCAAAAAATAAACGGTGGCCCCTCCCCCCCGGTACCCTCCCTCCCTCCCCCCTCTGTGTGTCTGTGCGGCCACTCACCGACCAACGGTTCCCTCCGCGGACATGTTGTCTCTCTGTCTCTCTCTCGCGCGCGCGCGCGCGGCCGTGAGGGGCCGCCGCTCGTCTCCGCGCCCTCCCCCTCCCCCGCCCCGCCCCGCGCCGTGCAACGCGCCCTCCCATTGGCCGAGCGCCGGCCACCACGTGTCGCGCCACCCCATTGGTTCCTCGCGGTCGCCCCGCCCCCTCCCCGGGAGGGGGGGCGAGTGAGAGTCAGAGGAGTTTAACCCCTTCAATGCCGACGACAACAACAACAACAACAACAACAAGAAGATGACATTTGTGGAGAGCGCCTTTCGAGGCTGGGGGAAGAGGGGGGTGGGGAAGGGGGGTGGGGGAAGGGGGGGTGGTGGGGGAAGGGGGGTGGGTGGGGGAAGGGGGAGGGGGTGGGGAAAGGGGGGACCCATGATGGCGCGGTCCAAGTGGAGGGTCTTCGAGGCGGGGCTTTGAAGGCGGCTGAGGAAGAGGGGGGGGGGTGGGGGGCGGCGAGGCGGAGTGACTGGGGGGGGTGGAATTCCAGAGGTTGGGGGGGTGGGGGGGTAGCAGAGTGGCTCTCCCGCCCAACGGTGGGGCGGGTGGGGCGGGGGACGTGGAGCAGCCCGGAGCCGGCTGAGCGGAGGGGTATCAAACCCACACCCACCCCACTTGACCCTAAACTGATCGCCCGGGCAGAGCTTCTTGTTCGTGCCTCTTGTGCAGTCAGGACCCCAACCGTCCCTCCAACTAAATTTGGAAAACAGCAGGAAGAGGCCGTTCATCCACACCCCCACTCCCCCCCCCACCCCCACCCGCCCCTCCGGGCCGTTCCACCAGTTTGTTCGATCTTTCGATTTCCGCCACAGCGCTTAACACCAGCGCTCTGGGACTCGAATGCAAGTAGTCGTTGTAATAACATCACTCCCCCAAGTATCTGTTGCTCTCGCTCCGCAGAGCTAACAGGAACTGTGTTTGGGTAGAATCCCCAACACCCAATGACTGACAGATCCCTTCAATTGACGGCGCCCTGGAACACTGCGTGTTGGGACTGGGCCACTGACACCTCCCGCGCCAGGACTGGAACTCACAATCTTGGATGACCCGCTGATATAGTGCTGGTCTGGGGGGGGGGGGGGAAGTGTTGCGTTGCCAGAGGTACCGTCCTTCAAGTGAGATGTTAAATCGAGGTCCCGCCTGTTCAGGACTTGGAATCACACAGCATACGTTAAGCTGCCACGCTGGGGCAGTGCTGTTGGGAGGTGCGTCCTTTGGAGATATTAAACCAAGTTCCCACCTGCCCGTTCAGGTGGACATTAAAGATTCCGGGGCGCTATTCGAAACGAGAAGGGGGTTTCTTTCTCCCGATGCTTCTTGAAGTTAGAAGCTTTATGTCACATTGCAAGAAATATTGTTACCGACGCTGCCTTAGAGAAAAAGGATTGTAAATGACCCAAATGAATAGCGGCTGCTATTACACCAATACTGTGCTGCTCAATGTAATCTATGATGTCTCATTCAGAGAAGGGCATTTTATGGTTCTGGTTGCTTCAGAAGTAACAAATACAAGTACGCTCCACTTGTACTTGTACTCCACTTTACGGATTTACAGGCCAAACGTCTGCACGTATGTTGTAAGGTCCTTCGGCCATAGAAAAGGCGAGTCTTTCGCATTAAAAACATACTGAGGGTTTTGGGCGAACAACACTGACAAAACAGGACTTACAATATAGCACTTGAACTATTTTCAGAACGTTTCAATACTATATGGATGAGGTCATTCTGCCAGCTCACGCAAAAAAATATTTTCTGGTTATAAAAACATTCGTGCCTTTACTAGTTGTGTAGTTTCGGACAGCTGCAGTGGTTGGTTTTAATTGTCTCACATTGCCAGATCAGATGAAGCTCTTTTGAAACTCAATGCTAGTTTCATAAGTTATATTCCTAACTCGCTCAGAAGCGTGTTCAGAGACACGTTACAGCTTTTTTTTTTTGGCAAGCTACTTTTAAGTCCAGTCACTGTATTTCCCATTAGTGGAGAAATGTAGTGACCTAGATTTTCGAAGAGTATGAAGAAAAAGTTTTCCTTTTGTTGCTACCTTGGTCTTGGCTGAGATCACCTAACGACACTTTTTCCAGGAGTTGTTTTCCATGGCAAAACGAACTGTTGTGCGCAATTGGCTGCCGTGTTTCGCACACAAACATACAGTCAATTCACTTTACAGTGCGTTCTGTGAAGGGCTTTGAGACATCTAGAAGATGTGAGAAGTGCTACATCAAATGCAAGGATCATTATTATTTCAGTAGTTTCACTATTGTGGTTCACGCTTCCACGTTAGGACTTTTGAGTTCACAGTCCAGGCTGACACTCCAATGCGGTGCTAGGGAGAGGGAGGAGGGAATAGTGTTGTTCTTTGGATGAGTTATTAAATCTGCCTGTTCAAGTGAATGCTAAAGATTTCATGGCACTGTTCGAAAAAAGAAGGGAATTTCTTCTGGTGCCCTGACCAGCAATCTCAGAGAAAATAAAATTGGTCATTGACCTCATAGCTGTTTGAGGGACATTGCTGACTGATACATTCATCAACAAATTATAGTGTAGTGTATGGTGCCGTGTGAAGTATACGTTTAGACATGAAAGGTGCTATATCAAATGCAAGGATTTTTTTTAAAACAGAAAAATTCTGGAGCGCTTTGAGATATTTTGACGTGGCAACGAGTTATATCAAATGCAAGGATTATATATCTCTCTATCTGACCATTTTTTGGACATTCACCACTTTGGGATTAATAAATTATGTTACAAAATTGATAATCAGTACCAGAATATCACCCATTTGACTTTACTTACATTTTGTCAAGGGCAAATTTCAAGCAAAACAAACTGACCTAAAATAAACTCATAGGAACCATTAAACAGCACTAAAACAAACACACAAACATATTTTAGATTTAAAAGAGCAGCACACCTCGGAAATAAATACACCCTTGCTTTCAAAAATATACCTTCACAGACCCTAGCAAAGTATCTAGCATCCAACAACAACATCGTGCATTTATATAGCACTTTTCACGCAGATAGTATCTCCGAGCTCTTCTTCTGTCCCATGAGGTAATTATAGATTTGGATAGTTTAGTGTTCATTAAAGCGTCAAAAATGGATGCATGCATCTCATTAAGAAGTAATGCAATGTCCACCTAGAAGCTGATCTATGTTTCTCTCTCTTCCCGTCAGATATAGAGTCCTTCGTTTCCCATGATAGCAATGACCAATGGCTCTGATGTAAATAGCGATGGTTAGTCCAAGTTGATTGATACTCCTTGGAATGCTAAAAGAAATATTAGGAAAGAGCACTTAAAAGACCCAGCACTGTGGGAATTCAGCACATTACTCACACCCATCTGCAGAATATTAGCTCTCTAGGAGCTTCATTTCTTTTGTTCAACCCTGTTGAATGTAATTTCAACACCCAGCATGTGCAGCCATTAGAATTTCTGCCAAACTACTCTTATAAAAGTAAAAGAAACCCTGGTTGACTGATACACACTGGTCTTTATAAGATGGTCACAGCAATACTCTTAATATACTTTCATCATCAACATTAACCTGCAGTGCAGGATCCAGCAGAAACCTTCTGGTGAATTGTTTTCTTTCTTGAGCAAAAACGGAAATCTAGGTGAAGTGCAATGCAGCAATGCCCCTCAAACAATTCCTCCTTAAAGGAATGGTAAGTTTAAGAGTTTAATCGCCAAGCAGAGAAGGAGTGTCCTTGGCATTGGAGGTGTGGGCTGTGTTAACTGGACAAAAATGAACTGAGTGTAGTGGATTTGGGAAAAGAAAATCACCCATTGTTTGCCCTTCCAACCACTGTCAAGGAAAGTCTACATTTGACGCATTATATGGCCACTGGACGAGACAGCATTGGAGCATCAAAGCTAAAACATGAATAATGGTCTTCAGTTTTCTAAAGAACTAAATGCTTAAGGAACCCACAAAAATAACTATTTCAATCGATCCGATAGTTAAATGATTCAAATGGTGTCCAAACATTTTTGCTACCATCTATAAACTGCTTTTTAGAAAAACAAGAATGCATTAGGTGCAATTCCCTTCATTAATGCAGTGTAAACAATAACAACTACACTGCATTTGTATAGATACCTCTTTCCCTGTCCATTCGCTATGATAAATGGAACACTCAGTCAATGTACTCCCCACATTTGGTCTCCTTCTGCCGAATTAACAGTCTGTAAAGTTGGCAGTATTTTGGTCTTTCCATCAGTTCAACCTTGATCAACTTAATCGAGGGTGAAGACTGGCCAATTGGAGTCAGCAAGGTATCATAATCTCATGCACAAAACATAAGTAGAAGGAGCTGTGTAGGATATCTGGAACTAGGTCACTGCAAGCACTCCGGGACGCTACCCTGCGTGAAGGGAGCTGTATAAACGGAGGTTGTGGTTAGCTTGCATCTAAGCAGAGACAGTTAAGCTTAACAATGAGACCAAAGTATGTCTAACTTTGGAAAATCCTGCTGAACAGACATGGATTGCTTCTGCTATGACTCGATCCCTTGGTCCCCTTCCTCTTCGACAGCCATGGCTTCCTGTTGCAGAGCGCCTGCAGCCTCCTCCTCCTCCTCAGGGTCTCCAGGTAGGATACTCGTGATGGTCTGCAGGAGCTTCTCAATCTGCTCTTCCGTGAGCCTCTCCTCACTCTCCTCCACCATCTGGAATGGCAGAACACAGTCATTTGACCCAGGGAACGTTGTTCCAGTTGGTTTCCTGTAAACAAGCTCATGCCGGGCAAGAGTTAGTTAATAAAATAAAGATGTCTGTGGATTTGGCTATGACGAATCCATGAGTTATTTCAAGTTTACAGTATCTTCCAAATGGTTTCGGAGTGGGGGTGGGGGAAGGGTGGGGGGCAGGGGTTTTAGGCAATCTGTAGAAAGGGTAAAGTCAGTTAACTGGGACCTCTGTAGTGTTTTATAAAAAGAACGAGTAGCCGATGTGCCTTTATTTCTGTAGCTTTTAAAAATCTCAGAATGACTATCCAGCTCAAAGCTCCGGCTGATCCTGTTCCTATAACCTCGGGAGTTATCATTGAGTTGATGTTTATCCTGATGACTGGGAGATACATTATCTGTGGCTCTACGCACTCCTTTGCAAACATCTTTTACATTTTCCTAACAGGATGAATCCAAGTACGGTTGCCCAACTTGTGGTCTAGAAAAATTTTTTTTGTAGCAATTACTAGCATCATGTTTCTTGATGTAAATAAATCTACTTCAGTCTCTGGTTGTTGCTCTGGCTTTTAATATCCCCCTTCCCAAATGCACACAATATGGGCGAATAGTAATTTGATGATACCCAGTCATCAAATTACCTTAAATCGAAATTGGTATCCCTTCGAGACCCAGTTCTACAAAGACAGACAGTGGAACGAGTGCAGTGAGGGCTTGCTTAAACAACCAGCCATTGGGTAACAACGAAAAATAAATCCCAAACATTTTCCAAATGAAAGCTGCAATTAACCTGGTTACAAAGGCATACCATACTCTGCAATACTCAAGGGTTTGAAAGATTATTCAGTTCAAACAAGTTTTACAGAACCAGAAGGCTTCCTGATTGGTGACCGATCGACCTCACACCATCGAGTTTCTATGTATTGTTTTGCAATCCTGAAATCGGTTGAGGTGCACACTTACTTTAAAAGAGGTCAGACAGAGGGAGCACAAATAGGTAACAGTTTTCTTTTTAAACAAAGCGCAGTAAAATATAATCTGAGTAATAAAAAAAGGCTTTGTCAAGGAAGGACATCTGTGCCCTCGAACCTAACCTCACCAACTATCAGATACATTGGGATTCTTCTGCCAAATGTTCTCAACCTCCTGAGGGAACCATTCAGCACAAGTTAAACCTTCAAGATGAGACAATATTAAGGAATTATAAACTCTCGAGGAAACATGAAAAAAAGAGCAACACAAAATAAAAAGCAACGCAAAAGGTACAGAAATATCAGAAGGGGTCAGTTCAACTATTAACAATTTAACTTCAAACCCGAATCTGATCACATCTGAAAGAAATTCTGCAGTCCCGTCAGTTATTCTTTGAAAACCTTCATTCAAGGCACAGACACCCTCTCACTTTTGATTGTTTGACTTTTGTTCAGTTTCTCACCGTTTTCCGCACTGAAAGTGTTGTGAAACGCGTGTTTAATGTGTGGGTTGCATTTGTTTCCTCTTTCGAAGCAATGTTCCGAACACGGCCAGGGCATGTCACTGACCAACCAAGCCTCGGAATTTGCAGCAGCTCGCACAGTTTGTGTGGTTTGAACACGTTGTCCAATGAGGACAATTGCTGGCCACTGTGTGGGGACCAAACATCCTGTACAGTCATTCCACCTGACGCTATAAACTGCCAAGCGATGGAATTTATGGAGAGGTACAAACCCATTAAAGTGGTATAGCTGACCACGATTGCAGAACCCATGGAAAAATCTGAAAAGGGAAAGCAGGAGGGGGGTGGGGAAGAGAACGGAGCGGGGGGAATGGGATTAAATATGTTGGCCTAAATGGGCTCCTTTTATGCTTATGCTGTAAGCTTTCTATAGTTATCTAACTATAGATCTCACTTGATCAGGTTAAGAATGAGTTAACAAGCCAGACGGATGGAGACCTTGGGAATTGCATTGGAGCAATGGCATTTCTTGGCAACACTCGTCTTCGAGTAAACCACAGGCTGAGCAATAGACCGAGGAGGAGAAAGGGAAATAAAAGTTTTTTTGGGGGCTGGCCCTCTGTATGTGGGACAGTGCTTGGCGCAAATTCACTGCCACGTTTGCCTAGAGAACGATCTTCACTTCATTTCGAATCAATCTCATTCTGTCGAGAGCTTTCATGTGAATGGTGCGCTATAATATGATTGCAAGTTGTAACTAGTCATGAAAGACTTTGCTCTGCCCTCGACAAAGTTGATTTTCTTCAACAACTAAAAAGCTAAAATGCCAGAAATACACAACAGGTCGAGCGGAAACAACTACAACAACCACTTGCGTTTATATAGCGCCCTCACGCAGGGTAGCGTCCCAGAGCGCTTGACAGTGGCGGAGCACAGCGCCGAGCTCAGGGGGGGGGTGACCGTAAGCACACGGTCGAAGAGGAATGTCTTCAGTCGCAATCTGAAGATGGGAAGGTAGGTGCAAGGCGGAGGGATAGAGGAGGGGTGTTCCAGATTTTCGGGGCGTAGTGGCTGAAAGCATTGCCGTCAATGGTGGAACGGAGGGTACAAGACTGAAGGAGAAAGGTGTATAAAGGATTTGGGTGTGTCATTTCTATTCTTATTTACAACATTCACACAGTGCCTCTTCATCTTTACTTGCATTCTTGTGAATAGAAATAGGAGCATAAGAGGTGAGGGGAAGTATCGGTGCAGATAAGAGAAGAGGGTCATTGTGCACAGATTCGTAAAGAATACAGATATTCATGTTATTGGAAAGGCGCTGAATGATGGAGGACAAAGATATGTTCCATGTAAAATCTTCAGGGCTCCTACAGGAGGGTTTTCTTCCCAAACAATGTCTAAAGGTGCAACTTGCATTTTATTTCACCCACCGATTACTCGGCCTTTCATTCTCACTTTCCTGAAATGATACGTTGACTGTTAAGCTATCCCATTTCCTCAGGCACTGGGTAGTCTGGATGATACAACTGCACAAATACTTGTACACACAGCACAATATACCAGTTTGTACTAAAGGCAGGAAATACCGTTGACAATTTTGCATGTGTTTTTTTTTTTGCAAATTCCCCTCGGATGCCTGAACTGATTACTTTTACAGGCCTGACAGAGTCTCAGGACAATCCATTCTTTCAGATTCTTTTGCAATGGACTGTGCTGTCTGATGCTCACCTAGCAATTTAAATGTAAAATACAGCACTTGGGCAAACCTTGGGAAAGGTTCTACAAGAGTAATGGACAAAATGCTGAATTTCACCAGATACATACACACTGCATAAACCTATGATCCAAATCACAATGTGCAAGTCACTGAAAACAGCATTCACAGCACAGCGGTGTCCAGCGAATACGAAGAAGTGTTCAATTCTTTGTGTTCAGCCGGACTATTTATGGAACTGTAAGAATTGAAACATACCAACTGGATCTCCACAGCAGTCAACGGCCTGTGATTCAACAGCTGAAGTTTTTCTGCCCTAAGGGAGAGATGTCAAAAAATTATTCCATGGTAGGAGAGGGACCCGATCACAAGATAACAACAACAACAAATTACAAATATATAGCTCCTTTCACGTAAGGAGAACTCCCCAGGTGCTGAAGATCACACAAGATCACAATCAGGGTACAGATGACGACTTCAATGGCATTATTACTGCTGCGGCCTCGGTTTAGAGTTCAGACTTTGACTCGTTGCTACTTCGAGCTTGGCACTTTCATGAATTTGATACAGGGTCTACGATTTTTAAACGTCTCAAAGCGCTTCAAATCAAACTGCCGTCAACTGTAGTGACTGAGCTTTTGTAATCAAACGACTCAGCCATTTTGTGTCCAGCAGGGAGCCACAAACAGCCAACGTATCTGGAGGACTGCTGGCCAGAACACCGATGCTCTAAATAAGCATCAATTGTGAACTTGAACTGGATCAATTGACTATTTATTGTTTTAACTTTCTACTCAGCATCTCTTAAAAGAATTGCATTAGGATCATAGAATACTACAGCACAGAAGGAGGCCATTCAGTCTATTATGTCTGTGCCGGCTCTTTGGAAGAACTACCCAATCAGTCCCACTCCCCCGTTCTTTCCCCTTATCATAGCGATGTTGAAAGGAAGTCTCAGACTGCTTTTCCATCTATCTGCAAGCGGTGACACAGGAGAGAAAAATTCAAACACAGCAAGATGATCAGCCTTTATATTCCTGTAGGTCCTCTGTTACAAGCAGTTCCTCTCTGAAATCGGCAATAGTTCTAGATTTACATCTGATCAATAATAATGACTTGTTTATTTCAAGATCACTTAGGAAAATGGAGCAGATTTGATAAGGCGCTATATCAAATGCAAGGATTATTTTTATTGCTCACTTCGATTCATAATGTACGAGAGGGAAAGGTATCAGTCAATCACGTACAGCACATTCTCTCATGTACTTTCCTTTCCTGAATTTATTTTTTCTACTGTCTGGTTCCACCTTGGATTACCTTTGTTCCACAGTCTCCAAATTTGTTCTATAAACACAATTCCTCCTCCCAGCACAGTACATGCTTTACACACGCTTACAAACAGGACATTTAACCCCCTCCCCAACATGTGCACTCAGACGCTCCGTCAGCTGAGATCACCGAGTCTCTGTTGCAAATTAAACCATTAAAACGGAAAGAGGATAAACATCATTTTTTCCCCTGCTTTGAGAAACCTCATCAGAAGAAACTGGGTGAAAGTTGAAAGAGGAGCAAAGAGAGCTTTTATACTGAATAAGACTTTTTGTGTTAGGACGTAGTAAATCACAACTGCTTTCCTTGCTAAAAGACACACTTTTATACTGTGCACCGTGATGCAACACATCTATCTTCATGTTTTGGAGCCTGGCCACTCTGTCTCTGGCTCCATAGAGTTTGTGACTTACAAGTCATACAAATTCTGACGTTTCCTTGAGAGAGATATATACAAACAAATAATATGTTGATCTTGTTAGCAAGTGTGGAAAGGTGGTGGTTATATTCTGCTTTGTGCAACTACAAACAACTTATATTTATAACAGTGCCCCTCAGGCAGGGTAGCTTCCCAGAGCGCTTTGTGCAAATGTGACTACAAATTTGCTAGACGCAAATACGCCTCGAAAATACAGTTACTACACTTTACAGTAGATCCTGCAGGAAGAAGCACTGGAGACATCCTCTTGATGCAAAGGTGCGGTGAAGGGGCCCCAAGATCAAAATCAGCCAGCGCCCAGCCTGGGAGTCACTCCAGACACATCAACACTCATCCTCAGCCAAATACACAGCTGTAATGGATTTTCCAGGCTGCAGCCTCCCAAGTTGCACCCAGAGTGGGACAGGCCGCCAATCTATGGGATTTCCAACACAGCTACTGTTGTGCGGTCTGCCTCCTCGCAGGTCAAACCCATCACTGGGAATCTTCACTGAAACCCAAACTACCAATCAAACTCCAAACACCGCTTACCTAGATAGAATTACCTAATTTTTGTTTGGGGGTGGAGGTGAGGGGGCGCGGGGTGGGGGGGGGAAGGAGTTCAGGGAGGAAGAGAAAGCAATGATGCCCCTTTTTAAGGGATGACAAGTTTTTACAGATCCTTCACTCAGTTCATATACAATTATACAATTTACAATATTATTATAATTCAGTCATCATTTGGTCGCTGATTCCTTTTCAAGAACTGCAGGAGACGTGCTTTCGAATTCAGACTGACCTTCAAATTCAAGACAAAAGACACGCAAGACTAAGGGACCTCAGATCTGGCTCTTTCGTAATTGGTTCTATCTTACTTTAACCTTCTAGGAGCCTGCCTTAGCTCGTTTGATTGTCAGCCATGAAATAGATCGACTCTTATGCACCTGTGAAAACAAAATACCATCTGTAACTATTCCTTATTCTCCCCACACCCCCTCCTTTTCTTGCCCGCGCTGCAGTTTTGTGATTTGCTCTGTAGGATGAATCCAAGGCTGCAACCAGTGCTTGGGAAGAATTTATGAGCAGGGAGGAAGGGTGGGGGGGGAGAGAGAGAAAAGCAAAGAGAAAAGCTTGCTCTGATCTCTCTCGCGCGCTCTCTCTCTGTGTGGGGAAGCACCTGGCCTCCACCTGACACTTCGCCGAAGGCAAACCGACTCAGATCAACATGTCAGCTGAGCAGAGGAGCATGATCCCACACGCTCCACTTTGAAACAAACACTGCTCATGCCATAAGTACTTAAAGGAAAGAATTTGCGGTCTGAAATAACACACAGTGAGCAACCATTCCAACTTCTGATGAGAATAAAGTTAGGTCCTCTTCATTGTGCCAATTGCTGGAATGCACATTGTGCCTAGCGGCTCCAAAAAAAAGCTGCGGTAAAGGAAATGGGTTTAAAACCACTCGGTTTTGCCTGAACCTTGAGACCGATGATTTGTACCAAAGGAAATTGCAAGGTTGAAATAGAATCAAAGAGCAGGAATATATATTAATCACACAAAGGGAATGTGATTAATCAATTCCACTTCACAGCGGTCTGCGAGACATTGCTGTGCGCAACCGGGCTGCCGCATTCGCCTACAAACACACAGTCACTCCACTTTACAGTATATCCTGTGAAGCGCTTTGAGACGGTCCTCCTGATATGACAAGACAGTATATCAAATGCAAAGATTATTATTATTAGCAGGATTGATGGGGATGAGACAAATCTTATACTGTGGCTCTTGAAGCTATTGCCAGGCACTAGACTTAAAGTCCTAAATTTCCTTTCTGCTGACACTCTAGTTCCTCCTGTACTGTGTACCAGAGCCTAATAAATTTAGCAGACAGACATGTTCCGAGGTCGCTGCCAAAGCCACTGAACTGACCACAAGGAGGTATGCGACAGAAATTCCAGCTAATCACCCTTGGATCTCTCTCTTTCTCTCTCTCACCCCATAAAGGAACCAAACGCAGAAGTCTTAGCAAACACCAGATGGGATCGACCACTTCCTGAATGGGGAATAATAAGTTTGTTCTTTTTTTAAAAAAAAATGCAAGGTTTTAAAAGAACTACTTAACCCTCCACTGTACAAGGCGACTTTTTTCAATAAAAGCAAAAGCTCCACAGATCCTAGAGTCTGACATTAATAAGCAAGAGTATATCAAGTGGTTAACACATAATGAACACATTTTCTCGGAAATGCAAGAACTTTGTTACCTGAGCTGTGAAGAACGAGACGAGTGCCCAGTCAAACCCACTTCCTGAGAGCTTAACTTTCATTAACAGCTTGCTTTGCCCCCAACCCGCTTTTATTTTTAGCTTGCACTGGACATATGGCATTCAGTCCATAAACAGGGTTAGGTCAGTAAAACAGCCAACACTAATGAGAGAGTACAGCAGAACCCAGATTCACATAATTCCTTTACAAAAAACTGATCTGCCAAAGGCAGTTGTTTGACTTGAAATGACTTCAGTTGCATAGCAAAATATACAGTCAATTAACTTTACAGTGCATTCTGTGAAGCGTTTTGAGACGTCTCAACAACGTGATAAGGCGCTACATCAAATGCAAGGATTATTATTATAATCCCCATCACTTTTTGTTATGGGGATTATTAATCGTCATGTCACGATGATTAATAATTCCAGGGTTCTACTTTCTCTTGGCTCTTGCCCAAATCATTTCAGATACAAAGAATTTTCCTAACTCCAGGAATCAGATCCCAAGCCAAAATCTGACAACCTTTTCCCTTCTTGGTCTATTATTTAAGAGAGATTACACACAACCTATTCAGGCAGACTCCTTCCCATAGGTCTGTTATTTGTACTCCTAGTCTCGAGCTACTTTTTCAAGAAGTTAACAAAGGGTACGTCAGCTGCTGAAACAAGGTGACTTAAGTGCCTGCTGCATTGGCTCAGTTGGGAAGAATGAGCCATGATTAATATAAAGTACTGCCCTCGAGGGATACATCATAGGTATCTCATTATAAGTCTGGCTAAAGGGTATCGCTATGCAGTCAGAGTATTCTGAATGTATTTTAAAAAAATAATAAAAGTATATACATTGATATGCCAAGGGTGGTGACAGTAGTAGGGGGAATGGACGGACAATGAAAAGACAGCTGGAGGCTAAAGACTGAATGACATCCAAACTATGAATTATAACCAGCTGTGGCTTTTTTTAAAATCTTTTAAGCAAAGCTGCAGTTCACTGTGAAGAATGAGTCGTATTTGACAGTGCTGGCACGGACCGTGTAACCGGTCTGTTTGCTTGTGTAAGACATGGCTCCTGGCTAAATAAGTCTTGGAAAATATGTATACATTTTCTAAAACATTTCGATGCGAGTTCTCTGAACTGTTAATGATTTGTGGAGCCATGGCTTTCTAAATCCACATTTCAAAGGTTGTTCAAAGGCAGACTTCAGCTTACAGCCAGTCTGGATTGCCAGAGCACACATTAAAGACATTTTGTTGTGATATGCTATTCATCTGGTTCTGCCGTACCATACAAGAGACACTTTATCTCAGTACGCTTCAAGCAGATCAGATGTTTTTCTATCAATGCTTACGTTTTTTTAAAAAAAGAAATCTGCTGTCTACCCAGGCTGCACTTTCAGGTGGATTTTACGAGCTGGAATTCTCTGGCAGTGACACTGAGGTCTTGCCATTTGGCCATTGATCACAGATCAAACCAATAACCGAGAGACAGCGCTGTTCTTGCAGAAGGAACAAGAAGTGACTCATTTTCACAAGCAGAAACGTGTATTGCAACATTATTCAGAGGTTAAAGCCCTTTATTGGCTGGACCTAACTGCTGCCAGCTATCCACTTTAGTTCAGCAATCAGAGTAGTACAAAAGCACATTGATTTAACTCTTCCTCCAACATGTCCCCACTCACCTCCTCACAAGAATTGGCTGAGATCAGAAACTCAGGCACAGAGGAAAATCAGCCTGAACTCTGGCATTCTGAGGTTCTTCATGTTGCTCCTCTGAGCTGCTACATCATTTCAAGTCACAATTCCACCCCTTCCCCATCTCCCATTGGCCCAATAAAACCTGCGAAGCAATGTTAAAATTCCACTTGGATCACAGGAACATTGGAACAGGAGTAGGCTGATCTGTACCTAAACTCCCCTTACATTTACTCTATCAATGTAGCATTTTAGTGTGTCCAGAATCTGTCAAATTCTTAAACATTGATTTAAATTTGAAGCTGATTTTCCGCAGGTCAAAGCTGATTTTCCGTTTGTGCAAGTCTGATTTTCTGCAAAATTTGGTCACTCATTCCATGACTTTGTGGGACACTGCTGTGCATAATCGGCTGTCGTGTTTCACCCACAAAATACACAGTGAATCCACTTTACAATATACCTTGTGAACACTTTGAGATGTCTCAACGACATGATAAGGCACTACATCAAATGTAAGGATTATTATTAAGTTCCCTGAATTAACTTCAATGCTAAGACTGGATTCAACCCCAGAATAAGACAGACAGCCACAGACCGGAAATCGCTGCTGTTTGGTTACTTTGTGCTGATAGCTGATTTTACATGAAGACTTTTGTCATCCAGGTAGAAGGGTACTTACTTGGTGAGTTTTTGAGGAACCATAGCCCGAAGAAACTCATTCAATATTTCTGGACTCTGGTGACCGCACGGTGTTTTAGACAGGTATTTTAGAGTCTGTGAATAAAATACAGGAAACAGATTAAGAACTCAGCCCTCTGATATTCCCAGTGGAGTGAAATGTACACAGTTTGCATATCAATTGTAATCCATGCTATCACCTATGATTTGCAAACCACTGCTCGGGTTTACTGCACAATAGCTCAATCTCAATCTGCTATAGTGCAGTCAGTATATACCCTCTGTATGTGAAAGCATTGTCCCCAGAATGCAAAGAGCAAAGGACAGTGGGGTAGAATTTCTAACTTGAGTCCTCGTGTTGAGACACCACTGATTGAGCGAGTTGGACACTTGGCTCCAGAAGCCATGTTATCGACAGCACTGATTCCCGAGTGGGAGACGCGGACATTAAGCTTGATCTTAATGCCAGAGAGGGGGAAGTTCCTAGTTGCCTGGATGAGGCGTTAAACTGAGGTCCCGTCTGCCTGTTCAGGTGGACGTTAAAAGACCTTATGGCCTCCAGTCCTAGTTGATACTGTGGCAGAAAGACTATCACTGGAGCCCACCAAGGGGCAAAGCTGATAAATCACCGCTGTTGCCCACAGGTCCACACTTCTCTTTGGTGGAAGGAAAGGGGTGAAAGAGAGACATTGCGGAGATCATACTAAATGGTGCTGTGCTAATTGCCTTCACTCTCGCTTCAAATCAAAAGGCACGACCAGACGTTTGAATGTCAAAAATAAAAACGCATTCACCGTGGGACATCTGGTAGCGATTCAAATTTCAGATGTTCCGATGCCAAGGGAGCTTCCACTCCTGTGGCTTTGCAATGTCATCACGAGCCCTTGAGTGGTTAACGGATATGTAATCTGCAACCCGACAGCACCCTCTATATTTAGCTCCAATTCAACCGAGTTCAATACAAAGCAGGGTTGCAGGGTTGCAGGGAAGGTGAGCAGATGAGAGGAGTTTTCCTTTTGCAGCCTCAGAAAATGCAACAAGCGTTCCCCAGCCAGTCAGACCTTAGCACGTTGGAACATCTCAAAGCACGTCATAAGCCGTTGCTGTCAAGTGCAATGACAGTCAGATAAGTGCCAAATGGAGAACGGCCAATGTATCCGGAAGACTGACGGCCAGCAAACTGGGAGAAGCTCCATTCACTTTTCCAATTTTGCCCTGAGGTCTTTAATGTCCACCTAAACAGGCAGACGGGACCTCAGTTTGATGTCTCATCCAAAATGTTCCCCCGGTATTGAACTTAAGTGTCAGCCCAGTTTGTAGCTGTGAACAGATGCTCCTTATAAGCTAATATAACCCAGCATGATTAAAAAAAACACATCCCTTGTACACCAGAAGCATCCCAACACAACACACACCTCGAATCTCACACACTGTTTAGTTTAGTGACACATTTATATTGAATTACAGGGCCTGATCCCATCGAGGAACCCCACCTTCTGGGAACTGACTGAGATCACTCAAACTATTACCAGAGAGAAAGAATGAATTGATATGCAAATAGAATCAGGTGCTGTGAATTGAACCCTGGAAAGAGAGTGGCAGATGCATTAATGTGAAGCAGATGCATTTTTCAAAGCTCAGACACCAAGTAGCTCCTCGAGATAAGTCAATCAACTTCAGGCAGACGCAACCTTTTGAGATAAGGTTGATTAAACAAATAAACTTTTCAATGTATATTTAGTAACACAGATGCCACTTAGCATTCATCTCTCAAAATGGACCGTCTTACAAATTCAATTAAACCCAGTCAATGGGACTTTCATCGAACCTCTGATAATGATATCGTGGACTTAATTAAAAGGTATTATTTGGACAGTTGAGGCATTTATATTTACCAGATGCGAGATTCTTCAAATATGAATTAAGTACAGCAATGTGCCAGATGCCATTCACATGTCTGACTCCTCTTACATTTGTTCACATTGCTGTCAGTGGAGCAGCTGCAACAACTAGCATTTATATAGCGCCCTTCATGTAGGATAATATCTCAAGAGTGCTTCACAGTGGTGGGGTTAGAGGCTGAACTGGGAGGGGGCGAGGCACAGTCGATGATTTTAAGGTGGGATTTGAAGATGGATAGAAAGAGGGGGAAGCAGATGGCTAGAAGCAGAGTTCCAAAAGTTGGGTGCGGAATGATTCATTAAGGGCTCGCTTACCGATGGTGGTAAGAAGCGGGCAGACCTGTGTTAACTGTGCGAAATCAAGACTAAGCAATGGTGTGGTCAGATGCGGCAAGGCAAACACACACACACATCAGGTCTAATTCTGCCATCTCACGATAGTGACAGTGGGACATTTGCAGTGGACGAGAAGTGGTAGCGGCTGTCATTTTTGCTTTCAGCCCATTTGGGACGATTTACGCAGCTCAAGCCATCAAATCGTAAAACATAAAAATCACTGCATTTTCGCTCCGAGAGACCAGAATTGGAGACTAATACTTGACCGTGCCTCGGGCGGTAACTTACAGACATCAAAGCAGCTTCTGTGCTCGAACTTTAGCGGCATTCTGGTACTTGCCCAGGCACAGCGATAAATCTTTACAGGTGGACCTACATTGCACTCCATCTTGGATTTATAAAACTGGAAAATAGGATCTATCATCAGAAGAGGCACGGTCTGTAATGGAATCAGACTGGGCTCTTTAAGCAACTTCTGGGAAAACTGGAAATTATACTGAAGGTTGGACTGCTCACTATTGATGTGGGGAGGTGGGGGGGGGGGGATCAGTCAATCTGCAGCAACATATATGCACGCTCCTGTTGCTCACCACAATTAAGATTTAACTTTAGCTGCTGTCAGCATCCGATCGCAAGCAATTCATGTTGTCACTTCTAATAAGGATTTATGGTAATGCAATTTCTGCTTCAGTTGTCTCGCTGAAGCCTCCTCCTGCCTGGGCTGTGCCCTAAGGACACATTCTCTTGCTGCTGTTGGAGGAGCAACAAGGAAGGTTTCCATGACAACATGAGGCTTTGCTTGCCCTTTAAAGTACCGCTGCTGTCAGCACTGAAGCAGTGAGCGATTGCCAGTGGCTATACACAGATTCTGACATGTGTCGGCAAGGCTGACTGAAGAGCACCTGAAACTGTGAAGCGAGCCAACGCAAAGAGGACTTGATATTCCTTGCATCATTTCCAGCTCCTGAATCGTCAAAAACGTCTCAAGTCACTTCAGAGAATTGTGATGGGAGGGTAGTGTCTGTGGTCTTGCAGACACAAAGCTGCAGCCAATTTGCATCCAACAATTTCCCACCAACAGCCACGAGAAGAATGACTAATTTCGACTAAGTTCCACCCCCCCCCCACCCAACCCGGGCAAGTCCACACTACACCAACCCATTCCCAGCAGCAACTGAGCCGAAATACCCACCGTGCAGACATAAACAAGGAAAATTTATCCTGTTGGCCGACCAAAGAAAGGTTAGCCACCACTGCTCTAGACTATTAGCTCAAGCCTTTGGTGCTGTGTGACCTTGGCACATTTGCCAGGGAACACGTTCCTGATCAGCTGCCTATTCTGAGTTTTATTGAAAAAAACCACACAATCAGTTCATTTATATCTCGGAAGAGAAAAAAAAACTCATCAGAGCTTCAACCAAAAGACGTTTTTCCTTCCTGAGCTAATTTCACGTTGGGAAAGAAAGTGGGGACTGGATATTGCTGGGAAACTCTGGGCTGCCCACTCTCACTCACCTGCTGTGCACACAAGCACATTAATGCACTGATCACTGACCACCGTGTCGCTGATAGCTCCCTCCCACCCACAGGTGACTGCTGGTGTTTATGAAATCACAATGTGCCTTTGTTCAGGGCCGGAACCTGATTGCCTGATGCACAAGTGGCCGACACATCTTTCCTCACTTTCTGAATACGTTGGGAGTCAGTGTGTCTGGAAGCCCAGAAAGCCAAAACCAAAGGGGCAGATGTAGACTCTCACGCCAATAATACTGATCCTCACCGACTTAAAGTGACCATTTGGTCTGTGCGTGTGCCCTCTCACACTCAGGAAATCTAGCACATGAAGCACTGAAGAAGATTCTTTATAAAGTTTCTGCCTGCAAGCAGCGTCACAGGAGAGGAAATCATTTGGAAGAGCGCATCAACATAAACCAAGTCTTGTTCACACCCCAACCGCCAGAGCACAGCAGCAGACGTCCAGAAACTGGCCGACTAGCTGGCTGGACTCCCAGGCAGGGAGCAGTGCAGGAGACCTGTGGGTGTGTTGGAAACCAATACAACGAGGTGATGGAATAAACATTCCCAACAGTACACACGGATACATTGCAAACTCACTCTCGGCAAAACAACATGAAAAGAATTTGCCATTATTTCAAATGCCATCAGACTGTTAATAACAGAAGTAGGATTCAACTTCCAGTTCAGATACAGATTTACGTTTTTTTTTTAAAAAAATGATATTACAATTTAATTTAATTTATTCCTCGAATTTGGATTCAAATCCAGCCGTAATCTCTTCAACACAAGCAGTCTCTTGATTGTGATTAGTTGTGAAGCATTTGGAGGCTTTTAAAATAAAATAAGAAGTTCTTTCTTTCTGAGTCCACAAAGAATCTCAACAGCGCTTGCTACCACTGGTCCACGTAAATAAAACACCACATATTTCTTCTACATGTTAGGAAACTGTCAGTGGAAATTTGAAACTAATAATTACAGCCTATCACGTACCTCATACATAATCGTGTTGAGATTCTGCTGTCCGGTGCTGTGCTTCTTACTTCCACTCTCTTTACGTTGCTCTTTAAGGTCAGTCAGAAGCTTAAAGACCTGTGTGGGTGGAGAGGCGAAGAGGAAAAGAGTCATCATTAAAGTATATTCTTCTTATACTAATATCCTTTTATTTGACATAGCACTTTATAATGCAGAAACATCTCAAAAGTGCTTCAGACTTTTTTCCTCCAACGTGTAGTGACTGTGTACTAGTAAATTTTGACACAGCAATGTGCCACAAACAGCCACAAAGTGAATAACTTTTTTTTAATTGGGTGTGGGGGGCTGTTGGCCACAACAATGGCAGAAACTCTCTTCTCTTTTTGAATACTTCCGGGGATTTTTTACGTCCACCTGAACAGACCATCGGAACTTTGTTTTAACATCTTGAGAGTCATAAATTTCACATCAAACTGATTTCTAAAACTTGCTTTATGAACCGGGATTAGGAAATAACTTTGAGGCAACCAGCATTTATTTTGCAACTGATTTAAAACATCTGAAAGGCGAAACGTCCAAAACAAAAAGATACCTCATAATTGCTCAGCATCGAAGCATTTGCATCTTTCCTGAAACGCAAATTCAAAAGAAAAATCAATTTGATGTTCATAAAAGATACAATAATAATCCTTGCACTTGATATAGCACCCTATCACATCAGTGAGAGGTCTCAAAGCGCTTCACAGCACACACGGTACAGTGAATTAACAGTATATTTTGTGATATGAGCAAAGAAAAGAAAAATGCAATACAATAATGCATATTATTATTATATATCACTCGCACACACCAACTGTTAAAATGGCCACATCTCTGTCACAACAAATCAGCAACGTAACTACATGTATTTAAGATTTTCAGCAACGACAGGAAAGTGATGAACTGGTCATGTAGGCTTCTTCCTCGGCATGTGGCGTTCTGCTCACTACCAGTAGGCGGTGGATGAAGCACAAGAAGCATTTCATTTCCCAACAGGAATTGTTTTCCAACCATCATGAAGGCCTTTGAAAACACTGTTATGGTTTCTTTTTTTGTCTCATCCCCATCCCATAGTTTTTAACCTCAGTCTCAAAGCTCACAGCCAGGTGGGGGTTTGCTACACGATAGACGCGGAACAGTTGGTTTGAGGGGAAAATAACTCCCCGTGTCCCCTGAAAAATGGTATTAGAGGCTGAGTCGATAGCCCGCGCTCGCTCCTCTGAGACGGAAGGTTGTGGGTGGGGGAGCTTTGAGCTCACTGTCTAGGCTGATGCTCCAGGGAGTGCAGGGCGGGTGTGGGGGGGGGGAATTGTTGGGCGGCAGCGTCCTTTGGATGAGACATTGAACCAAACTCCCCCAACCCCCCAATATGAGGCGGGGGAGGAGAGGGAGGGGGGGGATAGGATGCAGGAGGGGGAGGAGGGGAGGGAGATGGGAGAGGAGGGGGAGGGAGATAGGAGAGGAGGAGGGGAGGGAGATGGGAGGGGCGTGAGGGAGAGGGAGTGAAAGTAACAGGAGGGGGGATTAGAGGAGAGAGGAGATGGGGGGAGGAGAGGAGAGAGGGCGGTGGGAGGGGAGTGGGGAATGGGAGGGGGGGAGGAGGGGAGTGGGAGGGGAGGTGGAGGGGGGAGTGGGGGGGAGGAGGGGGGTGGAGGGGGGAGTGGGAGGGGAGGGGGGGAGGAGGGGAGTGGGAGGGGAGGGGGGGAGGGGAGGGGGGAGGGGGGGGAGGGGAGGGGGGGGAGGAGGGGAGTGGGAGGGGGAGGGGGGGGAGGAGGGGAGTGGGAGGGGAGGGGGGGGAGGGGGGGAGGGGAGGGGAGGGGGGGAGGAGGGGAGTGGGATAACAAGAACTCGGAGGAGGTATCGGAAGAAACTTTTGATGAAAAGAAAAGAATAAAAATCCAACATCGTTTTCCTTTTTTTTTAAAAAAAGGAGAGGAAAAAAAAGAGAAAGAGAGAGAAAAAGAGAGAGGGAGAGAAAAAGAGAGGGAGAGAGCGAGAAAATAAACAGAGAGAGAGAGAGAGAGAAAATAAAACGATTTAAAATCCACGACTTACACCTCCATTCCGCCAAAGTGACGGCGCGCGCAACAGTCAACTCCTTCCCCCACCGCCGACCCCGCGCCTTCCTTCCCGCCCGTCCGTCCGCCTCACTCCCCCCCCACTCCCCCGGGGCACCGCTCGCCCCGCATATTGGTTCCGCCTCCCGAGCAGGTGCGCCAGTGTGTGTGTGTGTGTGTGTGTGTGGGGAGGGGGGCGGGTCTCCGACGGTCACGTGCCGCGGCTTCGATAGCCCAAAGTCCCCGCGATTAATAGCTCGAAAAGTAGCCCAAGACGGCAGCTGATCGGTGTGGGGCTACTTTTTTTTTTGAGGTCCAGCAGTCAAGTCAAGTGGTCCATTTATTATGATGATATTAATGTTAATAATAATAATAATAACAACAATCCTCGCATTGGATGCGGCGCTTTTTCCCGCGTCTGCTCGACGTCTCCGAGCGCTTCACGGAATAGACCGTCAATAATAATAATAATAATAATAATAATCAAGCGGGTTGACCCGACGTTTGTGGGCTTTATCTTCACTGCTTTGATATTGGTTTTTTTTAAAAAAACACAACAACAACAACAACAAAAAAAGAAAAAAGGAGCTTTTTCTAAGTGACAACTCGAATTTCCAAACCCCCCCCACCCCCGACCCCCCTCCCCCACCACTATTCTTCGCCATCTGAGAACGATCGATTCCCTTTTGCAGTCTATTTCTGTGAAGTGCGTCGAGACGTTCTCGGAAGACGTGATAAGGCGCTGTGTCAAACGCAAGGATTATTGTGACGACGATTATGACTGTTGTTGCTCTTGTTGTTGTTGTTGTTAACTGCTGCTTAAGACGAGGTGCAATTTCAAGCCTCGAGAGCTCAGCCTCTTCTCCCGAAGATATCGAGGACCAATGAGCAACCTGGAACAAGATTAACGTAACCGCCCTTTGACACCATCCCCCCCCCCCCCCGCCCCGCACCCCCGCGAAACAACTTTGGCGACTCGGGAGGACAAGGAGTCGTAGTTTATGGAGCTTCACTTACCCGCACATATTAAATTTATGGGGTGGATCGTCTTGTTGCTCGGATATGCCAGAGGCCAAGAAGCCCCCTTAAGAACAAATTGCTGGCAGGTTCCCACATCCTGCTCCACCGGGAAGTGCCTGGCCTTGGCAACACAGTGAAGACTGAAATCTGTGCAAATGGCCACAAGGCCTCCAAGGGAGAAGGTGGCTAGTGCCCTGGCCAAGACTTTCTAAAGCCGATCTGAGGGGCAACCCAACTGCCTGCAAGGCAAAGACAAGGTCATTCTCACCATTGAAGTCACATCAGTCCAAATTGAAAATTTATGTCCTCCCAGCTCAACAGATGTAAAGCTGAGCCTCAGGGACATGAACACGATGATCTGGTTTTCAAGATGTTTAATTGCACGGAATGTAAGTTTTAACATATGCAAAAGACTACTTCAAGACAATAGCACCATCGTCCAGCAATGGCAGATGGAGAGGAAGGGAGGAAAGAAGCAGGGGTTTTCTGGGTTGTGGATCTCTTCCCACTCAGCTCTGTCCTAACAGATAGCTTGGTCCTACCTGGACAAGCAGCAGCAAGCTTGCTGGACAGCTGGTGCTTTTAATGGCAAGCTTTGTGATTTTAGCTGGTTAAACTCCAGCTGGACCCCAAAGCCCGCTCCGCAATCCCCAAGCCTTGACTCTTGACAACATGCACCTCGGTGCATCCCTCCGGGGCAAAGGAGGGGGGGGGGGGGGGGGAGAGGGAGAAAAAGAGAAAGCAGTCCATTGTAGACATAGGAATTCCCATGTGTAGCTGCCATGCATGGAACTCTGTCTGGTTTGGATACTCAACACAATGATGAGTTTTCGCAATTATGTCAAACACCCAACTGACAAAAAATATATATTTTTAAAAAAACAACTTTTTTGGTCGTACTTTACATATAAAAAGAGTTTATACATTCAATCATTTCAGCCACTGTATTTATTTCATCTGTTTAATAGTTACAGATAAACAAGTTCACTCCATATACAATTACCAGTACAGTTTTTACAGATCGTGTTACAATACATCACTGCCATTGGATTATTTACAAAGCACTTATGTACATAAAAATCTTCCAATTGATTCAGTGCAATGTCAATAGTTTTTTTCTTTACAAGAATTTACAAAATAAGATGTAATGTAGTTACTCAGATAATTTAATAAATTCTGCAGTTAATGATTTAATTTAATAAAAAAAGAATATTTTTCAATCATTATATCTATAATAGACGTTAAGAACACACAATACAGCAGTAAATTGCACTGCTTGCCCTTCTAGTTTAGGATTGCAGTTGGGAAGGATGGCTTAAAATATTCATTTCCCCACACAATCAGAAAACCCAGGCTTTGTTGACTCGTCTACAACACATGAAGGGGAACGATTGTGCAAACGCAACTTAACGCGAGTTAAACTACTTTTTTTTTTGCTCTTTCCCAGGTTTTATCTGGTTGTCAGTATAGTCAGAATACCCAGCTGTTAAGTGCATGATCTTTGCTATAACGTTACTGCATGTTTTATTGTTTTCCCGTGTCGATAAAAGCATGGCACGATTGGTTTACAATACCAAAGCAACGAGCTGCAGCATTTTGCCATGACCCTTGGAATCCATGTGGCGTTCCACAACACGTCCATCGCACAAAGATTGTGGCGGAGTGACAAAAAAGAGAGATGATAAAAGAATATGGCAGCTTGCACATTAGGTTGCACTTGGCAACATTCCCCTTCCACACAAGAGTTTAGTAGTCCTTGTAGGAACATATATTTAAGACTTTCTGAAGTATATGTTGGATGTTGCAGGATATCAATAAAAATCACATTGGGTGGGAATTGCAATGACTTCAAACAACAAAATGCTGTTTGATTTTAGTACCTAACCCTGGAAATCAAATGTTGCTCCAGCCTTGAACACAATAAAACAGATCAACAAGGCACCCGTGTCATCTGCTAACAAGGTGGGGTTTTTTTTTTAAAGCCAGAACAAACACAAAAATAGAATTCTGCTTTAAAATGCATCAATTGTGTTAGAGGTGTGTTTTTATTTTTCTTGCAGTTCAAGTAGTTAAAGTAAAAATCCCAAACAGATCTTAAAGTAAAAAAAACAAAGTCATGTGTCCAATAGCATTTCTAACGGAATAGAGATTTGAAAAATTATATGGTGCACAGCAGTTGCAGAAAACACAGGCAAGTACTAGCACTAGCAAATCCTTTAATAGGAGTTTGCTAAGCTCCCACGTTAGCCTAGTGGTTAAAGGATTCAATCGAGTTTGGGGATGGGGGGAGAGAGAGAAATATTCAGCTAATGTCACTGATCGCTGTCCACAGATTTCCCTCAGTTAAGTGTGTGGATGTCGGGATACATCAGGCTCAGATGCGATGTCCTATATGGTCAAATAGCCTGGCCACACTCACAGTCAAGGCTGTGCCATGAATCACAGCCCCTTGGGCAAAGTACTGGAGGGCAATTGCCTCCCTTGGAATCCTACCCCAGAAAAGGAGACGGACACCTTCAGGGGAGAGGTCAGGGGAGGAAAGAAATGTTCCTTTTGTTTCAGCAGAGTGGGAAATATTAGCCGGGTATTATCCTATAATTAGTTTAATCTATATTCATAATAAATAGAAAGTGTTAATAAAAGCACAGAAAATGCCAAGACCAGAGTAACAATTTGTGACTTGTGTATTTTTTGCCTTGTTGAAGGGTTTAAGGGAATGGGTCAATTAACAAACATCAAAGGGGTGGGGGGGGGAGATCATGAAACACAGCCCCTTCAAAACCATCACCTTCCGTCCTTTTCACTCAGTTCTTCTTCAGTCGGGAATGTTTCCGAGCTCGCACTCTGATTTTTTTTTAAAGGAGGATTTGACTTCGGAGGCAACGGGATTTGCAGGAACACCGTCCAACATTCTATAATATTTAGCACTACCACATCTTCTTCCCCGCCCCTCCCCTCAATTTAAAACAAATATTTAAGTTGAGGAAGAAGTTTAAAAGAAAGTAACAAATGTAAACCTTACTTGATGAGCTGCTCAACCCAAGGTCAATGGGAAAATGGGAGCAAAACCTCCAACTTGTCTTTCTAGCTCTCGAGTAGAGCTATAGCACTGGATGGAGCCCACATCATTGGTGGGCTGAACTTTGCTTCTCCCCCCTTCCCTCCCCCACTCGTTCTGTCATCGCTCTAATCTCGTCAAACACAACTGCATTGAAACCCAAAGAGTTTAAGAACAGAGGTAGTGGCTCACATTGGTTACTGATACACTTTGCAAACAGGAGGGGAGGGGGAAAAAAAAAAAGTTAACTTTTATAGTTTGTTTTCTTCTCTCTCTTTCTTGTGCTTCATAAATCGCATAACAGGTCATTTGCAGAAGCAAAAAAGGTACATCTTGCACTGAAAACCTGCCAGAGACCCTTGGAAATCTCGACTCGCCCAGTGTGCTGTGTCGTCACACCATTGTTCCTACAATCCCTTGGAGTTTTGAGAAACGACGCTCACTGTAGAATACAGTATTTTCGATAGTCGGATTCAAAATCTTCGTCCATGCTGCTGGTGTCCGCCATCTTCTTGCCCTCGGTCTTCGGCAGGAATTGTGAGTAGTCCACGCCTTGCTGCTCGTAGAAAAGGATGTAGGCTGAGTCGGTGTCAATTTCATCAGGACGCACCTCCTGTTGGTGATGAAAGGCAGAGGTTAGCTTAGCTCTCCATTCATCACTCAGGGTCAGAGGGTGGGTGGATAATAATAATTCTTGCATTTGATACAGCGCCTTATCACATCTTCAAGACGTCTCAAAGCGCCTCACAGAATATACTGTAAAATGAATTTGACTGCATTTTGTGGGCAAAACGATGGTCTAGGAGAATGACTAGTCTAATGGGGCACTTTGACTCGGCGCCTTTTGAAACCCGTCGGACAAAGGGAATGACATTTACAGAGTCTTTACAGGCACGTGAAAGGCAAATGCCACAGCCAGTCCCGCCTCAGTAGTTACCTTACAGCTGCTGTCGTTGTAGCAGTACCACTTGTCATTCGGGTTTTTGGCGTATGTAACATAGTGGCCGCCTCCCAGAATTCCTGAATGGCACTGGAAAATATCCACACAAAAAAAAAAGGTTGTTACAAAATGTAGTACTTTAATCTTTCAATACTTCGAAGAGTCCGACATTACAATCTGCCAGGAACTGGGGTCAGCAGTGCAGAGGGGAACGAGAGCAATGGCACGAGATTGAACTTCTGTACCATTTCCTGACCTCCTCTACCTCTACGTGGCTGTATTCCCGGTTCCGTGAAACATGGAATCTCTATGCCAGTGTTTACTTCCCGAGCTATTAACCCTGGCAGTTTATGGAAGAAAGCAACAGCGAACGGCAATGCTATCGGACTCCTCACCTCGGTGATCGGAAGAACAGAGGCTGCACACAGGGAATAGGGGATAGGGGGAGATATTCAACAAGAAAAAAAATATTCAGGCTCCAGTAAGCACTTTCAATTTAAAAATAAATAAATAAAATACTTACGGAAATTGCATATAAATTATACATAGGCTTCAGAAGGGCTCTTTGGTCATCCGCAACCATGTCTTTCCCTGTTTTTGTCTCACACTGTCCGTTACCGCTGCAATTGATGAAATGGTTCTGCTCCTTTTCATGAAGCACTCCATTTACTAACCCCACCTCAGTGTCCTGCGTTACACAGCCCTGCAATGACTCCTCGTGGTTCCCCACAGAGCAGTTCAACATGTAGTTGGCATCTATCGTTTGATCTGAACGGGCGTTCCTCAGTTGCGATATGTGATCCAAGTCCACATTGTTCTCCTTGATGCTGTCCAAGTTCTCTTTGCTATTTGACAGTCTGTTCTTGCTCCCGAGTTGGGGCAGACGGAGCCTCCCTCTGTTTTTGCCCTGCTTGGGGCTGTTTGAAGGGCTGTTTTTGCTCGAGTTATGGTTCTTCCGTCCCGACGTTGGAGATCCTAAGAAGCCGCCAGAAAACATCTGAATAAACATTTTCTTCCCTTCAGATTATTGTTACTTTCTTTCTTTTAAGACACATGACAGTTGTCGATTAAAGATGCAATAATTAAAGTTATGGAACAAAAGTAAATTCAAAACAGGAACACCTTTCCCTGTCAATCACTTTATTTATATTTAAAAAACAAGGATATTACTGAACTAAAACTCAAAGTAAATTTCAAAAAAAATTTTTTAGTGGAATTATTTAAAATGGAAGAGAGCAATTTTATTCCTTGTAAATTGGCAAGTGTGAGGTACAGGAGCATAGCCCTTAACACAATACAAAATCAAATGCAAAGCTTATCAGTCTACATCCAATACAAACTACAATGCAAAATTACATTTGTATAGTGCTTCTTATGTCGGGAGGACGTCCCAAGGCGCTGGGCAGTCAGGAATTTGGACCCGAGCTTGGGAGGGGGGTGTGGCGGAAGGCACGGTAGATGAGTGACATACATGAATACCACAGTGGCCGGTGGGTCAAGGATCGAATATGCTGTGTATTTTTGGTGAATGTTTTAAACGGGGCAGAAGCTGGGCGGTGAGAACATCAGGTCAGATGTCACAGTAAGATTTCTGCAGAATACCTTTAATATTGAGAATGCTCAAGTTTATTCCGATGGATCCACCCGTCCCCGATTCCTGCAAGCTGATCACGTCCTGTTTCTTGGTGTCCACCAGCGCAGTCTGTGGTTCACTTCCAGTTGGTAACCGCGGCACCAGAAAGGCACTGGGGTCAAAGCCTTCCCTGGGGAACTTCACAATCTTCTGCGATTTAATCCAGCGACCATTCACAAATTGGAACCTTTTCAAGTGAATGATCTGCGGACAAGCAAAAAGGTGCAACATTAAGCGAGTGTCCTCGAAATCAACAAGTGTGAAACCTCTCGGCTGTCGAGTTATTCCAATCAATGTCTTCTCGTAAAGCTGTTCGTACAATTTACATTTATAAAGCTTTACATTTAGAAAGCTTCCTTCATGTTCCGCACACAATACAAATATAACATACACATAATCCAATTTGCTGTATATTATGTGTATATATATATATATAACAAATATAAATAATGTCTATATACACTACCAAAATTGGTGGAAGCCTCCAGAGGTCCAGTTTCTTGGTTGCCAGTCGAAGAGTTTTGCACTTGGAGCAGTAATAAAGCTCGTCGCCCCCCAATTCCTCCTCGTTGGTGAAAGCCCGCAGACAGCTGTCCAGGTTGATGGGCTCAGCCTGAGCTCGTCGACTCTGCTCAACACTCTCATGCTCCTCGCAGATCTGACCAAACCAAAGATAGCGAGATTACCTCCACATATCTGAGCTCAGCAAGCAGAAACTGACAACACAGAGGAAGGCTATTTGCCTCAGCGTTTCTAAGAGTTACCCAGTTAGACACCCCTGCCTTTTCCCTCGACCCTATTACATTCTGTGTGATTCTCTTTTTAAAGCTAATATAGATTCTGCTTCATCCACTGTTGTTTTATCGGGAGGGCACTCCACATCCTCACGACTCTCTCGTGGGTGGAAAAATTAACTCGCCTAAACCATACCCTTGCGCTTTTTTTTTTGAAATGTTGCATGTCGTGCCGTGCAATTATATCGTACATCAGCCTTTGATGCTTTCGAGAACTCGTGTTCCCAATGTTATTTCCTTTTACTTCCATTTGTTTGTAAGGCCACAAAATACAATTTGAAAAGCCTCCCTTCCCACCCCTCAAGGGAAAAAGCTAAACAAACGGAAACAAACTGGTCGCAGGATGATGCCATCCCGCTTTTGTAGGTTATCCTGAATTTGTGTACGTCATGTAATTGACGCTTTTAAAGGGGCAGTGCCCACGTCTGAATCTTCCGTGTTCCTAGCTTTTCGGCATAGTTCAATCCGCTGAGAAGCGTAAAGAGAAAGAACGAGATTTGCGAGTGGTTGGCGGCGTTCCCAACTTTGACAAACCTACAAGTGACGAGAATTTTCTCTCTTCCTTGTTTTGCGACCGTTTAAAAGGAAAATAAAAAGTTACCCTCTCTTGCGACGTCTGATAGCGGAGATGGAGAGCAGTCGGATCCCAGTCAATGGCAATGTACGCGGGCCCAACAGCAGTTCGCTCCTCATTGCAGTCCACTTTACATCCTCTGCAAAACCTACACCAGCGAAAGGATTACATGTCAAAGTGCCTTCAGGCTCAGTAATAAAAATGCTAACAAAACTTAAGCAAGAAAACACTTTATAGTATATTCCGTGAAGCGCTTTTAGATATCTCGAAGACGTGGCAAAGCACTATATCAAATGCAAGGGTTAATTAATTATTTAATTAATCAATCAATCAACCAGTGCACATGAAACCCGAGGAAACCCGGAGGCCACGAGGAAAGGATATCAATACAAATGGGCGGCAAATTAGAAAAATAATTGGCCATTAAAGTTGAAAAGGAAAATGATTTACAAGAAGACAACAGTGCGCGGTCACGAATATTCTATCATTTTTTTCGTAAAGAAACTCTTTCAAATGTAGCCCACAAGACTGTGTAATCTGCACAGGCAGAACAAGTCCAATGTTACTCTGGTGTGAGGTGGTAAGCGCAGCAAAACGGGATAAGAAGTGGAACAAGTATATGGTTTTCTCTTGATTCAACTGACAAGACTATTTGGCTGTGTTTAGCAATAAGCCTAATAATCAACCGTGTTCAACCACTCTGGGGTGAATATGAGTCAATCCCTGGGAGCTCAAGCCGGGTTTCACAGGCCAAACGAAAATATAAAATCAGTCTCTCGCGGCGTGATTGTATTCATGTACGACACAAGTAAGTCTGCCCCGGTGCGCAAAGTCTTCACCGCTACAAAAGGCATTGCCATTGCAAGAAGAAAAAANTAGTGTTTTCGCTATTTACCTGTACCATGGACACCAAGCGCACGTATTTCCATCTTTGTTAACGACTCTTAACGTGAAAGGATATTGGTAGCCCATACTGTCGTCACTGAAACACACAATTACACACCAGATTAGCCTGAAAACACACCGATATAAAGTGGATTTAACTACAAGACAGCACAACACTCCCAAACACTCTTATTAAACTACACAGGACTTCTAAAAGCCCATCATACCCTCATTTCTGAATGCAGAGAGAATAGCTCAAGCAGCTAGCTATTCAATCACAGCCCACTGCACATCCTGCTGTGAAACACAAAACCTAACAGCATTTCAGTCAGAGTGATTTGGCACAGGCACCATTTACCTTTGTTTGCATAAATTGGCTTAACTCATCCACATCCAAATCTTGTCTCTCGACTAGACGCATCCATTGGGCTACTCATCCCATTACCTTTAATTTTATATTATAAACAGTAGGTCTGAAAGCACCACTGTACCTCAGGCCACAGAATACACTCAGAAAGCACTCAGGCGTCACCTTGTGGTTTTACTATATACTTGTTGATTTTTTAAAAGATGCTTCCACATAATATGGTCCTTAATATCTATGAAACCCTTATTAAGTATCTTTGATTTACAGCGTGACTAGACGTGCTAGTCATCATTGATCCTTTCACCCAAACATCAAATTAAAAATGGTTCAATAAAAAATAATTTCACTTAACACAACTAATTTTTTTAAATAAGCTCTCAATTTACTGTTAATTTAACGTATATTACACCAAATACAATTATTTATACAAATACAACTACCCACTCAAATTCAGCCTAAGGTTTCTAATCCACTGGCTACTCATCCCATTTCTGTTAACGAGACTTCACTGGTATAATTAGTGGCCACGTTTCTCGATTGCCTTCATAACATTCACTATGTTCCTAATTAGTGCTTTTCTGTAAAGCCCTTCGAGGAGTTTCGATCAAGTGAAAGCATAATATAAATCGGTGTTGTAACATTTTGGCAATAATTAAAATGTAGCACTCAATAAATCAATTGCAATAATGGAGGAGGGAGTTCTGTGGGCAGCACATACCTGATGAGGTTCATAATACAAAATCTGATTAATTCTTCACAACCAGTGTTGCAACAACCACTGCTTATTTCTTATACAGTCTTTCACAAAGATGTGATGCCTCAAAGCTTTTCACAAATTCCAGAACTGAGCACCAAAACAGGGAGGAGGAAGGATTAAGCAGGTTGACCAAAAAAAGTCAAAGAGAGAGAGATCCTCTTTAGGGGCAGGGGATTGAAGAACAACCACCACAATAACTTGCATTCATAGAGCACCCTTCACACAGGGTAGCGTCCTGGAGTGAACCAAAGATTTTGCCAAAGGACCAAAGGCCCAGTGGCTGAGGTCTCAGCTATCTGTGGTGGGTTGGAAGGATTGAGGAACGAGCAGCAGAAAGAAAGTGGGAAAGCGAGGGGAAGATAAGATGCCTCTCGGCTGCACTGACCAGTCCTGGGCGTGGTTACTGGCTTCCTGAGGTGGCAGAGGGCTGGCGAGCCGCGAAACCTGCGTCCACACGGCATCGTACAGGTCCTTCTTGCGGGTGTGAACAGTGCACGGGACGATGAGTGGCATGCCAAACAGGCTGGGCCGAATCTTCTGGGCTGACAGGAAGTACAACTCTGTGCGCATCTGTATAAAAGACGGGCAGTAGTCAACACACGCCCTGTAATGGGCTCCCAGCAGTCACCAATAGGTTAGTCCATATAACAGTCAATGAATGATGGTTAGTCAACGAAATTCAGCAACTTAAACACGTGTTAACTAACAAGTAGGTGAAGCACGTCATTTGCCGAGGCACAGTTTGAACCAGCGATGCCGACTCACGTCTGAGTTTAGTTGGGGGGGGAAAAGAGAAAAAGAGGCAGTGACTATTTTTTTAAAAAAAGAAGAAATATTGGGGCCTGATAGATGGATCACAACCGGTCATTTCCGAACTTGTATATCCAAACGTTTGAAGTCCTTATAAAGATTATTCTGTGTTGAATTTTGAACACGCATGCATCATCTTACCATTTTTCTGTGCACTGCGATAATGTATCCCGTCGACGGGCTGTCACCCCCTCCTGGCAAATACCCGTTAGGAAATCCATTACAGAGATTCTTCTCAGTCCCAGCTGGCACCACAGTGCTGGGAATCCCATTGGGAATGAGGTTTGGCTTTGTCGGATTTGCATTTGAGGATTGGTTATGTCTTCCGTTGACAAATGGCACTGGGGAGGAATCTGCCCGGTTGAATGGAAAGGGGTAAAAATTATACTTCAATGTTAAATAATAACAATTAAGTGAATTACCCAAACGTTTCTCCCTTTCCCATCTGCAAAGGACGGCAAACAGCGTCAATGATTTTATTTGTGAGAGAAACTCCTCCATGGAGAACCCCAATGTTTCTGTGGCTAGCCAAAGTCAATGGGAACTTGGCTACAACAAGGGGAGCCAGGCTTCCCAGGTCAACGGCACTTTGGATAAAATCCTAACCAAATAAGTAATTAGGTGGATTTAATAGTCACATAAGATGCTTCATTAGTTAAACAGCTAACGCTCCGTTGAAATTTGCCCCACAAATTGAAACTGCTATTTCTAATAGCTTACATACATTAAATTAGAATAAATTAAAATAGGATATTAGAATGATTGCATTTATATAGTGCCCTTCACGCGAGGCAGTGTCTTACAGAACTCCTGTACGAGTTAGTGACGTGCAAGGCGCTATGCAAATGTAATTTGTCGCTGCTGTTACCTGTTTCTACAGGCGATGTGGCAGAGCATGGTGACCCTGGAACAGGGACCTCAAACGCACACAGAAAGCCATTCGACGACAGCCGCACTTTCTGGTTATCCTGAGGAAAATTCTGACAAAACAAAGCACAGAGATCCACGGTTGGTTCCTCCACTGACAGTGAAATAATACAGCACTTGCACTCCTTTTAGCCTCATCCATTTGCAACCTCTCATTATTGACGTGTGGTTGGGTGGAAGAAGCTGCCCATTCACTTCACACGTTGGAAGACAGTTCTGATCACTTGACTTGTTAAAAACAGCCCAAAGCCAACAGAACTAAGTTTTACTATGATTATTCTTGAATTGATGTAGCGCCTTTAATGTTTAAAGGTCTCAAAGAGAATTGTCGCCAAGTTCAAAGACTATTTGCAGATTAAAAAAAAACGGGGCTATGTGGCGAAATGTAAATCCATGTCCACTTGGAAGTGTCATTGCATTATTAGTGAGTCACTGAAGTTCCAATTACAAGGTGTCATTCCATTCAAACCCTGCCTGTGAAAATTAATTTCCCAAAACATGTAAGCCTGTCTCTAAGTCAGATGTACTCTTTTTTTTTAATACGTTTATATAGTACCCTTCACGTGGGGTAGTGTCTCAGAGCGCTTAATAGACCTGACCTGTAAGACAGGTTGACTCACTTTTATATTGGAGATTTGAACTTCTCCCAGCAAGATTTGCTCTGCTTTCAGTCCACACAGCTCGCTCAACTGCTTCTTCAGACCCGTGTACTTTTCATCCATGTTTAACCTTAAGCCGTATCGAACTGGAGTGGAGCCATCTAACTTAATGACTGCGGAGGAGAAAAATACAACGGCCGCTTAGTGAGCGCAACTTGCAAGCGAGAGAGTGCTTTGTAGCATTCCTTAGGACCTGAACATTTTGTCTGCCTTCAAAGTAACCACATTTATTTTCGCATCTGCAAAGATTTAAACCGTTACAAAGTCAGCCCGAATACAGTGACGCGATCTTTCGTCCAGTCTAGACAAGAAGTGTTGCTTCGATTTCAAGCAATCTTCTTGAAAGAATAACCGAGTGAACTTTGAGCAAAGGATTCTGACAAACCTGTTATTTCTAAGTGCATGTAGCTGTCCATTGGCAGAGGTAAGGATAAGAAGTTGAACGGGTCAAACCGGGCGCTGATGTGTCCGCACATTTTACATTTGACTTGTGATTTGAGCTGCCCATGAAACAGATCGACCACAATTGATTTATTTCGCCTCAAGTGATTATCCCAGGCCTAAGAGAGTAAGAAAAGACTGTAAGCAAGAGAGAAACTTAAGTACTTAAGTAGCACCTTTCGTGTAGGATAAAGCCTCGAAGCGCTAGGTTCATGTTAAGAATAAATAAGACTCACCTCTGCTGCAACCTCATAATCTGGCCGCCCGTCACTATCTTTCAGTTCCACGTAGGGCTTGTCGTGAACTCGGTTGAGGTCTTCATGAAGGCCATCCAGCAAGAACGCCAGAAGCTCCTGGGAGTCCTGCTGTTGAAAGCCGTTGAATCTGGGAGCATATTTTGCTATCGTCCACTGGAGGAAAAACAGAATGCAAAGCTCGGTGAAGCAAGAACGCGGCATTAATACAATCCAGAAAAATATATTTAAATTCCATTAATTCGGACATGGAAATTTTAGGGTAACTTCAATAATTAAAATGCTTTTCTCCCGTTCCCCGCACCTTCCGTCCCCAAATAACCCTCTTCCTTCAGTTGGGACAATGAGACAAGGAGATGATCATTAATTCCACCAGTAAATTTCTTCACTGAGCCTCCGGGGGGCGAGTGTGAGGAACTATTGCTCTTTCCCCCACCAACCCAGTTAGCGTGTCTCCTCCTCCCTTCCAGAACGACACAAGTGTGAAAGTTAATTGGGCCGCGCTCCACCTGGCGTGACAAGGATGCCCGTTTGCCAACTTGCACTGTAAACTGAGCATTTCTGTGGCCCAGAACCAACATGGGAGTCAAAACAGCGTGCAGCAACAGTCCGAACTTCACACATGGCAGGTACTTGGTGGCACGTACGAAATGCATTCAACCCTATCTATGTTAGTTAAAAAAAAAAGAAACTTAAAACTAAAAAAACGACTGCCTTGCCACTGCAATGTCACTCGTGGTTTAAGTCTTTTCTGCCACCCATCAAACGATGTTTGTTTGCTTTAGCTGGAGATTTCTCAACATCGCATATCAAAGAACAAAATCCAAGGCAAAAGACACCTGTGCGATCAACGCAGTGGAATTTGTGTATCGTGGGCAGGTTGTCAAAACGGCCAATCTTTTTCCAAGCTTCACTCAGTGTAACTAACATTCATTACCCATGTGTGCCGTCTCACTCATTAGTAATGCTTGAATAAGCACAAGTAATTTGAATACATTAAGAATGACAAGGATCCTAAATACAACACAAAATTTAAGTTATCGACTCATTTCCTCTTTCACTGAAAAAAGTAGCTCCTAAGCAATTTCTAAATAGAGGTACACCACAGTTAAAACTCCCGATGCAAAGACATCACATGAAAGTACCACCTTACCCTGAGTTTCAGTGGAGCTATATTCTTTTGCGCACCGCTCCACAATTCTTGGATAAGATCCCCATAGCACTTCGCCATATGACCCTTCATTCCCAATGGGTTGGCCCTGCATTAAAACATTCACGAGTTAAGCCAATCTTGAACGAATGCATCTATCTATTCATTGCCCTCCCAACACCGTGAAATTGTTGGGCTGTATTCCGAGTGAAAACACATTACAAATTTTAAAACCGTAGTGATATCAGCAATGTGGATCAACTTAAAAATCTCTAGGAGCATGGGAATCATTTAACCTTTCATTTACGGTATAGCGTCTTCTGCATCCAAGGTTTTAGAGCTCCAGCACGTTTGGAGAAGAGCGGAATGCTGGGGGTACCCGAGATGCCGATCAGCGCAGAAACCCAGCTTCGTGGAAGCGGGAAAGTGGAATTAGTGACCGAGTGGCCCAGCCCAGGATACAAGCAGCAAACTGCAGGATTCGCTAATTACGAGCCAATTTCAGTGTCTCACAACCTTACTTAAAACAACGCCAAGCTGAAAAAGACAACGCTAATTCCAGTCTTTTCCGCGGTGAAAGAAAGAACTGTGCTGAATCCATACCTGTTGAGTTCATAAAGGTGTCTCCCTGAGATAAAGTACTTGGTGAGTGGCTGTGTGTTACTGACACACTGGATACTAGAATTCATAAAACACGTGTTCCCAAGGTTACTTAGCCCCGTTGCACCTTTTTCAGTGGGAACTGGAATAAAAATATTATAAAGAAAAGTTACCTCACCATTTTAGATAGTTACCTTCAAAAGTAAAAAAGAAATGCACCCAACTTTAACACAGTACAGGGCAATATCATTTCGTTTTTGAAGCCAGAGATAGGAGATCAAACAACACATACACACACACGACCAACTAACTCAGTTATCAGAGAAGCAGAAACAGGAGAACCGCAGCTGAGAAAGTCTCATGGTTTAACAGAACATGCTGCCGATGGCCATCACCAACGAAAGTCTATTCAAATACAGCTACAACTTGCATTTATACAGTGCCCTTCATGCAGCGTAGTGTCCCAGAGCCCCAGCAACTAACTCACTTGCTAGGGCCGGTTCAGCCTCTTTTCCTTCATTAATAATGGCTGGCGAGGCACATGAACATTTTAACAAAAACAATTGGGAACTGAAATCATCAACACGGGGCACAATCCGAACTTTAATTCCTTTGGCCGAAAGCTGCGTGCGTTTACTCTCGGGACAATATTCATATACAAAACAGCGGGAATGCGAGCAAGAGAAAGAAAGAACAAGCGTTTTGTTTGAGTGTGTGCACACGTGGCACTAAAGAAGAGTGCTCGGCAGCTATTTAATACATTCCATCGAACAAATTCTTCCCCAGAGATCCTTGAACACAGTTAGCTTACATTGTGTGAAAAAGCCACGTGAACAGATTCTGTCCGAGGAATCTGACCCATGATTCATCCAGGGGAGAAACTATAATATTCAAATCTCAAGTTCCAGCTGAATATAGTTTTGCATTTAACACACAGGGCATGGATACTGTAAAACACATCCTGCACTGAACACGTTTCGTATTCAAACTAAACCCAGCTCAGGGTCACCCGTCTAGGAATCTATCGGCTTGCTGAACTAGCTTTTTTCTGCTTATTAGAACAAATATTAGTGACCAAAAAAAAAGGTAATTGCGGGGTCAGTAGCAAACTTATCGTTTTCTCGCCTAACAAATGTTCTCAGAAGCCCTTATTTAAACCAGAATCTCAAGAGCCGATAGAGACTGAATGGCTTCCTCCTGCTTCTACAGCCACAGGAGAGATTCTTGGATTGGTCATTCACTTTATGGCCGTTTGTGGAATATTGCGATTGTGGCAAATTGGCTGTCACATTTGCCTTCAAATAGTCACTACACTTTCACAGGAAAACCTTGTGAACTTTTAACCTGATGAGGCATTACATGAAATGCAAGGATTATTAATAGATTTCTCCATGGGAAAGACAAATGAACACACAGGTGTGGTGTGAGGGATACCATTTTGATAAAGGGGACAAACCCATATAAAGATCAGCATTCATCAGAAATGGAAAATTGTTAAGTGTAGCTTTTTGGGAGGTTATGGTAACTGGTGAAACACAAGATGCATTTCATACATCTTAAGGCAGATTTTAAATTTAATTCGGTTTTTACAGTGCCAAAGGTTCAGTACTATATGAGAGTTGGGTTTGTAAACTATGATTAATGAGGATAGTAAGTCCACTATGTGATGGATCAATTTGGGTAATGCTTCAGTGATCCGAACAGATATATTGAGGCTCAAGAAGGACATAAGTTTGCTTGATAACCCCACAACATGAAATAAAGCACAACGCCTATACTTAAGAACTAAAAGTCTACATTTGTACCTACCCTTATGTCTGTCCATTTTGCTACTGTTTGCAATGAATGACATCTCCTCCGGCCAACTCATGTCTTTGTTGCGAACTAGTATAAGAAATGTAGGACATGAGGCTCATAGTACAGTAGCGGTATTTAATGTAACATACGTGGCTAATGGGACAATCCAATTTGATGGCAATATTGTCTTACACAATGGATTTTCTTTCCTCCTCCTAACCATAATGTTCTCCTGCTACACGGTTTCTCTTCCTGACCGAGGAGAGAGGCCGTGTACTGCACTGCTCCCAGTTGGCTGCTCGGACAAGGGTAAATAATCCTCTCAAGATTTCCATCTTTCACACCCAGCATCTGCTTGATGCTTCTCAATGTTGATGCATCGAATATTGGGAACTGACTCGTCGCAGAATCAATTACCTCGAATGTAAAACGCGCTCGTGACTTCTGAGTTATTTAGGCCATCAATAACTCCAATGTAAAAAAAAAACTAAATTTGACTCGACTTGGATTTTTCTTCATTTAAAACTCTGCACTTCCCAAACCTGGCCTGGCAAACAGTTTGCGAGTTTTCTTTTAAAAGGTTTCATATTCTCTCATTGATGAACTGCCGGCAAATGCACCAAAATAATATAAGTTAGTCATTTTAATTATGCTCCTGGCTCGTTTAACTCAAAAGTATGTAGAACCGATTGCTCACAGAGCACATCAGAAATACGGTTGTGTTGTACGTAACTAAAAACTTTTCATTCTGTCCACAAAGCACTCTAAAAGTTCTGAGAGTTTCCTGCCCCCCCAACCCCCGATTAAAAATCCCACCAAAAAGCACCTCTTATTGCAACCCACATTCGTTCCATAGCTCCATGTTTTTCTTTTTAAACATCATGGGGGAAACTGAAGCTGTGGAACATATTTTCTTCCATCGCCACATGTCAAACGTGCTTCATGACTGAGGATCACCCAATGCACCCCCTCATTTCAAACTTGGATGGGAATATTTTTTAAAAAAATATGTATTATATACCTTCAATCACTAAGTGCTGTTCATCTGGAATTTTTAAATCCTCTAACGTGTGCTCCTCGTCGTCAAGTAGTGTAAGATAGTTCTGCAGTAAAGTAAAAAAAGTCAAATGCATCAATATTATTTAAGCCGCTTTAACCACACGCAGGTCAGCTTAACCGATCGGAAGCAAACTCCCGTTTCAACTTTTCCCACAGCAAACAGAATTCCCAGAGATGGCCGATAAATGTGCAGCGCGACACACACACAAAAGGAGATGTGTACACACACACACTCACTCGTGCACGCACAACTAGACAGCCATACTTTTCACATCCACATGCTTTGTTACCTCGCTGTTGTACAGCCACAGTCGCATGTCCTCCTCCTTTATTCGAAGCCGCTGTGACAGGTATTCGTGTATGTCTTTTATGGTCTGCACACGGCTGAAGCAGCCCGTGTACGCGAGCACTCGCTTCAGAGGGGTCGTTGGCGAGGGTACGTTCCCTGAATTCATAACAAACAGTTTTAAGATGAAATTGAAATTGGATCCGGTGTAACGAAAAATATCACGCAGCCAATCCTAATGAGGTCGTAGAGCATGACCATTGAGAATGGGCCTTTGGCAGCAACCACTGCAAGGTTGGCGAGTAACAGGGCAAAGTGTAGCCTTCTCTCCCGCAGAGAGATGTCACTCTTTCACTATAAGCTTGATCTATTATCTGGATTCAAAGGAGATAATCTGGGGCAAGCAAATCTGTGTGTCAAGCAGCCTGGGACTTGACCTGTAAAGACAGGCCAATATGTAAAAATACAGCTACATATGATTACGGATCACCGTGCAACTTCTTTGCAAAACATCATCAAATTCAGCTCACTGGGTTCCCTTTTGGGTGGGGGAGGGGGGTAAAATAAATTCACTTGGGCTAAATTTCAAGGTTAAAATGGACCAGTGAACAAATGTGCTTTGCTTTGCCACGTGCCAAGAATGAATCGAGGTTATCAGAAGGTGTGCGCTTGTGCACACACACGCGCACCTGTGTAGTTCAGTGTGAGATTGTCACATAATGGAAATAATGGATTGGGAGAGCAAAGCAGGGAGAGCATCAATGTACGAAATTAAGGGTTACATTTTTTAAAAAAAAAACATGATTCCTCACTCACAAGGATTGGCTAAAAATCATCCAAATTAACAGAATTGCAAATTAATTGCGTCAAAAGAATGTAGAGAAGATGGAACGCAATTTGCGGTACATTCCAAGGGTCTATGCGTCTGCAAGGGTCTACGCAAGAGAAATAGAATCACATACAAGAGGTGCAGATTACAGCAAGAAAGCAGATCACCAAAATTAATCAATAAATCTATCTAATCCAAAAAAAAATTCCACTAGAGCCAATAATTAAAATGAATCACAAAATCAAACTGGTGAGGGAGCGGTGTGGGAACAGGGAAAAAAAATCCTGGTAAAATCTTGTCAAAATTAGAGCCCAAGGGTGTTGAAGGCACAGAAACGTACCATGGAACGATCGAAGAGGCTTATTTCTACACGTTTTGAACTTCCTGTAGTCTTTTTTGGACACAATAATAATCCTTGCATTTGATATAGCACTTAATCACGTCGTTGTGACGTCACAAAATGCTTAACAGAATATACTCTAAAGTGAATTACTGTGTGTTTTGTGTCCCACAAAACAGCGGTGGATTGAGTGACTTGTGCAAAAATTCTTTTCTTTTTTTTAAAAAAAGGGATCGTTATCGCTGGAAAGTGATCCACCAATCGACTAACAACTGGGTTCCTACTTACTGCAAGGTAAGCAGAGGCGTGTGGAATAAGAACACTTGGCTAGGTTTCATTCTGCCTGGGAATCGAACCCAGGTCCTCTGCTGGCAAGGCGAGCGGGCTAACCAATACACTACAGAACTCCATATTTCACTGCAGATTGCCCCCCCACCCCCCGTTCGGTGAACGATGTTGCCGTTAAGATATTAACTCGTACTGTAGACAAGTCCTCGCGTTTTTAATAATGGTAGCAGGGTTTGTTACTCTCAAGGGCAATAGCCACAGGAACACTCGAGTCTACTGTTCGAAAACGATCCTTTACAAAACAAAAACCAAAATGCCGATTTACAAACAAATGCAGCACGCTCCCTGCACCACACAGCTTGATTTGGCTGTCTGGAGTCGAACAAGATCCCATGCAAAAATTAAGATTTGAATTTGCAAATTACTGCAATCGGTTTAAAGAGCCAGCCAGCCGACAACTAATAAAATGATGCTCTCTTTCTTGCTGCAGTCTTCCATTACCTCTATACACATGCTGAGGATATGGTCGCAGGCTTATCATACCCATATTCACCCAGATGTTGGATTGCTGTGTACGTGTAGCTGGCTGCTGACGCAAAAAGAGGAGATAGCGAGGAAACAACTCCAGCTCGGCCAGGTTACTCTGGGTGTTTTTAATGACCTGAATTAGAAAGAAGAAGGACGGGGGGGAGGGAAGGAAAATTAACCTAAGATGAATACCTCAGTCTTTGCAAACCTCCCTATGTAATCAAGTAACTTTCTCAACCAAGTTAAATGGTGCAGCATGAACAAATGCAATCTATACACTCGTGGTCCTGAATTTGTATCAGAGGCAATTTTGGACTCTGCATCTGATGATTTAATTGCCCCAAATTAAAGAAAAGCATTGATTTAACAAGTTCTCTCTCTCTTTCTTTCATCCCCCGCTGGACATTTATTCTCCAATACTATGGTGCCAAGACCATAACGTTGCAAAGTGAAAATTTTAATTCTATCAACGTGGTTCTGACCAATCACACGCGGCTGATTTGCTTTTCTTTCTCATGATGTTGTTCCTGAGGAACGTAAAACGCTCTTTTTATTAACTTCAGTAATGAGATCTCGAAGCTTGAAATGAATACATTTCCCTTATTATTGCCAGTCTGTTCATGAGCATTTAATGATTGCTGTATCTTTACTCTTCCTCAAGAGACTGTACAAGGGGAGAAAATTCTTTGCTTGCCAGTAAACTGACTGAGTGCGAACTCGCCTCATTCCCACCACCACCCCCGGTCCTGCTTTGTGCTGCTGTTGAGCAGGGGATCAGACAGGTTTGTCCGCAAGCAAAGAATCACCTGAGTCCCATCCCATCCCACACATGCTCCAGATTTGTATTAAACCAAACAATAGTAGCTGGGTCTGTTATTCTCAAAGGCAAAACGCACAATAAAGCAGCTGACAGGAAAAAAGACCTTAATTATGCCTTTCAATTCACCCCATAAAATTAGCATTGTTTAACATTTTAACATATACATTAAAGTTGAATCTTTATACTGACAGCTGCACTACATTCCATAACGTTTGTAAATCACCTTGGACGCCAAGATATAAGACGAACGAACAATTTTAAACTGCGTAAACAGTTATTTTAAACAGCTGCGTAAAAAGCTGAAAAATTTAAACTAATGGAGCGCGGATAACTTACAGGCCGTGGTAGGGACAGGTTTGCTCCGTACCAATGATACAATGCCCTCCACACAGGCTCTGGCACAATCTCATAGTCCTTCCCTCGAACCAAATTTGGGCTTCGTTTCAAACGTCCACCTTCCAGGGTTAACGTGGGAGCCTTTAAGAACAGCAACAATGCTTACAAAAAAAACATAGACAAAAAACAACCAACAGAGCAAATCTCCAAATAGTAAACTCGGTTTCTCGATGTTCATTGTATGGAACTGCGTCCCTTTCAAATGCAACCTGGTCTAAGATTAATTGACGGTGGAAATAATCCAATAAAAATAATAATACTTGCAGTTGATAAAGCACCTAACCACGTCGTTAAGATGTAATAACTATGGACAGCACGCACTTGTATTTCATTGGAAGGGCAATGACTATACCTTTGCAGATTCTTGCATTACAAGGCACTGGTTATCAATGGCTCCTGGTTTCTGGGGACCGAGCTGTGAAAAACTATTCCCGTTTGCCCCCAGGAAACACTGGTTGTTGTCCGAACTGTTGTGCTGCCGTGCAAAGCAAACCTCAGTGCTAGTCGGACTCAGCGGGGATAAACCTGCAAAGAAGAGGAGCCAATTATTTCCTCATATCCCCCTCAGACCACAATCTACTTTGGACTGAGAAACTTTTTTTTTAAATTGTTACTGTTGAATTTTTCTGCCCAACAATAACAATGCTAGATTTGCTGTAAGGTGTGGTGACTGCGTACTTGATAGGCAAACCCAACAGCCAATTTAATTTGCACGCAACAATAGCCCACAAAAATGACTGCACCGGGAGCAATGTACATATATATATATATACACACACATACACACAATATATAAGTGCAATGATCATTTTTATTTGCATTGCCACATGATTTGCACAGAAAGAGCTACAGCCCAACTCTGCGTTGAACATCCTGCTGTTTTGTCACTTGGGCAGCTTATTCCAGTCACCATTAGCACTTAGTGAATCCTCAAAGCCATTCCTTAATTTCCGCTCAATAATCATTTCCCCCCACCACCCCCCATCAGAAGAAATTCTTTTAATTGCCAATTAATTACATTCACAATTCCTTTTTGTTTCTCGTCTAGTCCTTCCTCTCCCCACACTCTCCCCCCACCCATCAAATACACTTACTGGTGCCTGTGCTCTCAGTTGCTTCAGATGCAATCGAGATGTTGTCCAGATATTTCTCGTCTGCAGCAGTGAAGAAATTCTGCAATCCGGGTTTAGCCTCAACCTGATCCATGGAGTGCAGTAACGTCTGGCTCCTCACTGCATTCATTATGGAGGATGGCTCGATGACCACTGGCTTGGTTTCCTGCAACAAAACAGAGGGGGACGGAAACAACAGTTGGGTCGGTTACTGTCAAATGTTCCTTCAATACTTTGAGCTGCAGATTTACACATTTGATGTAAGCTGTATCAAAACCAGGCTCAAAACCAAAGCCAGTACTTTCCTTTCTCTTGAGAAAGAAAACTACAGTTATCCCTACCCTTTTCTTCAAAATACACAGTTTGCACAAATGTACTTTCATAGATCATTTTAGATAATTCTGGAGTTCTACAAGAAGTGACTGCTTCAGTGAGTTGAATGCACCCTGAAAGATTTTAACCCAAAACCTCCTCCTGGTCTGGAGCCAACCAAATCAATGAGACGTTCACACGAGATGTTCGAGATTAGAAACTGATGAAAGCGTCAGGAGTTAGATTACCAAACCCTGAATGAAGGCAGTCAATAAAAGGAAACATTTCGGGGGAGTTGGCGACCTAACCCTTTCTCCTTTCGACACTCTTTCGATACCAGAATGATCGGCTACAGTAAACCCCCCGCAGTTTCCCGGACAGTCTCCAGGTATCTGGAATTCCTACTTAGCAGGACTGGGCCACAAACAGGAATTTTTTTTAATAAAAACTTACGATCCTCGAAGGTCCAAACACACGTGTAGACTCCTGCCGGCCCCCACTCTCTCAGCGCGCTCCCCCCACTACCACCTCACCAGCCTCACTGTACTTCAGTGGCCAGAGATACACTTTTCACTCAGTAAGAATCCCGCAAGCAGAAGGCAGCTTATTTGCCATTATTTGCACTGAAAAAAGCTGGTGCCGAAAAATAGCAGAACTGGCATTGTAATTACACTTAGCCAGAAATTCTGGCTTGCTGGACCGGGTCCTTCCTTCCCCCACCATTCATGTGACTAGCTGGGTTTTAATGTACTTACATATTTTACATACTCTTTCCACTGTTTCCACCACTGGACTGAAATCAGGAACCAGTTGTGCCCAGGTTGAAGGCCATGCCTGCTTTCTCTTTCCAACCACCCACTAGACACGAGGAACAAAGAACAAAAACATTTTATTTAAAAAANTTCTCAAAATGTTAACTGAAGCCTAAGAACGACCACTCGGGTTCAACATTGAATCAAATGCTACCTTGAAAAGCAAAACAGTTACTCATGAGGACAGTCATTTCTATGCAGAGATAAATTTGCGCTGAATGCTGTACAGTTTGAAGGTCAATTAATTATACACAAGACTTCATACCCCACATCTGTGTCACGACCCGCTCTGCCAGCCCCCACCTCTGCAATATTGCCCAGCTCCACCACTGTCTCACACCGCAGGCCATGCAGATCATCCAGAACTCTGCAGCCCGTGACCTCTCCCGCACCAGGCTCCGCGAACCTATCACCCACACCTCGCCCGACTCCACCGGCTTCCCATCACAGAGGATACAGTTCAAGATCCTGGTCCTCACCTTCAAAGCCCTCCATGGTCTTGCTCCCCCCTACCTCTGCGACCTCCTAACCCCCACCATCCTGCTCGCTCCCTCCGCCAAACGTGCTCCGGCCTGCTTCACATCCTCCGCCTCACCCACCCCACCATTGGCGGGCAGGCCTTCTGCCACTTTGCCCCCACCCTCTGGAACTTCATCCCGTAGTCCCTCCGCCTCGCCCCCTCCCTGGCCTCCCTCAAGAACCTCCTCTTCGACCGTGCTTTCGATCACCCTGCTTCCCCCCCCGCCGGATCTCAACCCCAGCTCAGGTCGCAAACTCTGACTGTCCAGCGCCTTTGGACCTCCTTTTGACGTAAAAGGCGTTTCACAAATGTAATTTTGTTGTTACTCTGCTAAATAGACTGAAAGGCACAGTAAGCACAAAACCTTGTTGCCTGGTGCTTTAGGGGATAAATAAACTTTCATAATATCATGGGGAAATTTTAGTGGAAATTTCCTAAGAGGCCTTTGAAAATACTTCAGACCAAAACCTAAGAGTCAATGTTATGGCTGCCCAGTCCCCTTGAAGGTTACGGACGTTTGTATCTGATCTTGTGTAGAAGAAATTAACTCTGAATTTTCACAATCAGAAACTTTTGTTGAAATAGTAAGGAACACGCAGACTTAGTTAGTTGGATTTGAGCCAGGGTTACAATGAATATTACATCGGGTCCGAGATATTATTCTGGATATTAAACGTCTAAATTTAAACCGTGTTAACATAATGGGGAATTTTTTAAAAAAGAATAGATCTGCTTTCCATGATATATTAAAGAAAAGTATCATGGAAGACATAAATTAGGATACAAAGTGGTTGTTAAGCTCAAGAGGCCTGGATGAATGCTACACTGCCAATATCTGAAAGCACTGAGAGAAATTGTGTACCTTATAATTTGTCCTTCTTCTTCCGGGGTGGCTGGTCTAAGACCAAGAACGATGTGGCATACCTGCAGAGAAACAAAGAGATCAGAACGCGGTCTCTAAAAAATGCCTTACTGCTTTCCACAATAAAAGATCGAGACCCCATCGAAAGCGCAACTCTGTCGTAGCACACTTATTGTTAACTGTGTGGATTCAGTTGGGAGCGTGGATCCATTCACTCAGCATGCGCGCAACTGACCCACTTGCTTCCCGCGCATCAGCTAGATCTCATGATAAAACACCAAGCTTCCCGTTTGTCCAGATCCCAGGCGATCCTTCAGCGCTTTGCGTCTTCCTTCCGTTAGGAAAGGCGCTAGACAAATATAATTAATTGCTGTTGATTCGTCGGCACCAGTGTCAGCTCCTGCTCTGTGTCATGCACAGCACACAGGAAGTGTCGACGACGGTGACCTGATGACCCGGGAGTTAGTCAGGTCTTTTTCTTCTCCCCCCACAAAGAGCGGAAACTGGTCGGCTTGCAGAGCAAGGCAAACCCTGGTCTCTGCAAGTTTGCTCTGTTACAACACTGGCAACGTGGACTCAGCTGTAATTAGGAGCCTTCACTCATCTTCCATCGTCATTTGATTTTAAGGGGAGCATTTACATAGAATTACATGGACTGTGCTTCTATCCATCACACATCTAAATTCTTAACGTTTCACCAAACTCATCTGTTGAACTTCTTGCAAACTAACCTGGAAGAGGAGATTGAGGAATTCATTGGCCAGAGCGCTCTTTACGCTCCATATCTGGTAGTCCTCGAGGGTTAGTTGCCCCAGCTATCATTAACACATTTAAAAAAAAACAGGTTTTAATTCCTCAACTGTTAAGAAAGAAATAACTTGAATCTTTACAGTGCCCGTGTATTTGTAGTCAAACATAGCATTCATTTTGCACACTCGCAAAATCCTACAAACACCAATGAAGTGAATACCACACACTTTATAGAATGCCATTCACTTCGGGATGGGATCCCAGAGTGTGCTTTTGGGTACAGCTGAAATTTAACCAGCTAAAGCCCAGCTGACCAAAAAAAAACATTTTTTTCCAACAGACAGATGGGACTTTGGTTCATGGGGCAATTTGTCACCACAAGGGTATTTAAAAACAATTTGATTATCTGCAAAAGGGAATAATAATAATAATCCTTGCATTTGATATAGCGCTTTTCACGTCTTCTAGACGTCTCAAAGTGCTTCACAGAATATACTGTAAAGTGAATTGATTGTATATGTGTGGGCGAACGCGGCAGCCAATTGCGCACAGCAATGACCCACAAACAGTCGTAGATTGAAAATGAAGAATAAATAGTTTTTCCCCTTGTAAAATTTGATGATGCAAATATACCCTTTAACAGGGTACATTTAAGTAGACTATAACAAGAAAACCCAAAGTGGTTAACCACTGTTCATGGTTTCATAATTTCAACCAAAATCTGTGTTCTGTGTTTAGAACTCCAATATGGAGTGGAGTCACACATGTACAGGAGCACAAGGCAAACCACAATGATGCTATCAATCCACAGCATGAACAAGGTTACCTGGAACAGGCTGAAATCAACGTGAAGTGAAATCAATGCAAAGCGCTGACTGCAGAAAGACTTACTTTAGTGGTGTCGTGCTTCTTCAAGATGTAATTTACAATGTCAGGCGTCGCCATGCTCAATTCCTAAAGAGAGTCACAAAACACTACTGTGAACACCTGCTCCACTACACATCTTGCAACAGTGGCTACAAGTTGCTCAACGACATGATCTAAGGTGATGCAGTATTTAGATGACGTGCTGTGGAAGAGTAGGACAGAGTCTCGGAAATGAGGGAAGTGTAAAATAAAAAAAAACTCTCCCACAAGGAGAGAATGATGAAGTAATAAAGCATCATTTAATTTATATTATATACATACACACACTTAATTGCTTATTTTTGCATTTGCTCTTTGGTTTACACCATCCCAGATGCTATTCCTTGACCAAGAGGATGGACAGACAATTGCTTCCATGTGTTATGGGTGTAGGTTTGTGAGGGTCTGAGAGCAGGTTGTCTGCTCGTATCCCGTCAGTTGATGAATGGTAACTGGCAGAGAGACACAAAGACCATATTTCCAGGGGGAATTAAACTATACATGCAGTGGATTGGAATATTGTCCTTTCACTTCTATGACCTAGCTTCAAACTCAACGTGGTTTGATGAGATGGAAAACTTGCTCCCCTGATGACTGTTCCGATCATATGCGAGTTGAGTTGAAGCATTCTCAACCTCATTCCCAGTGGGCATGACTGCTCAAAGGCCAGAGCAACTCGGCAATCTCACTTGCATGTCACAAGGATGACTGGCATTGGAAATGAAGAGATTGTTTATTCTGTAACGTTGGGGGGAGAGGGAGGGAAGGAGCCTACGGCATACTGTTGGAAAGTAGGGAACGGTTGAAGCTACTCCGATTCCAACCTGCACGAGTCCTGGAGCTGCACTGGTCAGTTTAATTGCAAGTGACATTTGGGATTGACCTGCAGGGCAATGTGAACTTGTCTACTCCTGGAAAGCCCTCTGACCTGCTGAGGGCATGTGGTATTATCAGCTGGGATTTTTTTTTGACCGCATACGATAGCTGAGGGCGAGTTTCCCCCCCTCGGCCCACCCCAGGCTCGTCTAAAGTGCAGATTTCCTGTTAAAATGACCAGGGCAGTTTTGGGATACATTCAGACCATTCCCGTAACACAACTGCACTACTGCAGAAGAGCAGTGGAGACAAAGAGTCGTTAGTCATGGTTTTAAAATAGTCAAAATCATGTATGTCTCGCAAGATTTGAAAGATCGAAGGAGCGCCAATACATTAAACAGTCTCCTACCCACCCACTACATCCTTTTAATGATTGTAAAACTATAGTACTAGAAAGCACATTCATTTTTTAAAATATTATCACTACCCTAAAGACGAGTCCTGGAGGAAAAACAAGTCAAACAAGTAAAAGAACCTTTTGCCATTTCCAATTAACTCAATTAATTTTGGCCCTTGCGGTGGTAGTTATTTTTGCAAACGTGTGTTCTGCATTATCCTAATTTAAACAAATATATTTTATGTAAAATGCTCCCTGTCTCAAATCTTCCCACGCCACAAATAATCCCAGACAGTAGGATGGGCCATGGCTTCAACAATGCAGCTCTGAACGTGGCTGCTAAGAAGCATGCAAGCAGCCCGCGGCCACTTTCCCTTTCATTCACCATTCCCTCCTCGCAACTGTGCCATGGCAGGGAATGGTAGCTCAGCATGTGGAAAATATCATGAATAAACCCACATCTTACCGCTCAGCGGGGCAGCGAGCTGGGGATTCCATGACATTGGGCTGCCAGTGGAGAGGATTAGGCAAAATGTAATGAGTGCATTATAATTCCCTGGAGTTTTTGTGCTTTTTTGAAAAAAAAATCCAGTTTCTTTCAATTTACGATGTTTCCACAATGCATAAATAAAAATGCAAAAGTACTATTGAAGGAAGATCAATGAAGAACTGCTGGGAAACACATTATTTTAATTTCGCTAAATGCAGAGTTTCACATGATGCCAATTCGTGCATTAATGGATTAATTAGTGCTCTCATTCAGTGCCGGCTAATTATTCTGGGTCGACTAAAACCCGTTACTTACGGGAATTTTGTCAGTGCGGTTATCCTTCCAGACTTCCAAAAGTGCAACTACCATTTCTTCTAGTTCAGTGCGAGACAAGGCCCCGTCGCGGTCAGTATCGAACACCTTGAAGCAAACTAGCGAAACATAGAATTGTTCATCATCCATTTTCACAATGCAACAGTGTATGTACATCATTGCTTTCAAACTGAGGGCAAAAAGAACGCAACTAGAAGTGTAAGAGGCTTTCAGAAGCTCAGCTCTTTTCTTGCAGAAATCAGATGGATGACTGGTCTAATATAACGTTTCGGGGTGGTGGAAAGAATTTCCAACACAGTGTGTATGACTAACGGACTTACAAAATCTGATTTAAACTAAAGAGAGTACAGGAGGGATAAAGCAGGGGGATTAAGCAATGCCTGCATATAATTTCTTTATTGCCCAAGCCAAAAGTACTCACCAGAATAGAGAGCTGGAAAGAGAAATTACATGTTTAAGTGTCTTTAATCTGAGAGGAAGACGATTGCGTTTTCTTGGTCGTAGTTCCTAGCAAAACTATCGATCTCAACGAGAATACAGGGCCAAGTCACACGAATCTCAAATACTGTGAGATTTACTCAGCGATCAGGCCCCTTTTACTGGCATTCCAACATGCTGTCAATTAGCGCTGCATTATTACGAACAACGCTATACTCTGAAGTTGCACCCTCTAGCAGTGAGCTCCAGATAAACCAAACTTATTTCTTTAAGATACCGATCAGTAGAAAACAATCACTTTTGTTTCTCGGTTTGAACTGAATTTAATACAAAGGTATGAAAAGAACAATGTTCAAAACCCAATCACCATCCGGTAACGTGTGCATTACCGTATTTCTTGGCTGAACACTTTCAGGTCCAGATCAAGTGTATTCCTACACCAGATTCGCCTGATAGTTTGCTCGGGTGCATTTCCACAAAAAATTTGAACAATAATGGACAAATATAAAATCAATGAACACTTCTTTTAAGGCTGTGCTGTCCAAGTGCAGCAATTCTACAGCACATCTTATTAAAATTTCCCGACATACTTACATTTCTGCCGTTCAGCAACAGGCCCTCGACAGCAGGCAGAAAGCCCGCAAGAGATTTCTTTGAAATCAATGTGATTGTCACGATTTTCATCAAAAGCACTGAATAAACCTGCAACGGGAACAAATGACGTCTAAGTTACGTATCACAAAAGGACGTTTACAGGAGCATAATAATGGCGGGGGGGGGTGGGGGGAACAAGCTAGTGGCTTGCTTGATATTTAAAGCATCAACTGGAAACTGGATGTACCTCAAAAAATATGCACCACATAAACAGCTCTAAATTTCCTACATGGATAACCCGATCTGAACTTAACACGTTCCTTTCATAAAAAGGAAACAATGCACTGAATGGAACCTTATTCTCTCTAATATATAAACAGAAATGTCTGGGAGCACTCAGCAGGTCAGGCAGCATCTATGGAAAGAGGAAAGTGAGTTGAGTTAACGTTTCAGGTCGATGACCTTTCGTTATTCTCTCTGAACTTTATTTCCCCTGTAACAAAAAGGATGGAGTTCCATGTTCCACGGGGTCATGGTCTTTATGGAGTTCATTGCTGCCGCAGACAGAATCACGGCAATTCAATTGCTATTCTCTCCTCGTTCCCAACAGTTTGTGAGGTCACTCGGCCACCTCAATTGGGTTTCATCAGCCTTGTAACCCGCTGCTCACGGTGTACTGTGTTCTCAGCAGCGATGCCTCAATTACCTTCACTTAGAGATAGATGGATGGGTGGAGAAACCAACGGAATAAATGTTTCTAAATCAAAACGTCCGGTTCTCGACTGAGCCTTCAGGAGCCAGTAGCGCTTCTCGAGGTCAATTATGTCAGACTCTTCTACTGCAAATACAGAATATTTGAATTAATCAGATGCACACGTGGCCTGAGCACTAATAGACAATGCTAATTAACATTAAAGAGACATTATACAGAAATTCACAACTATGACTGCACAATGTGATAAAGCAAACTTACAACCCACAAAATATAGTCAATTCACTTCATGGTGTATTCTGTGAAGCGCCTTGAGATGCCTCGAAGACATGATAAGGTACTATTAAATACAAGGATTATTATTATTATTGGATAGCTTTAATAAACACAAAATTTCTTTGAAAACCAATATGAAACTTCAAACATAAACCCTAGAATTTATAACTCACGCATTTAATTCTGAAAAATATGATGGTGGAAAAGTAGGTTTTATAGTAAACTACTTCAAACTTAAATATACCAGACCTGGTTTTTGTTTAAAAAAAGTGGCACCTTTGCTATTGACACCGTTGCCTCCTTAAGAACCGTCTCAAGGTCCTCCTCTTCGACTCCTACCCCTATCCTCAATCACCCTTCCCCTACCCCTCGCCTCTCTGCCCTGCTGATCCAAACCCCAGCTCAGGTGCAAATTCCTGACTATCCAATGCCTTGGGACGTCCTCCTGACGTGAAAGGCACTATACAAATGTCATTGCTGTCGTTGTTGACCTCAATGCTGAACATACAATTAGTTGATCTTTCTTTTCAAGTGATCGAAATGGCTTGTAAAGCTATTAGGAACCTAGTTAATCTAAGCCCAACCTCCCCCACCCACCCACCCACCCACACAAACACATACATCTCACAACTGTGATATTATGTCTGATTGTAATCTACAGAAGCTAATTTTGCTACTCAAATAAATGTGATATCATCTTGCAACAAATATACACTTGGAGAATAAGTGAAAGTGACTAAATTAGTCTCCAGAGATTTAGAGAAATGTCTTAATGCAGCCTGGAGAGACAGTCTGCCATCCTTGTGCAATGATGCTGAACTGATTAGAGCCGCCACCACTAATCTGCAGTCGGATTCATCAATTTATTTTGAGAGGGAGAGAGAATGGAACGTGCACTGTGTACAATGGCTGTGCACAGCAAAGTGAAAGATATGCACAGCTCAACAACATCAACTTGACGCAGATCATAAATGGCAATTTTTTTTGAACTTCCAACAGTGCACTTGTTTTTCAGTTTTGTCAACAGAACTCGGGGGGGGGGGGGGGGGAGCAATTAAAATAGCATTAGTACAGATTTACAAGGTGGTTTATAGTAAGATAGTGTCAGTGGCGATTCACAAGGTGGTTTAGAGTAAGAGTGGCTCTCATGAATTTAAGCAAGTTACACTGCATCACAGACACATTGGAAACTAGGCTTATGAGGAAATTAGAAACTAGAGTAGGTAGGAGTTATAAAGAAGGGTGCACTGTGACACAATGAACTGTAACTGTGGGAGTAGACATTATGTAGGCAAGTCTCAATGTTAGGTTCTGTATTTTGTGGAACTCTTATCAGATTTGGATACTCTTAAGCATGCAAATGCATTGACCATGTGTCAGGCACTGACCCCCCCAAAAAAAGGCCTGGAAAAATCCATTGAGCCCTGCTATCAGGAATGCACAGCAACTGTTATGAGTCTGAGTCAAATGCCAAAGTCCAAATTTCAGAGAACTCAAATTTTGTACTGTTCAGCTGCTCACAAGCAAGATGGCCTCTGGTGGATGGCCTAACACAGGGGTAATCCAGAGACGCCTCTAGTGTAACACCTGAAACCACTACAGACCCTTAAAACGAAAATGTGAACAGCACTAACACGAATTATGAAACTTAACTATTTACTGGGATGAGTTGGGACTTCCTGGGGTGAATATTTGAATGACTAATTTTAGTGGGTGGGGCTGAGTAAAGCAGGTGGTTCTCATTTCCCCTGAAACCTGGGAGCGCCAACGTGATATCTACTACACAATTGAATTATGTGGTACTGCCAGCACACACGTGGCAGATTAACACTCCTCAGAAACTCTTACTTGTTTAATACATGAGAATTCATAACATTTTTCAACTATCTAAATACATCTTGTTGAATCATATTGGCTTCAAGATCCACGTTACGCTTACAGTATAGACTAACACTCAGGGCAAACCTGTAGTCCCTTCAGATGAGAGGTTAAGCTGAGGTCCTGACTGCCTGTTCAGGTGGACATTAAAGATCACAGACTATGGGCAGCTCAGTGTATCAACCAGAAATAAAGTGTAAAAAGCTTACTATGTGATGCACTTGTCTTAGACCCAGGTCAAAATGCAGAGACAACCTGTCGAGATCACTTCATGCAATTACTACCAATGATAACCCTTTCATATTATACAGCAACTAGAAAATCAAAATGACTCAAAGGGTTTCATTGGAAATTGCTGTCAAGTACAACGACTGTATTTGTAAGCAAATGCCTCAGCCTTTTTCCACAAAATGAATGACTAATTCATCGAGACACCAGGAGAAAGAAATTCCCTCCTCTCTCTCAGTAGCGGCATGGGATCTTTAACGTGTGCCTGAACAGGTGGAACTCTGTTTATTGTCTCATCCAAAGAACAGCACCTCCAAGAATGGAGTGCCAATGTGGACTCTGAGCTGGAGCTCCTTATGTGGGTCTTGAACCATTGTGTGTGCTGCACGAGGAAAAGATCTTTAGAGAATTTCTTTACACTACAATTAAAGACGACACCTAATATAAAAAAATGAGTCATCTCACTGAATTGAGTCCGCAGCTTTAATCCTTCAGTCAACTGCAAGTCAGAACGACGCTGCATTTAATTGCTTTGCAACTGGGCAGTCAGGGGAACGTGAGATGCAGGGCAGCACAAAAATCATCAGAATTTTTTTTTATTTTGGGGGGAATTGTAAGTTATTTCTCCCTCTTCTCTCCCCCCACTGAGCAAAAAAAATCCATCCGAACCTGGTAAAACTTGCACTGAATCTGTATGCTTATTTCTGCTTGCAACCCGAAAGGTACCAAACACAACACAATGCATGACATGCTTTGAAATGCATCTATTATCACAAGAGCTGGCAAGCCAAAAACTGCTGAGGCAACAGTCAGGAAGCATAGCAGAACAAGCAACATTTGGGAAGCCTAGTTTTGTGTGATCCGAGTGCATGATGAGCGCTCAGCTCTCAAGTGAATTCCTCAGCCTGTCATGTCACTTCAGCTCACTTTCCTGAGTTGGGGGGAGGTTCACTCACATTGAAACTTCGGTCTCATTTCACCCATAAAATATACAGTCAATTCACTTTACAGTATATTCTGTGAAGCACTTTGAAATGTCTCGAAGATGTGATAAGGCGCTATATCAAATGCAAGGATTATTATTATTAGTAAAGGAGCAATTAAGGAAATGTTCGGTGACTCCAAAAGTTGTTGCCAACCAGATGTTCAAACAATTTGAAGAACATACAAAATGTTAACATTTTGCACAGCAAAGCTGAGGGAAAAAACAATGTGAGGTTATTTCACAGTCAGCTCGATTCCAACAAGGGTACAAAGAGAGATTGAATGTAGGATTGCAATGTAACCCTCCTTCAGTAAGTGCATTGGAATCACAGTTTAGATTAAGAGTTTAGATCTTCTGATGAAGATGCTTCCAACTGAGCTAACACAATTAATAATAGTGTAAAACATGCCAGCCCAGTGCTGATGTGATATGAAATTCCAAAATGCAAATAACCCCAAACAAACTCTTTCATTAAGTTTTTTTTAAAAAAAGCAAAGATATCTTTGCAAATCGGACAACTTTGGATATCAAGGAGCAAGTACGTTTGATCCTGGGCAGCAATAAAAGATCAGAGAAGCCATTCAACAGTTTACAGTACTTCTCAACTTGGGAAACTTTTGCTCTTTCAAGGAAAGTGAGCGAGAAAAGCAAAAAAGACCTCTTCATTTGTTAACAAAATAAAGTAACCAATCTGCAACAAGGCGTACCAACTAAAGCCTGTCTGCTTGTAAAATGTCTCTTTTGCCAGCCATTGGGAATCACTGTACTCTATCTGGACATGTTCTGAATGAAAAATAGATTAAGTAGAATTGAAGCTTCTTGCGATGTTGAGTGCAGCTGTGCATTATCTCATTCCCCAGCTGGTTTTGAGGCAGAGTTAATTCTGCTCGATATCCAAATAGGATTCGACGAGAGCAACTACCCAGCTTCAAATCGCGAAAGAAACCAGGATTGGTGAAATAACGCCACGCAAAAGATTCAGTAAACAATGTTTACAACAAAAGCAAATGCGCTGCTGTTTCCACAGTCTCATTGTTCACACGCTCAGCTCATGAATAAATGCAGGTTCTGGCAATACTCACTTTGCTTTCGGAATTTTAACGCATATCAAGGGGGGTGGTTTTATCTTCTATTATTTATGCATCTAAATTATTCACAGAAGCTTTCGAAATTGCACCTCCCACCCCAACCCTAGAGTAATTAGAGGACTCTTATTTATAAGATCTAAAGTTCTGGCAGCAAAGTAGGTCTGCCTAAAAATATTAAAATTCATTATGCAAGATATTCAGGGCGCAGAAAATGATTGACAGCATTTTGGCAATAAGGCAGTCAAATGAACCTCATTAGACCTTCAAATTTGTCTTATTTATTCTTCCTTACTTTTTAAACCTTCCCTCACTACAATCTTATTTTTTTCTCTCTATTTAGTCTATTTTAATATTTCGAGGGGGGAAGAAAAAAATATAGTTTGGACACAACGTGCGTATGCAACTGCCAGTATGGTGGAAGGCGAACAAGATGGAACCTTGGTCTTCTTTCGCCAAGCAAATTCTTAATGTTCGTAAAACCAAAAATGAACAAAGCACTGACAATGGGGGAAGTGGAAGCAGACAAGTGAGGAAATCGGAACACTAACAGTTCCGTGGGGTCGAGGAGAAGAAGAATCGGGCCTTGGGGATTAACGTAAGTAACGGCTAGGTGAACAGAGGCTACAGAACCCGACTGTTAGTCAATTGGTGGATTGCTTTCCGAGGGTAAA